GACACGCCGCGTGCTTCCAGAGTACAGTCGCGTTCTGAGTTATATTGCTATCGCTGTTAATTTTTGTTGCTGTTTTTTGTTAAGTTTGATTTTGTTAAGTTATTTTTTGTTTGTGACTTTAAACAGTGAATATGCCTAGAAGAAATATTGTTTTGAAACGGCAGTCACGGAAAATGGTTTATGACGTACATTGTTTTTTGAAAAGGGAATCTGATAAATTAATTAATTCTTTAAAACAAATCAAAAGTGAGATTGACAAAGCTACGAGTATTTTACTCAATCATTCGGACAGCAGCACTGTAAATTTAAGCCAGATAAAACAAACTGCAGAAGTTATTAGGGCGGGAAATATGAAATTGAAGGATATCATCAGTGATTTATTATTACTACTACTTAAGTTTTAAATGTTAATACACATGGAGACCAATAATACTGGTTCAACCCAGTGCAGGCTCCCATCTCCTACAAGCACAATAACTGTCTGTATATATTCTTATAGCTTTTACCCGCGGCTTCGCTCGCAGTTTTATCTTTCGTAAAAAATATTATTTTAATAAAAAGTATCATATGTTACTTCTAAAACCTCCAAGAATATGTGTACAAAGTTTCATGATGATCGGTTAAGTAGTTTTCACGTGAAAGCGTAACAAACAAACTTACATTCACATTTATAATGTTATATAGTATGATTACTTACTTACCTTTTGTACCTATTGTTGAGAAAATAAAGAAATTCAAATTTGACGACTCTGGCACGTGAACAACTTTCAGAAGTTACACTCTATAACATTAACTATTTACTAAAGTTAATATTTGCGTGCGCGATAGTACCCATGCGCGGCTATCCCTTCCACGTTCCGCTCAGCGCTAGACTTACGTGCCGCTAGTTATACAGCTATACACGATAAAACGGTTTGTTTACTTTATCCTCATGATAAGGTGATTGAATAACAGTTAAATAAATGTTTATTCCTAAAAAGGGAGGAAATATGTACAATAACACAACAATTGCAGCTCACATCCAAGATTAAAAACAGAATAGTAGGTATGCGTCTTTAACCATGAAATACTCTCTCCTGTTTAAAAGCCCACACTTCTACAGAACTAACGTGATATCTGATAGAATTTATAAACACGAATGTGAATAATTTACAAACAAATAATTCTTGATCATGTGAAAATAGCGTCCGACTGTACATTGTCTATGTTATTCTCAGTGTTAAGTTTGTCCATGTTTTGGTTATTGAATTAACGTGATACCTAGTAGTGAGAACGGCATTCATATGTATTTTTTATTGAAGTGAATGCTAAATATTGTCACTAGCCAGAAAGGGTTCGAAAGAATGTTTATTACGCTCGCAAAATTTTACACAGTATTTCATCATCATATGCATATGCCTTTCCTCATAAAGAAGGTTTTGATCTACTATACCACTCGGGTTGAGGGTTGGGGTTAGTTGCACTGCTGTTGTCCTTCGTAGTTTGCTCCCTTAGTCCGCTCTTAACACACCCACGAGATGAATAGGGGTGGTGAAACTCCATTTTCTTAATGCGTCACCACACGGACTGTACAGTATTTTTCTCGCACAGTATTTCAGACAAGTTTTAATTCAAACCTGAAACACTGTTTACTAGAATAAACCTCTAGAGGTCAATGAAAGCGGAACAAGAAAATTGAATTAAAACGATAAATACAAGGCAACAAATCACGAATGCTATTATTACACTCAAGGATACCCTTGGGTGATATTTAATTTCACATAACCTACTCTTTAACTGCCACTCTACTTATCCTTTGACTTCGTTAAATAATGTCATACCGTTCTTTGTTTCCATTAGCGTTTTATTTATAAGAAAAAATATCTATGGATGTTGTCATGACGACATTGATTAATGTACATTTAATTTAGCGTTACAAAATCTGCCGTAAGATAAACTTGACTTCTGTGTCGTTTAGAGTAGTTTATGTTTATTGTTATACCACGCAATGATATAGTCACTTTCGTTCTGAAACTCCAGTCCTGTATGCCAAAGGTCATAGACCTCCTAAAAGGTCATATGGTCTATTAATTGGTCTTAAATTGTAATAAACGGTTCAAATACTTAGAAGTAACCGGTCTGATGGGGCCACGAATTCTGAATGACGTAGCTAAAGATTGAAAATATAAAAATATTTTTAGAATTTAGCAAAACGGTAGATGTTTAGCATCTACCGTTTTGCAGTACATTTATTTTCGATAGTTAGTCGTTTTGGTTTAGTCCGATTGCTATGATACTCTATAAGGCTAATATTTAAAAACAACGATTTTTGACAAGGTTTCCAGTAGTGGACTGGGTGAGAACCCACACACTACACTAGGAGACCTAACTCTCTGGTTACCGAAATGTGGACTGGTTAGAATTACTAATGTTAGAAATTCTAAGACAAAATATGATCATTTTGCGTTTCAGGTTAAGAAAATTACTTCGAAAGTCAAATGTGAGACATATAAAAACTGCTATAGGTGCGCTTTTCATATTATCCTGTATTACAACAGCGATAGCATGCTATTGGTATCGCATATCCTTGTTAGATACAAACAGACGTGATAAAGAAGTTAGCTCAACGACAAATTACTTTATTAGAGGTACTCCTTTCTATCATGTAAACTTGAACGAAGCATATAAAGATGTTGTTACAGAAGCTGATGATACATTTGGTTTGGAGGAATTCCACGAAGGTATTTTTTTAGTTATTTTATGTACTTACTCCAAAAAAGTAGTGTAGTAAACATCTCAGTAATGTTAGACGTCGACTACCAATTCATCGCAACTCTGACTAGCTAAAAGCTAGAGTTAAAAACGTCAGAGTTAAAGTATCAACAATAGTTTAAGCTAGTTAGACTCGCTAGATAGCTCATTAAAATAATTAACTACCTAACTAAATTTGTCGACGCACTTAATTGTACTGAAATTAAGGCTTGATAATAAGTACAAAAATGCACTCGTTGAAGCGAAAAAGGATCTGTGTTGTTACAAGACAGTAAGATCACAGACCAGATACACGAAAAGTCATGGCGCTTTTCAAAAAGAGGTTAAACGGCTACCGTCGCAGTTCGCTCGAAAAGAGAAATTTTCTTCATAAAACGCCAAAGGCTACAAGCCTAGTAGCCTCTGTTCATTTCACGTGGTGAATTTTTTTTACAACAAAGCGTCGCCGCTCTGTATGTAGTCAGAGATTATAATTTAGATTCAGAAAAACCAACAAGTTTAAACAATCATTCTTTACAACATTAGAATTGATAAAATTTCTGTCTCAATTTCAGCAAAAATGGTGGACACTCCAGGCTGCAAAATACCCGTTGTATTGGTCAATTACTTAAAATATATTAATAAAAACTTTACTAGGAGGGTTACCTGTGGCAAAAGAGCTGTATTCCTGAGAAAGTTTGACAAAAATACTGTGATAGCGTTTGTAAAAAACAGTATAGTCGAAAAATATATGAAACATAATGGAACCTTTAACGATTGCTGTTATAGGTTTATACTAAGAGATGTTCCTTCATTTAATAATCGCAAACGGAATCTACTGTAAGTATGTAATGGTGATAAGATGATATTAAGAGGATACACGAAGCCATAATCACCCGTTATACATGTACGTGAAATTGGCCAGACGCAAATATTAATTGCTCATGGTCAATTTCATTCTCTGGAACTGTTCGTTTTATTTACCAGAAATAAAATAAAAGAGCACTACATTAGTACTGCTACCTCTTATACTCGTACAACCAATCTGTGCAACAAATTATCGTCTGCGGTATTTCCGGACCGACTCGACCTTCAACCCTTCAATAACGTTCTTGGGACGCCTGATTTGCAGGCGTTCATGTGTGGCGGTAGTCAATTTCTATCAGGTGACCCGTCTACTCATTTGCCCCCTCTGTCATTAAAAAAGGGTTAAAGGAATTATTTCCAATAGAAAGACTAGATTTAGAACATTTTTTTTTTACTATTTTAAAAGATTATCCTTGCCTTGGTTGTACAAAAACTATCCAATAAACTTTACGTTGCTATTATTTCTAGCAGAATACACTATTTTACAGATCCATTGATAAAAAATCCTGTGACCACTTGTTACATCTTGTTAGCTGCGATAAAACAAATCATGATTTATTTTAAGAGGGCGCAAACTAACCTGACCCGACTTGCTCGAGCTATTCTTACATCATACTTACACTTACTCACGCAGTCCATCCGTCTAACCAAAATCCTTTCATTCTTCCAATTTCCCCACCCAATCCCAAAGGCGTTGATTTCTTTTATTACGTTCATCATTATCATCATCAGCCTTTATGGTTCACAGTTGGACATAGGCCTCTCCATAGAAAGGAGGTTTTGGCCTATGTTAATTGGAGATTATGGTATGGAGTACGCTGGCCAGACGGGTTTCTATAGGGTTTGTTTCAGATTTTCCTTCTCTTTGTAGTTATTGCGTTGGTGTAAGTAAAATTATAGTAAAGGCAAAATGTAAGGGCCTTTAATAAGCTTCTGCCTACCCCTTTGAGGTCATAAGCGTGAGTGTATACCTACATACATATACTTTAAGTTACGTAATTAATATTATACAATATGTCAATTATACAATTTGTATTGATATAATACCTATTATTTTATTTGTGCATAGCGAATTTTGGCCTGTCTGATGATATCTAGGTGTGAAGAACTTGCTGATCTTACCTGCATATTTACATTTCAAATCAGCAATAATTTTATTCAGATAGCTAAAGCCTAAGTGTTTCCTAGGCATTTTTGTGTAGTTTGATTGTATTATGTAAACAATGGCAAGATGGCTGGCAGGAGCTGGATGCGAAAGCCGAAAATCGATCTAAGTGGCGTGCAATGGAGTGCAGTGGAGAGGCCTATATCTAGCAGTGGACTGCTAGATAGACTGATGATGATGATGATGATGTAAACAATAACTTCCACAAATGCAAGCGTAACTAACAGATTAAGCGAATATGTGGAAGGCAGGATCATCCATTTATATTCAAGATGAAGCTTTCATATACTTACATTTTTTTAGATACTCTACCTGCACGAAATTCAAAGACAACGATAAGATACCTTTGCAGACTGATTTCATTAATGTCAGATGTTTTGAAAACATAAATAATAAAACTTACACTATTTATGACGACATGTTTGCATTCACAAAAAAAATTGATTTGCCCAAACCAAAGGAATCTAAATGCAAAATGAAATATAATGTTCTAATGATAGGGATGGACTCCATGTCTCTGCCACGCGCCGTCCAAACTTTACCCAGAACTATAGACTATTTTAGGAACGATTACTGGATTAGTTTTCGAGGATATCATAAGGTACGAATTGTAGATAACCATTTATTGTTACAAAGATAAGCATCCAAAACCTTGTAAAACGTTACATTAAAATATATATATTTTTAGGTTGCGGACGATACTTTACCAAACTTGTTGTCCATTTTAACCGGAAAAAACTTTAGTACCATTGATGAAAAATGTTCTGGCAAGATGGATAGTTGCAACGATCTCATGATTTGGAATACATTTAAAGAAGCTGGTTACGTTACAGCTTACGGAGAAGATTATTTTCAGTTATCAGAAACGTTCACAAATGAATTTCAGTTTCAAGAACCACCAACAGATCATTATATGAGACCGTTTTTTGTAAAAGGTGAATATAAACGTAAGAATAGTACATTTTTATGCGCTGGCAAAGCTTGTTCAGGCCAACAGATATTGGACTATGCACTAGATTTTGCAGATACCTATAAATGGGAATCATTCTTCGGATTCTTTCGGATAAACTCTTTTAGCCGTGATGCAAAAAGTTCTCCACACCAAGCCGATAAAATGTTAGAAAACTTTTTTTATCAGTTGTCATACACGAGAGTTTTGAGAAACACATTCGTAATATTTTTCAGCGATCACGGCATCCGATTTGGTATGCAACGTTTTAAAATGGAATCTTACTATGACGATCGAATGCCAATGTTTTTTATGTGGTTGCCACCATATTTTAAATCGTTTTATACTGAAAAACTCAGAGCTGTAGCGATAAACCAATACCGATTGATAACCCCCTATGATATTTACAGTACACTACTAGAAATAAAAAAAATTACAACATGCAGCAATATTACCGATGATCCACCTGACGGCTGTTCAAATTGTCATAGTACATTTCAAGAGATTACCGTAAATCGGACATGCCAAGATGTGTTAATCCACCCAAAGTGGTGCAGTTGCCATAAACTATATCCACTTCCCGTTCAAGACGCAGAAGGGAGAAAAAGCGTGGAATTGGTTGTAAATTACATACAGTCCGTGACAACAAAGGCTAAAACAAAGTCATGCTGGAGTTGTATGAGTGTTAATCTTAAAACCATTATTAGGATACACTTTTACTATGACAAAGATAAAATAAGTCTTTATTATGTCGTAGCGTTCACGATGACGCCTGGTAATTCGTCTTACGAAGCAACAGTGTTTCGGAGGTATGATGATGCTAAGGGAGTCATAGTCGGGCCAGTAAGCGTTATATCTAACACAGGCCCAGGAACATGTGCTATCAATGAACAAGATCGTTTATTTTGTGTATGTCAAAAAAGTGATAACTGTTGAATTCACAGCTAAATGTTATTATTATCTATGCTGTATTTTGTAGAATGTTAAGTAATATTACATGTGTGAATGTCATAGGTTAAGCAGTTTCAATTTTAGTGAAATGTAAATGTCCGTGATATTCAAATTTATACATTACAATGTTTTTGCGAACATCATGGACAAAATACCAAATGAAGTGTAATAGTCATAACAATAAATTTTAAAATTATATACTTATTCATGTACTTAATTGCTTTTTTATTAAATTATTCTCTGTGTTATTGTTAAATATGTAATGATGATGATGAACAAAGTGATTAGATACGGATTTAAAATAGATGCACATATAATAATAATAATAATAATATTCTACCACATTCACACAACGCCATCTAGTCACAAACTAAGCAGAGCTTGTACTATGGGTACTAGACAACTGATATAAATACATATATACTTTTTTTTTTTGTAAATACATACTTATTATACATAGAAACACCCAGACCGAATCAAACATTAAATGTTCATGCACACAAATGTTTAACTTGAGCGGGCATCGAACCCGCGACCTTTGGAATAGCAGTCCGTTACACAAACCACAACGCCATCCGGTCGTATTAAATTAAAATTGCACAATAACAAAATTCAATCCTAAATATTTGTTAAGCTCTCCGCAAAGAAAAGAAAACCACCATCCACCATCATCATACAATAAGTAGGTACATTGAATAGGCACCCACTGCTTATTACGCCGTGTCACTACAATCTATAGGGAAATCACACGGACGAGCCTGCGTTGTTCGCTATTAAGAACAAAAATGAAAGGGAAAATAGTTGACATAGTTTTACCTATATTTAGTTACTGTCGCTGTTTTTCCTTCCAACGGCTAATGTCTTTCTTTGTTTCGCAAAAATGAATACCAAATGATCGTACTCGTCCACATGTGTGTACCTACTTTCATAATACAGGGCCTGTTATCGTTCCTCCGTTGATAAACTTCATCTACATTTTATATAAAAATGACATGTTGTGTACGCTGTAAAAACTCAAAAAGTTCTGAACCGATTGAGCTCAAGTTTTGACACGATTTACAACACGCTTCAAAGTTTTGGTTGGTTTTATCTATTTTTTTGCAAATACAAACGAAGCGAAGAGGGGTAGAGCAGGGTACAGCTAGTTATTTATAGAAAGGTCAAATTGACAACGGAAATAGGAAAGTGATATTTAATTCTATTTATACTTAACTTTACTTAACCTCCTTTCTAAGGAGAGGCCTACGTCCAGCAGTAGACTATTAAAGGCTGTTGATGGGATGTGTGATGATACTTAACTAGTCTGTTGACAATCAATCAATGATCAAAGACAATTAAATTATGCAACTCTTTAGTTACTTTTCACCGAGTGGGTGAGATCACTAAAGCCCAAAAGTCCTTTAAAACCTACCGATGCCTTTATAAAGTGATACCTTGTGGTGTGGGTGTGGGTGGAGTAGGTGACACTCGGTGAAAAGTAACGAAAGAGTTGATTAACACCGGTTTGATGTGAGTCCGTGATATCACTCCGGTCAAACCTAGCCCATATGTGCCGAAGTATGGTTCTCCCACGGTTTATTAGTTTACTATCAAACTAAGTACTGTTTTATGTAACACTAAAACACTTCAAATACTACAAAATTATTGAATTCATATAACTTAAACTAGCTGATGCCCGCGATTTTGAAAAGCGCTGCCTTAGTGAGTGCGATGCTCGGACCGGTCAAAATTTTTCTGAGAGAAAAATTGTTAGTAACTCCTTATATAATTTTTCTGTACTGTACTACTAACTATTTTTCTTTACTACCTGGTAGTAAAATATTATCAGACAAACAGACAAAAATATCTAAACTAGTGAGCATGAAAAAACTATTACTTGTATAGAGTATAGATGTTGTACCTACAAGTTGCACTATTGCTAGATTATAAAGAAGATAGCTATATTATGATTAGGATATTGGAGAGGCTATTATAAGAATTAAGCAGGTATAATTGTTGAAATTATCCCCCTAACACATTTACAAGTTATCAGTTTTTTTGTCATAACTTTTAATGACTCTAGCTACATCAAGGGTTTTGGCATATCTTGCGGGTTCTGTCTATCCATACCGACGATTTTTAAAACACTCGTTCTGTGCAGTCGCTATTGAGACCTGTCTTTAAGTGTTATTGTTAGTAAATATCGGCAAAATTGGCAATAAATGATCTGCTATAATTCTACTGAAATCGGAAAACAATAGAGCATAAGAAAAGACCTAACAATAAACAGTCAAGAAGCTAAAGAAAGTCCATAGTTTTAAATTAACATTCACAGGCTGTTGTTAAATTCATCTAAGGTTTATGTAATGTAAATAAAAATATCCTTCAGCGATTCGGATTTCTTAAGAGTATACAAACTGTATTAATTCAAAGAAAATCTTAAGCGATATATGGGTCAATGGTAAATAGCAGTGATATTTAATGTAAGTTTGAGTTGGCCTTAAGTCACTGAACTCAACGGACCGAAGCAGAACTACTGTCACATGTCGGCGACTACGAGGCCACACAACGATGAGTTTTTATTACCGTCAATGAATTCTGCACTCGTAAAAAGATATTGAATCTCTTGGCCTTGCCAGATAGTATTGTCATTTTTGCGTGTGGACTCTCACCTGTACAATTCTTTAGTTTTCCATCATCTCAGAGAAAACTAAAGAATTGTACAGGTGAGAGTCCACACGCAAAAATGACAATACTATCTCACGGTAGTCACCTACTTCGGGCACCTTAAGACAATTTTTTCACTTCTTAATCATTTTTTACATCTCTTCTTTCTTTTACATCAAATGAAGTTAAGGATATAGCGGCCTTAAGTGATGAGAACTCAATTTCTGGACAGGTTAGGGTTGAGAAAATCCTGATCCCAAACAATATCCCTCCCCCATTTGGAGGGGAGAGCTTAAAAACGCACTTGTTTCTCTTGAGTAGAAAGTGTCCATGGACGGCGGTAGTTATTTACCATTCGGTGACCTTCTGCTCAACATCATCATCAACAGCCTTTAGCAGTTCAGTGGCTGGACATAGGCCTCTTCTTTGACCTTCTGCTCGTTTGCCCCATATACTATAGCAAAAAAACCCTTGTTGATTACTGTTATCACTTACCACTATGCGTCAGGCAATGTGCACAATGACTTAATTATCAGCAGTTTTCGTAATTTCATAACAAAATTTAAATATTCATCCTGTAGTTACTCTGAATGCTAAACGTTACGATTGATGATACAATATTTATAGAAAGCATTCAACACATTCGATCGATTTGCTGTTCGTATCAGACGTAGGACAAAAGCCATACAAACAGTTTTGGAATACATATATTGTGCTGTACTATAAATAAGAAGATATAGGTCTAAATTGGATCACACTGGGATTGCCTGGGATTGAAACGTAAATATATTGGTGACTTTATATATGAAGCGAGTGAAAATTAAAAATGCGACTAGAACTAAATTAAAATGGTTTAAATAGATATTTAAAGTAAAAAAAACAAATCAGACGGAGTTATTTTTGACTCAGAATAAAATACTAGTGTAATACCAGCATTCTATTCATTCATACTAGTGTCAACTTAGAAGTGAAATAGGTTGGTGAGTTGATGACTGATATTACTATCTTTTATGCATTGATTATACATTTTCAAAAAGGAGGAGGTTATTAATTCGTATGTTTATATATATTTTTATGTAAGTTCGGGCATAACTCCGTCATATACAGACGGATTTTCAAAGGTATTTTTTTGTTCGAAAGAGGTTTATTCCGAAATGGTCGAATATAAAAAATGACTGAAAATCAACCGCAATTGCTGCTATGTTTTTAGTGCCTTTGTAAGTATTGTTTGAAGTTGGTTAAACTTTTTTTCAATAATTATTTAGTTATGTATTAAACAGTAGACAAAAAGTTACAGATTTAATTTCATCGTGAATTATCCGCTAGTAGATTAGAAACCGAATGTAAACTAACACCTAATAACTTATTGCAAGTTAACTACAAAATCGGGTTGCTAGTAAAAGTAAAGAAGTTGACGTGATGGTATTTACCCTTTGTTTTTTTTCCTGTGCGGAACTCCCCTCGGATACCACCAACCAGCTGGGTAGTTATGTCGGATTCGAACCAACTAAAAACCGCACGCCGTCTCCAGGTACCAGTAGCCGGGGAACCAGGTATACCCTAGAAAGGAAAGCCATCTCCGGACCATCTGCGGCTTATAGATGATATCCTCCTATGTGGAAACCCTGATGTTCCCTTCCTACCTGAAGGGTGTGCGCGCCGCCACCCACCCTGGCCTGCTTCTGCTAGGGTGACAGATGACAGATGTCACCCCCAGGTATGCGATTATGGAGGACGGAGGTCGTTATACGACCTCCGGCGCCTGAGTCGTATGCGGTACCTCGTCCGTTCGGTCTCCGACCGGGAGAGTTCTAAACGTCTCCCGGTCCCGCTCCGAAATTTCCTTCGCAAGCATAACTTGCTCGCAGAAGGAGATAGCGGCGTTCCACGCACTCTTGCTTCGTACCATTGCGGCAATCATGTTACTGAGCGAGAGAATGCCCATTCCGATAGCCGTCACAAACCACGTCTGCGTCAGCTGGTATGAGAGGGCTCCGTGATGCCTCTCGAGCCAATCCTCCATAACGGGTCTTACCGCCGCGATTTCTCGAGTATCAGGACCCACCTCCCGTGCCTTCTTGCGGCTCTCATTTCCTGGTCCCACGGGCGGTTCTCCCTTATGACCCTGATGGACAGAACTCGCTGCGGTCGTCGCAGTAGTGCGATGGTGCTAACCTTCAGAGGCCTCGCCCATATTGGGGCCCAAAAAGAGCCATATACCGCACAACTCCCGAGTTGATAGTATTTACCCTTTTTCTTTTTTTTTCCGTGCGGATATCCCCTCGGATACAAACTATCGGTGGCATGTCGGACTCGAACCGACTAAAACCGCACGCCGTCTCGGGTACTAATAGCCGGGGAACCAGGTATACCCTAGATAGGAAGTCGATAGTATTTACCCTAGGGCTAAGGCAGGTCTCTAGCGGCATGCATCTAGTCGTGATTCATATTCGTCACATACGAATTAGTTACTAGCAATCCGCCCCATTTTTATGTCAGTGTCGAGTAATTAATTATACTATTATTATGATAGGACTCTACTACAGGATATCTTTATATGAAATATTTATAGGCTCGCTCTAATATCCTGCCGGCCGCTGCCAGACGCGACGGACGTACGGCCCAAAGCGTTGCGCATTTTAAACCTCTAATATCTTACATAATATTCATTTTAATGATATGCTGTAAAGCAATTTTAATCTACATTAAATGCACAACGTATCTAACGTATTTTATTAGATAAGAAATAATAATGTATTGCTTAAAATAGCTTCGTAAATGACCAATTTTTTTTTGTAACATTTAAAAGATAAAATGGTTACTGCGTCTTATTCTTAGGAGATAGACTTATACCACCTACGACTTTTTGTAGATCTTTTTAAGATACACAATTCCGTAGTACATTATTTTGGTATATCTCGTAAGGATTAGCCAGCGTTTGCAATGTAAGCGCACAAAACCAAGTTTTTAAGACAAATCTTTAAAAGTCTCCGATTTCCTTTACCTACTATGATATGCATGTATTTTACATATACACCTTTCTCTTGAATCGTTTTCTCTATTCGTGAAAAAAGGTGGTGTAAAATCCCTTGCTTAGTTTGAAAGTTCTAAGCTTACAACGAAAAAGAACGACTTTATTTTATACTATGTATAGATTTTTTAATTCCGGTTTCTAAATGAAATTGAACACAGTTCTTGATAACAATATTATATTAAAATGTGTAAGGGTAATCTCTTTATATAAAAACAGCCAAATCACAAAAAAGCCAAAAAACGAAAGACCATTAAGCCAGCCCCCTCCGCTCAGCGTTCCCGTAACGCGAACAAATTTACTTCGATATGCTCCTATATCACGCGCCATAAGGCTTATTAATATTATTTTAATACAAGTAGATATCTACAACTGTAGCCTGCCGAACTTCATAGAAGTCGCCCAGAGATGTAGGTATTACAGCAAATGATTTTTATGTATAAATAACTGTTACTACTGTTTTTACGTACAGTATCGTTTTGGGATGAATCCTGTAAAGACACTGTAATTGTTTTTAATAAATAAATATTTTTAATTAACGGTCATACTCTTGGAATTCAGGGGATCGTTTTTTTATCTAGTCTATACCGTCCTACTGTTGGACACAAACTTTCATTTACCTATGCCCTTTTTTTTTTACCCGTGCGGAAATCCCCTCGGATACCACCAGGTGGCATGTCGGACTCGAACCGACTAAAACCGCACGCCGTCTCGGGTACTAATAGCCGGGGAACCAGGTATACCCTAGAAAGGAAGTCCCTGGTGCCAGAAGTCCCTGGTGCCTCATTTACCTATGCCCTGAACCGCCTCGGACTACTCCTGTCTTTATGGTTCGAGGTCACAAACCGTCTCTCAAGCCCTTAATGGTCTTTCGTTTTTTGGCTGTTTTTAAATAAAGAGATTACCCTTACTTAAACATTTTTTGTTACTGTAATTTTTCGAATTCAGGCTTCCAGAGCAAATAGGAAAAACTAACTATCCTAGATCACACAGAACTCTAAAACTCATTGTTACTTAGCTATTTAACAATTTGTTTTAGCGAACTTTCCTTTATTAACAGTCATCACGAACTTGTCGTCATGTCTACAAGTACCCGTAAATACTGAGCCCTAATTTATTAAGAGAGTGCGCACTTTTTCGTCCTCGTAGAAGAAGTATTTTAGTGAGTGAATCGAAAATCAATGTTGGTGGACATAGGAATTTCAATTTCAATTTTTGCTGGATAAAGCTTTTGTTTACCATTACCTTTCTAAATATCTTGCAAGAGTTAATTTAGTGCAAAAATCAATAAATTACAATTTTTAAGAAAAATGTATGGAGATATTACAAAAGAACAGTGTATCTTTAGAACCGTAATAAACACCGCAATGTCCCTTTTGAAATATAAATTTTTATTTTTTTTAATTTTTAACGGTTTCTGTTACTTAGTGCTAAAATAATGAACAGGATCTTTAATCATTTCATATCACATCGACAGTCTCTAACAGTCCACTGCTGGACATAGACCTCTCCTTAGAAAGGAAGTTTCGGCTTAATTTACCACAAGGGCCAGACGGGTTGGTATACGTTTGTTTCAAGTTTTCCTTCCCTTTGCAGTGCTGCTATCCTGCGTAGTTTGCTCCCTTAGTCGGCTCTTTCGGCACCCATGAGATGAATAGGGGTGGTGACACTCCCTATTCTTAATTAGTTTCATATTATTAAAGAATTACATCAAAACATAAGTCGTAAAACTTGTAATATAAATATTATCTATGTAATGACTCACTTTGAATGATACTCACCTTGAACACTCCACAAAACTAAAACTACTGTCAGTGCCATTCCTTCAACTTGTCTTATTGTCATCGCTAAATTGAATCTTTTAATGTGCAAAAAGCAAGGACAATATATATTTTTATATCTATAATAGTCAATGCAATAGCAAAAGCAAATAAATCATTGGGCTCCAATGCAATCATTGATAATCGCGACTAAAAGTAGCTTATGTTCTTCTCCTAGTCTCCTTTGTCTCTTGTTTAGCAGCTTGTGCGTAAAAGTGTGACAGGTAGACAGATAAACACTTTCTTTTGCATTTCTGTTACTTACTAATATGAATATATTTATGTAAAATTCATTTTTTTCAGAATGATCGGCCACTGTCAAACTTAAAGATGTTCCGTTCAAGTATAATAATTTTTCAAAGAGAAAGCTACACCCTATTCGTCTTAGTATCATTTTGGAAATTCTGTCAGTGTGACCCTGAGACACGATATTTTAAGGGAGATGGCGGTCGCCCAAAATTTGGATTATTTTCGACAGGGGACATATTTTCCAATAACACAATAAAACACGGTACTGTGCCATATTATTTGTTTAATTGTTTTTTTTTAACTTGAATATGTGTGATGTAATTAAGCATGTCATCATCACACAAAGTGGCTAAAGAATTACAATTTTTTTGTGGTCCAGTTTTATGTACAGCGTACATACTTACGTTATCGTTGGTCGTTTTACCTACTTGTTTAAAGTCTGTTGCTGGTACTACCCACTTAGGCAGATCAAAATCGATACTGTAAATTTTTATTACGGTTTTTAATGACTATTTTTTTTTTAGATTCTAGTGATTTTCTTGTCAATACACCTGGATGTTATATACCAGATTATACAAAAAACTACAAATATTCACATGGCCTGTATAAAGGTTCTAATATCAAAGATCCATGTGGGTTAAGAGCCGTGTACTTGTATAATCTTGGCAATAATAAAGTTATTTTTGGGTTAAATGATACAGCTATGAAATACTACAGCAACGATACAAAATACAGTTGTTGTTATATGTATGCTTATAAAACTGCAACATTTCCTGGACTCGGCACATTTACAAAATTGCAGTAAGTATTACCCATCTTCTAAAAAACTTTGTGACCCTTTTAAGTATTATACAGAAAATAAATTTTGCAGCAATTGGAAAATAACGTTAGGTCATCCCTAAATTAATGGGAAAGGCATTCTCACCCATAACTTGTTTTGTTGTACTTTCCGATTTAACTTTCCAAATTAAATGAAAACACGTAAACAATATTACACAGAACTCAACTCATTAGTTACCTACCAGATCTTGATTAACGGTCATACCGACTTGGAGTTTTCCGGATATCTACATATTATTTTTCTAGTCTATATCCGATCCCTGATCTGATCAATCCCTGATCGACTGTTTTTTTTCTTGGGCTACCTCGAAAGATACTAACTGGCTCATTTACGCAATGTATTTTGAAAGCAATTTCGACACTATTTAGTTTGATATTTGCAGTTTTTGCGGCATATAATAACATAACATTACAACATTTTACAACACAGACGTCTGATCTCAAACTAGGCTGAGCCTGTACCACGTACTATATACTACTAGCCTCTCCTTACTGAGGAGAGGCCTATGTCCAGCAGTGGACTAGTAAAGGCTGTTACTCGACTGCATATAAACGTGATATAAACACTACCTACATATATTTCTAAACATTTCTAAGTGAGATTATGAATGGTTCACCAAGTATTTTTTTCTAGAGATTTTAATATTTCAGCACAATGCTGTCGATGGCCTATCAAAGGCTTGTAATGTAATATATTATGAAGATCAGAGATTGTCTTATCGGGGTATTTTTCTAAGTTGAATTAGAGGGATTGTTGTAAAGGGATGTTCATTCAGTACTTAAGTCATTTTCTTGAAATAGCTATATGAGAACACTTTCGATCACATCGCCTTTCCTTTGAAAGGCGATGTGATCGCCTTTCAAAGGAAATTAAATTAAAAAAGGGGCATGATGATGAGATAAATATCAGATGTTAATTTATGCGAATATCTTCTTCCCAGAAAGAATGTAAATAACTTGCTGTGGTGGACATCCTTCCGTGTTCATGCACATTCTTACGGATATGCTTATTCAAAGTGTTTCACACTTACGAGACGGGCTACATAGCTGTTGAAATGACGGCTTTAAAAAATTTGTACTTTTTGAATATAGTAGTGCGATTCTACTTAATATTATACCTACTTTTATCTAGGTCCAAGATCATTAGAAAATATTTTATTGTTTTGTCATCTCTCTAGTTCTTACGAAGGTCTATAAAAATCGTATATTTATAATCATTGAAACTTTTTCAGCTTCACAAAGTGTACGCCTTTTCGTAATGGAACCACGGTAACGTTACAATACGAAATTATTCAAGTTACTTGTATAACCAAGAAGCATAACGAAATATACAACGATGCTTTTATTTCGGTAAGAAAGCTGAGGCTTAACAAGGCTCCTCTTAAAACGGGGGTAAACAATACATCATGGAATGTACTTTTGCTCGGAATACATGCCATGTCCAGAGCGCGACTTTTCGGTACGATGCCAGAAACATATAAATATTTATTGGATCATAAATGGTTGGACTATAGAGGATATACAAAGGTAGTACCATTTATTTTCTTGTATTTAATAACCAAGAAATGAGATCATTTAATATGACTAAAGTAAAAATTTTCAGGTCGATTCTATTCCGTTTCCCAATATAATGGCCCTATTGACGGGTATGAACTCTTCCAGAATATACGACAAATGTGATACAGGTTTGTACAAATGCGAAGATGACTTTATATGGAATAGATTTAATGAATCCGGGTATGTAACAGGTTATGGTGAAGACTTTCTAGATTTACCTGACACCTTTTCAAGATACAAGGGATTTCTGAGAAAACCCACCGGCCATTACATGCGGCCGTTTTATTTAATGGGTGAAAAACGTCAAGCAGATATTTTGTGTACCAGAATGAGGCCATCTGCAACACATTTACTTGGCTATGCTTACAACTTTGCCAACTCATATAAACATAATCAATTTTTTGGGTTCTTTTGGATCAATTCATACACCTATGGGTTAATGGATAACCCAGCAAAGCTCGATAGAGAAATAGCAAGTTGGCTGCAAAAATTGCAAAAAGAGAACATTTTAAAAAGAACATTTATTATATTCTTCAGTGATCATGGTATTAGATATGGTGAAATGAAACTACCTGTGGAGTCGTACTATGACGATAGACTCCCAATGCTGTTTATATGGACCCCGCATGCATTTCAAAAGAAATTCAGACAGATGTATACCAATATGTTATTAAACCAACACCGCTTAGCAACACCCTTTGATTTGTACGTAACATTAGGAGACATATTAAAATTAGCAGACAGCTCCAATAAAGGTACTGTTTCAGAGGCATGTCCCGAATGTTCAGGTTTATTTAAATTGAATTCACTATTCAGGACATGTGCGGACGCGCGTATAAGTCAACACTGGTGTGTTTGTCACACTATGGCTGCAGTTAAAAATGACGCCGCTGAAACTAATAATAGTATACAAGTAGCTATGCACTATGTAAATAAAATAGTAAAGAGTATTAAAACTATCACATGCTATGACTGTAGACCATTGAAATTACACAGTATTGTAAGATCACATGCGTTTCAAAGCGGTAGTAGGACATTTCATGTTGTGGCATTTCGGACGTCGCATGACGTCATATTTGAGGCTACAATAGCATATCGACGTGATACAAGTAAAGTCACATCTCTGCGGTCTTTGACGGGTAATGGCAAAAAAGGAAAATGTGTGCGGGACATAAATGATCGTCCATTTTGTCATTGCTTAATGCGCTGCAACACACTAATCTTATAACGAGTATGCATCTTTCAGCATCCTTCTCAGACTTATTTGGTCATGTACTTCTTAAATAACGAAATTGGGAAAGAAGCCAATTTAGCCTTTCATGGTTTATAAGTTCAAAAGATGAGAAGTGAGTAACATTCCGAAAAACACTAAATAAAGGAGTACCTGCCTAAAATTAAAACATAACTTTAGTTTTTTGTCACTAAATAGCCGTCTTGGAGCCAAAGAACCACGACATAGTACGATAATTTGCTTAACATAGATTTTTGATATTTTGAAATCCAGTATCACTTGCCTAATTAAATAGAATTTACAAGCAGATGCATCGTGATTATGTCCATACTTATACTATCTTATCATTATAAAATGTCAAAACCCTTTAACACTTGGTGAAACCTAAAACTTGTCAATAATGATGAGTGAATACCTATAATATACATACATATGTAGGTATAGTATTATGTACCTAATAATAAATTATATAGTGAGTGGATAATTATATTTAATACATTAAATTGACTTCTTACAACATGATACTCTAATTTAATCTAATACTCGTATAACATGCACTCTCAATGCTGTCACTTATATTTAGAGTAAGATACCCTGTAAAATAAAAACATTGTTCTCATAGCGAGATCATTTATTGTATATATTGTTTTATGGTATAATCCACATTTTAAAATAATACCAAAGACTTAAACCGGCAGCAGTCTTTTTTTTTAATAATTACAAACGAAGATGATACCTTCGAGATATTGTCACGAACTTATATATATCATTATTAACTTTATATACATTTGACTTTTTCACAAAAATACTTTGTACAAACCCTTTGCACTTTGATAAATTTTTATAAATATCTATTTCTAAGATAATACAGAGATTCAACTGATCAGTTCATGTAAAACAAAATAATTTTTAAATACTGGCACATAATGTTAATCATTACAATCGATACATTGTAAAAAGAGATTCAATAACTAATACAGTACACTAGATACACCCTGTATTGTGGGTTCCAGTCACTTTCATAGAAATTAAAATAAATTAATAAAAAACCATGTACGCAATTTCTTCAAATGTAGATTAGATCCTGTCCATCCTGTTTGACAATTTGTTTATATAAATTATTTTTTTAGCTAAATGACTGTGTTATGTGCGTATTACCCTGTAAATGTTAAAATTTTATCTTACAAGGACGTTTTATAGCGGTAATCATTCTAATTTATTCAATTACAACACAAATAATGTGTCATTCAAGCTATCACACTTTTTGCTGAAATTGGCGAAGACGCTTTGTTTGGATATATCACAAACAACGACAGCTGTGACATGGCTAATATGGTGCCAACAAAATTCGGTCTCTGAAAAGAAACAACATTAAAGATTATTGTCGTTAATTTTGGTATGTTAACACAACAATGAAATATGCATAAACTTTCAAAAACAGCCAATAGGATGGAGCCACTTGCAATTTAGTAAGTGCTTCACAAGTGCGTTGCCGCTCTATGAGTCTTCCCTCAGAATCAAGGAGGGGGGGGTTTAGACTCCGATTACCTCACTCACTCGGTGAAATGAATCGAAAGAGTTGCTTAACACCGGTTTTCTGTGAAGCCGTGTTATCACTCCGGGCGAGCTTGCTCATATCTGGCGAAGCATCATTTTTCATAGAACAGAGTTTGTATCACTCAGAACGTTCATAATTATATCGGACTGTAATAGACGTCTTTAAGTCGCCGACAGCTCCAAAGATTGCTGTAAATTACCAGTGCAGTCAAACAGTAGTTGATTGGGTTCGAAAAAAAAAAAACATGATTTCTGTGGGTAAATGTAGTTGTGGTTTGATATTATCAACTTAGTTTTTGTTAAGCAAACATTTTCATTTTATAGCGCAAATTAAACTACCGTCATTCACGGGGTCTGGCAGTTACCTTAAAATATTACGACACCTTTCTGGAGTATAAACTTTAACAAATGTTCACAAAGATTACTATACTTTCTTTAAGGGATCAATGACTAACAAAATCGCGTGCATCTAAAAACAATACATGATGCGGAATACAATAGAATAGATGATTGGACTTTTAGTTTACTTTAGTGCCCAAATACGTCACATGGGATGACGGTATAATGAAAACCAATGATTTGGAAACAAATATTATTGGTTTAAGTGCTCTCATGTATATCGGCTTTTTATGGTTAAGCGATAACTTTTGATGTGAATTTGATCGTAGTTTTTCTAATGTATAGAACTGTTTCAGTAGTATCCACCACCCATAATCGCATATTATTAGATTTGAAAGCGGTGTTTCAACTTGTACTTTCGCAAAATAAAGAACGCTCTAGACAGTTACCAGTCTGCCTTAAATTATAATTTTTTAAAGAACCCTGTAAACAACCACAATTAAAAAAAACGATTGACTTAACTGGTTGTTACTTTAAGTTACGTTATTTTTTATATACGGCATAGAGGCAAATAAGCAAATGGGTCACCGGATAGTAAATAACTACAAGCGCCCATAGACACCCGCTGCACTGTCACAAATGCGTTGCCGGCTTTCGATTGCTCCCGTCAACAATGTTAATCTCTCATTGGGTGAAATGCTACGAACGTAGCGGTGGAATAAAATCACATACACGCGTGAAAATCATATGATTCTTAAATCATGTATTCACATCGGTGATGAAAAGGTCGTAATCTTTAATAAAAAGAATATTGATGTCATTTATCTTTGGCATTTATCACAGGTGAAATGGCTGTGCGTAAAACCAATCATTTAGTCATATGATTATAATTTAAAAGTAGCAATAATTTGCATTCCCATACGAAAGAATTGCTTTTCATCGGTTTTCTGTTAGGTCGTGGTATGGTACACCGATCGAGATATCCCATTGCCTCAAGCAGCATAGCTTTATGCACGCCCATTTTGCGCTTGGTTGCAATCTCATTCACGATGAGCGACACAACCACCAACTAACTCTTTACCTATAGCCACCCTCCGGCGTGTTTGGACTGCTACTGGTAAAAATGTTTTACGACATTAACACTGTATTTCAAAATATTTCTTTGAGTGTTTAAGATGATGTCATAAATTGTGCTGCAAAAAAGAAAGAGTATATTTACCAATAAATAATCATCCTCTATTATCAAACCATAGAGGCCCCATAGTGCTGAAACGAAGAAAGACATCAATATCATTGGGTATGGCAGACATTCAGTGCTTTTGACCCTACAAACGTGCAGTAACTTGCTCATTGGGGCTACTATAGTGATTAATGTGAAGAAGCAGGCCATTATCCCTGAAAAAGATTACAATATTCACACACATTTTAAAGGATAGGTAATTGTATGTACCTATGTATTTAGTTCTAGACTATACTAAAGTAATACATATATTTATATACGATTGTCTAAATAAGTTAGTTGAAATAATAAAAAAGGAAAAAATGTGATTATATCACATTCGAATTCATAAAATAAACAGGTAAATATTAGGCGATTAAGAATGAAATTGCCGATTTGTAATGAAAAATTTAATCTCGCTTTTTTCTACGATGTATTTATTTAATCTAAATATTTACACTCTTTATCTACCTATACATTGCTGCCATCTTAACGGTTCATTTATGCCTTAACGATAGAATTCTGGGGATCTAGATTCGACAAACTGTGTGAAAGCATTTTGTACTGCCTCCTGGGAAGATTTTTTTTATCACTTAGAAAATTGACCAAAGCACGAAAAGGATGGCTATGGCTCCTATAGAGTTACAACGGTTTCTCGTGCAGTGTGAGGTCTAGCGTTATCATGGAGCAATAACGGTGAAGATCGATTCACGAGTCGGGACTGTTTGACTGCCAGTTTCGCCATCATTTTTCGAAGCTCAGCACAGTAAACATCTGCTGTTATAGCCTGACCAGACCTGACAAAGCTTTACTGAATAACACCATGAAGAGACGCCCAAGCAGTTACCATTACCTTCGTATTTCGAAATGACTCGGCTTTTCGAAGTATACATCTTTCACAAAAAAACAATTGAAAGTCGAAAATCGAATGTTGCCCATTTCTTAAAAGAAGAACGTCATAGGTACCATGTGAAAAGATTTCACACGACAATCTTACACCGTGACGGTTTTATGTCAATATAACGTATCTATTACTACACGTATCTATTACAACGTGAACCCACTCCTAACACAAGCAATTTAGTTTGGCGGGAGGGGTTAATGGCGGTTAGTATTCTCATTCATGAGAATACTAGTAATTTTGGTTGCTTGTAGACTTTATAAAAAGAGAAAAAAAAAGTGGAGTCAAATATAAAAAAAAAATTAAGACATCTAAGACAGATGAAAACTCACAAATATTCTATTTGGTTGAGATTGTGTGTGAAGGTTTTATGTCAATATAACGTATCTATTACTATACAACGGCAATTTCATACTTTAACCCCTATTATTACAATACCAAAACTTAGTAGAAGTTAATTATTAACTTTATTAATCATAGATTATTTATTTTTTTAATATTTTGTATAAAAACCCAATATTTAGCTGAACTGCTTTAGTTGTCTAGACATTGATTCCGCAAGATATTGAAACATTGTGATCAATGGAAGCGGCGGCGGTTAAGAGCCCGTAGCGGTAGATCATTCATGATCAATGGAAGCGGTAGCGGTAGATCGCAAGTCCAATGACTTAACCACTAGGGTTAAGTCATTGGACTTGCGATCAAGAGGTCATGGGTTTGAATCCTGACCAGTACACTACCGACGTGAACCCACTCCTAACTCAAGCAATTTAGCTTAGCGGGAGGGGTTAATGGCGGTTAGTATTTTCATTAATGAGAATACTAGTAATTTTGGTTGCTTATAGACTTTATAAAAAGAGACATTAAGACATCTAAGACAGATGAAAACTCACAAATATTCTATTTGGTTGAGATTGGCAGACATAAAAAGTATTGCCTTGACTGTACTACATTATTTTCAAAATACATTTGTATTCTCTGTAATTTTTTTTCAAGCCTTAAATATGTTACATTGAGGTTGAGCTTTGTTTCTTAATTATAAATTATAATTATGATGGTAAATAGCATATATAGAATAAATTCTGAGACCATGAAAGAAAAAATAAATAAATGAAGATAAGTAAATGCTCCTTTCAGAGTTCATACTAATATTGAACAGGTAGGTTTAGAGTTTATTTGTTCATATCATGAGTCCTAAAACTATAATTTGTAGATTTTTTATCATGACTGCGACTCATGGACTTAGACAAACATTTGCCGGATATTTAATTCCATACTTAATCGGAACTTGTCTTCTATACAATCCAATAAAAATATCACAACTCTTTCATAAAACACATGTTTTTACTTTAAAATGAAAAAGTGCACTCTCTGCATGATAACGCTACTAAAGGGTGTCTCAGTAAAGACACCCTTTAGTAGCGTTATCATGAATATTTAAACATGCAAGTAATATGTAAAACTCTTACCCAGTCTACCTCGAAGTAGGTCATAATCCTCTTCCATATTAACATAAACAATCATGATTGTCATACACAGAAAAGTAAGTAGAAGTAATTTTAAAACCGTAGACTTCTTAAAACTATAAATATAAAATACTATTGTATAAGCTATCATTAATGTTATTCCTATCATGTTGACTAATAATATAACATTATCTTTTTTAACAAGTCCATAGAGTAGCCAAAGGAAGCACCTAAAACGATAAGTAAAACAGTTTTGTTAAATCATATTAAAATGTTTACAATAAAATTATTTAGCGGCGTTACTTACGACAAAATCCCGCAAATAAAAGGTAGCGGGGAAGCCTCGGCCGTTGTTTTATTATTAACATACTTCTTACAAACCGGCCTAAAACAAAAGCTTAGTAAAAGAAATCAAAACGTAATACGTGTAAATTGTGCGAACATACTCATTAGTATTTTATTAAACTTACACGCCCGATAGAAACTGTAGAACAGTAGTTATTACAGCCAAAGTACTGACCAAATCCTTATAATCCGATATATGCATTATGTATAGATACGCCTACGTGTTCTTAAGCTTGTAACAACGATCACACCATTTTATTGGTATTTAATATTTAAAAAACCGCTATAGTCACTAACGCAAACCTATCTGCTTTATTACATATTTGACAAACTACTGATTGTTAAGTACAGAATGAAATTTACAGTAGTGATGTTCATTGTTACTAAAAACAATCGAATTAGTCGATAGTAAAATTCTTTCGAACGCATTCGAATAAGTACAAATTTTCTTCGAAACTCAGTTGATTATGGTGATGCACGATTGCGATTGCTGTGTGCGGTACAAATTACAATACGGAAGTTCGAATAAATTGAAAGTGTAACTGATTTTTATTCAATCAAACCGAGAGTTGAGTATGCACACTCTGAAAGAAACGTACTGAGTTTGAATGCATTTTTAAGCTACAAACAAGTAAGTAGTAATAAAACCCTATTTATTAATTCAGAATTGTAAAATGCATATATTTTTCCGCAAGTTTAACTGGAATGTTTTAAATACTATAGAGGCAAACAAGGAAGGAAATTCGAAAATTCGCATCTAAGCGATTCATTCGATTGATTTTTTAGGAACAATCGCCCATCGCTAATTGACAGTGATCAGGCTATTTGAGCAATTCTCAAAATAATGCTGAATAATTTTTATTTTGACTTTAAAAAAAAAAAGACAGTACCCTACTTGTTAATGTTTCCAATTAATAAAGATATAATCAAATTTTATTATTTTTTATAAAACTACCTTATTTATTTAATATTTCTTGAAAAAAAATATAAGTTTTGAAGGCAATGGTCTAAAAATGTTCTTATTACGTTACCGAATAAAATTCGTAAAAAATGAAAACACGTAAAAGATTGCAAATCTTTTTAATAAATTTTAAATACTTTAAATGAAAACACAGACAGAGAACAGAAAACTTTAATTATAAGATCAGTACTTTAGAAGAAATAGACAACATTTTGTCCATTTCGTTACCTTTGGAACACCTGCTTGGAAAACATTTTAAATTATTAAGTTCACAGGCAGAATCTCAGTCATTTTTTAATTAAAATTACAAAATAAATCAACATTCTATGCTATAACATTCTTAATTATTATAAAAAAATGATAAATTTTAAATATTAAGAGAAAAATCAGTCATCTCAATTAGGACAGTAACAAATTAGGAACTTTGGTAACAAAACAAGAACTTATAAGGCTGAGTATACAATACACTTCAAAACAATGTTTTTATTTAACATAATTCGAACTTAAGATTGAGAATGATGTTAATTAGCTATCTTAGAAATTACGAATTTGGTTCGAGTACAGTATTTTAAAAGAACTGTCGTTGAAAGTATTCATTAGTACAGTAGTACTATTAAAAAATATAATTATACTTATTCTAAAGTAAATAAATCAAAAATCCTTATAGGTAAGTATGTCTAAATCACAAATGGTATATCAAATAAACTTAAGTATTATTTAGTAATATTTATGAAATTATTATAAAAATTACGCATTGCAAATCTCACGCTCGTCTGGAGTGTAATGATCATATAAGAAAAAATCACAATTAGGGCACCAAACATATAATTATCCAATAAACTCTTCATTCTTCTTCTTCTTCATTCTCCTTTTTCTCTCTAATTTTTTTTTTCTGTAGTTATAAAAATTTTCTGGATCTTGTTTAAGGCGCTCTCTATAGCGTCTCTGCTTTTCTGCGTTTGTTAATGGCATTCTTGAATTAACTGCAAACAATTACTTTTACATTTAAAACTAGCTAATAACGATGGTTTTTAGTAAGTACCTAACTACGTTTAAGTCAAAAAAATAAACAAACAAAATCTCATCCTAAACGCATATACCTGCTTCATTCCGCCGTGTGTATTTTTTTTATTTTTTTATTTTATTTATACTTTATGCACAAATGTGACACAGGCGGACTTAATGCCGTATGCATTTTCTACCAGTCGACCTTAGGGCGATGCAGAGTTTAAAAAAAAAATGGTAGATGCACAGAAATTAGAAATGTGATTTAAAAGAAAAAAAAATAGTATAAATAGAATGTGTAGAAAAATATTAATTAACAACATTTAGTAAAATAATTTGAATATTTATTGAAAGGAACTACTGAATTATTTATGAATAGACAGCTCTGTCTCGACAGACGTTGTCTTGTGCACCCGATTGGCAGCGCCGGGTACAATCTCAACCATTAAAATTCAAACTTTCTTTAATATCATGAAGATTCCTAGGCAATCACGTCAACTTAAAACTGAAATCTATTGTGACCTCAAAAACAGCTCAGCTGAGAAGAAACTCAGCGAGGGTTTTTTATCAGGGGAATTCAGGAAACCACACTCAAAACCACAACAAAAAATCGTAAAATAGAATATAACCCTAGAACCCGATTGAAGTGCCACCTACTTACTGGGTGTAATTGTTAATCTAAGCCATCTACGACCCACTTAAACACACGAAACCAATGGTGAAAACCCAACTTAAATAGAATCAGTAGTTTTTAAGAAAATCGCGGACAACCATATATACGTACATACGTACAAACATACAGGTCAAACTGAGAACCTCCTTTTTTGAAGTCGGTTACCAAAAGAACTACATACTTATAGACATAAAGTAAAAAATAATTCCCTCCCTTATATTGTGCCATAGTTGGGTAAAAATGCAATGTAGACTCTGCCTTACGTATTCCTATTTTGTTACTTCATATTCTTCTTATACATAACCACGCAAAAGTAACCAAAGAGGAAGTAACGAACATAGACCATAAGTTTCATTTCATGTATTTCTACAATAAAATCTGATAAAATCGACTGTATGTAATAAGATATCAAAAATTTATTAAACAATTATCTATTCTTAATACTATAAACATTAAAAATTATAAACTTACCCTTGTTAATACAGTTACAAAACAAGAAGAAAATTGTGAATCCGGCGAGCACCACACAATGAAACGATATTTTCAAATGAATTTGACAAGTGGCAATGCTACTTTTAGCTTTACGTTCTTCTCAAACGTTAAGAGTGCACAGAAAACCATAATCTACTAACTTGTTTTTAAATATTTTCCATAAACCACGTAACAAAATAAGAAACGGCATAAGGAACTTTTTGAAGACATGTTATAAAATATATTTATTTTTAAAATATGCATTGTTTTTCGCAAAATTGTATATTCGAGGGATAAATTGATAGTAACAGCGTAAAATAGCACCAAAAAATTTAATGCCAGCCCATAATATTTAAAAATAAAGCTTATGGAAAGTCATACACTGCTAAATGGGACACATCACTCTCCATACATTTGCACACTCAATAGTTTATCTTTTTTTGTTTTTTTCATAAATTATCAATTTGTCATAAGAATGAAAGCAGGAATGTAAACAGTAATTCAGTGATTTTATTTATTTAATTATTATCTTGAACATAATATTTTGCTACCATTTAAAAAAATTAAGTCAATTTATGGGACAACACTACAATAATCATTCAGCATTATTTTGAGAATTGCTCATTTATGACACATGTCAGGAAAAACAACTCTGTCAGTAATTGTCAGCTACGTTCGAGAAAAGCAATAACTACAAGAACTCTTTTCCTCAAATAACCTAAGCTTTATCTCTTGCTCACGACCATCGAGTAGAGTCACCATTGAAAATTGTAACCAATAGGCAGTGGCGGATTAATCATAAGACAAAGTGGGCACGTGCCTAGGGGCGCGAGTATACATGTAAGGCCGGTTTAAAACCAATTAAACCAAACCGTTTAAAACAAAAAAAAACGAAATAAACCATTTTTTTCGATTTAATACGATTGGCGTTGATGACTATGTTTTTATTGCATTATAATTACATTTTCTTGATTTTACCGAGGTAGAAATATGACGGAGTACCTATAAACTGTGTAAAGATTTTTTATATGTGTGATATACTTAGCGGATTTAGTTGGTCTTTTATCTACCTAAGTTAAAACTCTATTGATAAGTTAAAAATTCTGTGTTAGTAAATAATCATTTTTTCATTGTTATCAAACGATATAAATAATCAATAAAATATCGGTTTAAAACCAAACTCACACTCGCACTCGCGCGACGGTTGAAGACATAACGTTGTCTCTTGAATTTCATCATTCTAATCTAGTGTGTGTAAGATAGTATAATAAATAAGCATAGGTAGGTATACCTAAATACTCAAGTTTTCGTGTAGTAGGTAATGTAGGTAGGTACTTTCTATTGATTTTCTATAATCTAAATAAAACGAAACATGACGTTAGGTGACCAAAAATGCCTACAATGAACAGTAAAACACAGTTCTTTTATTTTTGTAGGCGAGTTTTCAGTTGTTCAATTCAAACCGATTTAAAACATTTTATTTAAAATGTGGAGGTTAAACAGGGGCGCCCGCGCAGAGTTTTTTAATAAAGAAAAATAACATGCCTAGCAAACAAAGAAACTTGTCAGTAAGTATGCACATACTTTTACAATTTAACTATTCCTTAATTCCATAGAGATGTTTGAGATTGACATCTAGGATTTATATTATGTAATTGCCACTAATTATTTGCTTTCATTTTCTGATACCTACAAGATTAACCTACAGAGATTGATGCTAGTGCATGCACAAATAATACAGTTGCTACAACAGTCTGCTTAGGGAGGTACCAGCAGTCGATCGCTAGGAGTGAATTGAGTTGCGTCTATCGTGGTGATAGGCGCAACTCTATTCGCCCCAAGTGTGGTCTCTGGTGGATGGCTTTTGTCCTCATCTCGCCACAAAGGACTACCGCCAGGAGGTGATGTCCTCGTGTGGTGGACGTCTTCTAAATGAGAGTTTTGTCAACGTCAAATTTGGGACTAATTCTACACACGCCTACTGCTGTAACTCGTGTAAACCAGGATCAATAGCAGTGACCTTCGAACACTTTTCCTAGGACATCCTGAGTATCATTACTCAGTAGTAATGAAGTCCCAGGATAAAAAACTGTCGGGGCTCCCACAATGACATTAATTGGATGTGTTGAGAATATTATATTTCCACTTCTCTCCTTAGCAAAGTGAGACGCAAAAATAAGCCAAAATAGGCATATACCCTTTTGAACAGATAAGTACCACCCACATAAATTTGATTTCTATGATATTATCATCATAGAAATGAAAGTAAGAGTGAAAGAATCTACCAAACGCACGGAAATTCACCCTAGATAACACAAGATCCTCATAGTACGTTCCAGATGTCACCTGTAGGCTGTAAACAACTGAGTATTTAATTATGTTCATAGTTTCAAAGATTGCATTCAAAGAGGATATTATGAGCAGACTGTTCATAGTTAGAATTAAGTGTTGAGTAGTGACACAACGGTGGCTCAATTAATTTAAATGAATGAATTTTGCTCTTAAAGTTACCATTTTACCATGACCTGAAATAAATTGAGTGACACAGTGATTCACCTCAAGCCATGTTCTCTACAAAAATTAAATATCAAATGATAAATATCTTGAAAAGCACCTCACTTCTTTGACCTCGCTTTGACATAAAATGGCTGGACGTAAAAAATAATTCGTGAAGTTTTGCCTACTGACTTTCATCAAAACTTGCTAAAACAGAACCAAAACCATAAACAATATAGTAAAGATTTTGATTTTGATTAGTGGCATTGTGGTATAATTTAATAATATTTTTTCAGGAATGTTAGACTCACCAATTTCTTCTCTTCTTCTTCTCTCCTCGTACCATTTTTCAGGCTTTTGTACCATGTACCAACTAAATATTGTGTTGGTACCCAAAAATACCAACTTCTACATTGATCATACATAAAAAAAATTGTATCTAACAATCTACAAGTTCATGATGTACGTCATAGTTACAACATTAATTATTGTAAATAATTACTGTTCATAATGATATTTATTTTTGACCCATTCAGAAACTTACTGCTGATTAACTTTATCTATTGAGCGAACTATTCATGGATGATGGGTATGATTTTGTCAGAAAATTAAATAAAGATTCGGTAAATGTGTCACGGTTGATTTTCATTTTATTTTTTTCAAATTATGCACAGATATTTATAAGATCTAATAATAAAAACGTCAAAGAAAATTGTTAATAATTGTTATCAGTTATAATTTTAATAATAACTATTTTCGTTAATTTTTATTAGGTATGATTTTTTTTCAAATAAGAATTTTATCGGTATTTCAAAATTTAATTTAAAAGAACGTACAAAGTAAACGATTTGTTATTATGCTTAATATAACGTTATTGTGAGTGTACCACTTTTATTGGAATACCAGCTTTTAACGTCTGTACCAGTTTTGACTCACCACAATCTGACATCTCTGTTTTTTTTAATGTTATTTTAATCTAAACTAAAAGTATTTTGATGTTGATAATTTCAATTTTCATGCTATTTATTTATTGAAATTCATTTAATTATGAATCAATACTTTGAGTGAGTGATAGTAAAAGTCAAGCAGAGTTTAACCCAGTTAGGTATGCTATATGCTGGCCTTCATGTTTACCATCTATAAGATGTTTATTATTCTGAATCTTTCCGCTCCCTGGTGTTCCGGAATGTAATATTTTTTTGTATTAAAGCAAAATGCTACTCTGAAGTTCATGGAATTCTCTTTGATATATTTAGTATAAGCATCAACTTTAAAAATCTGTATTTTTACTTTTTATTTACTTCAGTTCCATACTCCAATAGAAATAAACGATGATTTATTAAGAAAACGATTACAACATGAAGTCGTTTAAGCTTATTGTACACCAATCCAGCTTCAGTCGTAAGTATACTTTTGCTTTATAGCATATTCAAATTTTTTTTACACTTTTATAAAAACAACAATACAAGAGTTATTATTCTATTCTACCCTTCTACGCATTATATTTTCATTGGAACTCAATTATTTTATTCTTAACTTGGTAGCACAAAGCATTGAAAACATAAATTTCTCTTAAATTAAATTATTTGTTATAGTTAATAATTTTATGGGGCTACAGAAAGTCCTTGAAATAAAAGTTAAGAATTGAATTAATAAACAAGTTTATTCCACACTTGAAAATGTTTTATTTACTTAAATAACATTTTGTAATCAGATGAATTGAGCAGTCCTGACTATTCTTAATTCCTTTGGGTTTTTACTACACACAATTTGAATATGACTGCAATGTGTTAAGCAAATAATAATAATAATTTCTATTTTGATGTTTGATTTTTCAGAATGAAAGTATTCTATTGATTATATAGTATTAATTCAAATAAACATGTTACTTGTAATCATTCATTTTCAGCATTTGATCTTATTATAAATCTGAAAGATTATCCGGGGCTTAATGAAAAGGATGTTGTTGAAATTTATCACCCTGACAATGATTACCCTCGCCTTCTACTGCAAGTTTTTAAGGTGGATGTACCAGGACGAGGCAGAGGTAAAGCTAACCCTATGTTGTTCTTAATACATACATATATATTCTCATAAATAATCAACAATATATTATTACCAACAAGGGTTTAACCCAACACTTTTTGTCGTGCACAACCAATCTGTGGAACACGTTACCATCAGTTGTATTTCCGGACTGATACAACCTTCAAGAAAAGAGCGTACTTTTTCCTACAAGGCCGGCTACGCATTTGTGTCTCCTGAGTTGCAGACATTCATGGGTGGCAACAGTCTCTTTCCATCAGGTTACCCGTCAGGTCGTCTGCCCCCTCTAACATTAAAAATCAACCCTCTTTTACATGTCCTTTGATTTGGGTTTGTGAATTTAAATTTCATACCAATAATAATTATTTATGATACTTTTGTATTTTAATGACATTTCCTGTAGCATGGAAATATCACAATAAATAAACTACACTTTGTATAATGATATCTTTGCGCAATCATTTCAACAATGATACATTTAAATTTTAGTCTAATAAATTGTCTGCATCAATAACTTACATATTATATACTAAATTGTCCTATTAATCTCTGTTTGAAAATGTATTTATTAATGAAATAAAATGCCAATTTGTAAATATTTATTCTTAAATTTTGCCATTGTAATAATATAATTGCTCATAAATCTGTAAATTTCCATTAGACAAATAAAATCGAATCCAACACATGTGTCATGTGTCAGAATGGTAAGACAATGAAACTCAAAGATAACAAGTGCACATACAATATACAAAGGTAAGGGCATAGTACAAAAACGTGTGTGTGTAGTGTGATTTTGTTTTCAGATACTATCAGTGTGGAACAGAGCATAGCCACAACATTCCAGTTGAGAACTTTTGCTGATGTCTATGTAAATATTGTGAATGTAGCAGATGTGGCTCTTGATTCCGTTGAGCTTACTTTCAAAGATCAGTATATGGGAAGGTCAGAAATGTGGAGGTTGAAGAATCATTTGGTAATGAACTAAAATATTTTATGTTTTTGTATGGCTCTACTAGAGGCAGAAAAACATATAAAGAACAGCTATTTTAACATAAATTCTTATAGGTTGGAACCTGCGTGTATCTAAATAAAAAAATTGAATATTGTGGAGGTGCCATACGATGTCAGGTCTATGAAATGTGGTCTCAAGGGGATAGGGTAGCCTGTGGAGTAATTACTGAAGACACTAAAATAGTGTTTCGGTCTTCTACTTCTATGGTCTATCTTTTTATACAAATGTCTTCTGAGATGTGGGACTTTGATATTCATGGAGATTTATATTTCGAAAAAGCTGTTAACGGATTTCTTGCAGATCTCTTCGCTAAATGGAAGGTAAAATAAATTTGGAATTACCAAACATAGTTCCAAACATAACATGCATATAACAGATTTGATTTTGTAAATACTTTTCGCAGAAAAATGGCAGTAATCATGAGGTGACAATAGTATTGTTCTCAAGGACATTTTATAAAGCCAAGTCTTTGGAGGAGTTTCCACAACATATGAAAGAATGTCTACAAAAGGATTACCGAGGAAGATTTTATGAAGATTTCTACAGGTACAACAATCCTACAGAAACAAATATACATTTTCTTTTAATCTGAAACTTTTAAGCTGTACTTAACTTATTTCATTGTATACAGAGTTGCAGTTCAAAATGAGAGATATGAAGACTGGTCAAACGTCTTACTTCAACTAAGGCGTTTATTTACTGATTACCAAAAAATTGTGTTACAATACCATGAGAGGCCTAACATGGAAATACCTACAGCTATTAACTCTACAGCAGCTCAAGGCAACTTTCTCGAAGTATTGAATATGAGCTTGAATGGTAAGCTGTTTAACAATAATCTACAATTATATGCTAGCATACTATCGCCGTCTGGCCAACGTGGTATAGTAGGCCAAAACCTCCTTTCTAAGGCGAGGCCTATGTCTAGCAGTGAACTATTATAGGCTATTGATGATGATGATGTGATGTGATAACGATATCACTATCTTTTGATCGTGGTATACCATCACTAACAACATTTTTAAACCCCGAACGCAAATAGATTGACGTGTCTGTTTGTGGCATCGTAGCTTCATTATAATTGCAAAATAATATAATTGTAAAAAACTGCATTATAATGCAGTTTTTTTAGATTGACAGTTGACGTGATCGGGATGGTTCTTACAAAAATGGTTCTTCAAATGCCTAAACAGATCTTCATGAAGATCTGTTTAGGCATTTGAAATTCATCACCGACTTTCATAGATCCGATTGTTTCGACATTTAGTATACTGTTACTTCAGTGGTAATTATAAGCAATTTTGATTTGATGCTGTAACATCAAATACTCTGGCGGAATTTTCAATTCCTCAGAAACTTACAGCAGATAGAACGTGTTTGGGTTCATAAGAATAGTCTCAATAAGGTGTTACAAAGGGTTACTTAAAATTTCTAATTTTATCTTTTGACATTGTTATATAAAATAAACTGCGAAAAAATAACTGTTAGTCAATTTAATTGGTTTTTTATTCTTTTAGTATTCGAAAAGCATTATTTAGACAGATGCTTCGACCGTACAGGGCAACTGAGTGTGGTTATTACTCCTGGCGTAGGTGTGTTTGAAGTCGACAGAGAACTGACTAACGTTACCAAACAACGCATTATAGACAACGGAGTCGGCAGCGACTTAGTATGTGTTGGAGAACAACCCTTACATGCTGTCCCGCTTTTGAAATTCCACAATAAGGACAATAACCTAAACTCCATTGACGATTACTCGATGCCGCATTGGATTAATTTATCCTTCTATTCAACAAATAAGAAAGTGGCGTATTCAAACTTTATTCCTAGAATAAAATTGCCTCCCAGAAAGAGCCAGGAGCCCTTGAGGAAAATGTATGAAGATGAAAAAAAAGGAAAGTTATTAAAAGAAGACGAATATATGCATAATTCTATATTTGATTACGACGCCTATGACGCACAAGTGTTCCAGTTGCCTCCAGCGCACAGCACATGGTAAGATTTCATTGGACTTCATTCATCATCAGTCTATCGCAGACCACTGCTGGACATAGGCCTCTGCCATTGCTCGCCACTTAGATCGATTTCGGGCTTCTCGCATCCAGCTCCTGTCAGTCATCTTGCACTCCACCCTGCCGGTGGGCGTTCTACATTACGTTTGCCGAGACGCGGTCTCCACTCAAGAACTCGTTTTCCCCAATTTCAGCTTGCTAATCCGGTAGGCTATCTCGATAACCTTGGTTCTCTGCCGGATCACCTCATTCCTGACGCGATCCCTTAGAGAATCACCGACAAATATATTCATTCACTTGGGCTTTAAAAACCATTGCTGTCAAAATTTGGATAACAATGCTAAAAGATTTAGACTCATTTTAAGTGAATTGTATTCTTTATGAGACATTAAAGATTTTTAAAACTCCAAAGTTGAACTGCTTACGAACTTATCCTGAAGTCAGTAGTTTTTTGTTAGGGTAGCCTGAACAGATAGAGTTGTCTATGCAAAAGTAACATCATTGATGTTGCAGTATTTAAAAACAAAAAATGCGGAGTTAACCCCGTAACTTACGATTTTCACAGCGTGCAAAAAGTAACACGCACGAAGAAAACTTCTATAGCAGGTTTGGAAGGTATGAATAGGAGAAGTCCGCCTATCTCTAGTATACACCATAGAAAGATGTCGGACCCTGACATTCATCACAGTATTGCTGACGTTGTGCCTTCTAGCAGTAAGTCTATATTTACATTAATTTTCAATATGTTAAGTATAACATATTGAAATACAAAAGTATTGCAAAACTTGTTATAGGTATTTACATTTCTAGGACTCGCAGGTATTAAAAAGTTAATCCAATGATTAAGTTATTCGCGTAGCTCATGGAAACAAATAGTTTTTTTTTCCCATGACCACTTACCAACATTAACTAAATTACTTTATTGATAACTGTTTTTATTTGTCTTATAACTTAAGCACTACTCTCACCCTTCCAATTTATTTAAATTTATATATTTTAAGCTGCATTTGTGATGAACTAATAAACCTGTGCCGATTGTCACATTTGAGTACCTAACTACCGATATCTATAATCGTGATTATTATTGTCTACAAAGCTATTACTACGGTTGGTACCATAAAAACAAAGTCCACTTTATCATGTTTTAAGTCTAAAATGTAGACTTTTACGTTAATAATGCATATACCTTAACATAATAATGTCTATACGGTAACATGTTTTATATGTTACTCTTTACATATTCAGTACAATAGAACAACATAAATTAACTAGAAATAACTTTCACAATTTAAGGCAAAGGGGCCTACGATTCGAACAGCGATGCAACAGACTCTCCTGTATCAAGCAACCGACTGTCGCCACGTAGCTCTATATCGTCACACAAGCCCGTTATTAGGACTGGTAGAGCACTTATCAACCCGTTCGATCCATCTCACGTGACAGTCAAACTGACCAGTAATAGGCGGAGATGGACACACATATTTCCTAAAGGTAAGATTTAAATTATACGGTTCAAATATTCCTAAACATCAAAGTTTTATTGCAATTTTTTAGATATCTTTGTACGTCAATTATTCCTGTTGTAAGTCAATTAAAGGATAAAGGATTATTATAAAAAAGAAAAAATTCTTACTTCCTAAAAACATAATAAAATTCTAAAAAAATATTGGAATGCTTGCGTTATACCAGATTAACCGGTGCTTTTAAAAAACACTTCGTCTTTTGAAATCCTTTATAAAAGTTGGTTTTACCCAACACAACCAAAATTACATTTTTGAAACATTCATATAATTCGTTTCGATAATAACTAAAACTTCCATCTTCACGAAAGAATTGTAATACTAATTTCTCTAAATATTGTTTTAATATCTTAGCGACGTTAGGGTACGTAGTTATTACTATAATTTTAACATAAGTTGAAATACCAATTTTCTATGTAACTGCTGTGTTGACCAGGACCAACTGGGGTATTAATACAACAGCATCATTATCAAGCGCGGCCTGCTGGAGAACCAGCTTCAAGGAGCGAAGACCATCGCTGTGACAATAATGTAAATAAGGATAACGGATCTTCAATGATGAACAATAATCATTCCATCTATCAAGTTGATGGTGAGTGACACTTAAGAGGAGTCTGGATCCTCAAAGAAAGTATTCTATTGGTGTGCTTTTCAGGAAAAAAATCTGATGAAGCTGCATTGACTTACTCAGAGATTCTTAAAAAAAGTTTTAAATAATAAGATTTCAGAGGTGACGGGTTTTATCAATATTTTTATATATTTGTACTAAGTGCAAGATTCCTTACACCATTTCTAGTGCTGAATGCTATAAGGATTCTAACAATACTACCAATATATTTGTCCTTTTAGTTTTAAAGGGAAACTGGGGTCACAAATTGTTCCCGTTACCTGCCGCCACTTCATACATCCAGTATTGATTCGATGCTGTACAGTTTCCTTCGATCTCGCCATGAAAGAGGGAGCCGTGATACTTGAAATTGGAGCAGACTGTTATCGCTATCCCATCCATCGAAATGGTTTCAGGACTGGAGAGACCGCCTAAGTCGTAGAACATTTACTCAGTTTTAATTGATTTTTAAACCAACACTCTCCAGCCTTTTTAGTCATTTTCTGCCTAACACAATGCCATCTGCAGACAGCATGCACCAAGTGCCTCATCCTGGATGTCCGATGTCAGAGTATCAGGTATGGGCTCAGAGCCAATCCCTAGTGCAAGCCTACAGAAACACTAAATTCATCCGTGTTTCCCGCGACCGACTTTAAGTGAGTGCTAGACTCTCTGTACATAGCACGAATCAATTCTACATACTAAACAGGCACTCTTTCTTCTTTTAAAGCCTTTCACAAAACCTCTCGGGGTACCCTTACATGCCTTTTCGAAATCCACAAACACATACGCAAGTTTTTCACATAGTTTGCGCATTGCAAATATGGCATCTGTTGTGCCGCCTCCTGGCGTAAACCCAAATTGACTTTGTGTTATTGAGATGAGAATGATGATTTGTGTATGTGACATGAGCTTTATTCATCGATAGTTGTTGCATTGCTGAACATCCATTTTATTTTTTTAAATGGATACCAGTTGAGCTTGACGCCATTTCTTTGGAATTATCTCTTCATGTAACAACTTACTGAAGAATAAAGTCAACCACTCATATCCAATTTCTTTGAGTCATATCCATTTTCTTTAAGTAACTTCCAAACTTCCAGTGGTTTACCGTCGGGACCAACTGCTTTTCTATTTTTCATACTTTGTACTGCCAATCTGACTTCATTTATACTAATCTTGTTCATCACTCCGACATCACATCCACATCTTTCAGTACTCCATTTCATTCATTCTCTTCATTCATAAGTTTTCAAAGTAGGTTTTCTTCCATCGGTCTTTTATATCTTCATCTTTAACCAACACTCTCCCCTCTTCACCTTTCATACATCTTACGTGCTTTACGTCTTTTCCTCTTTCTGCCCTGTTTTTTGTAATGCGGTAGAGTTATTATGACCTATAGCTTCGTGTAGGTGTTTATACACCTTGAGCTCTGGCTACCGCTATCTTTTTTTTGCCTTCTTCTTTCGCTCTTTATATTCATTCATTTTGACATTCTTCATTCTCTCACTCCCCTTTTTATTTTTCAGTGCTTTAGACCTTCTTTTCCTTGCCTTGCATTTATTTCAATCATTTTTCTACCACCTTAACCTTAAAGTTACTTGTGTACTCTTCTTTCTCTAACATTCGCTACCTAATTTTTAGAGAGGATTGGTTCTTCCTACTCTTACTCAGAACCTTCCATTTGACCTCCATTTTACCAGCAATCTTTGTTACGAGACTACGAGTCCCGGCACTACTTTGCAATCTCTGACACAAACCAACTTACTTCTTTTCTATGGGAAAGTAGTCAATCTGTCACGTAGCTAACACTTTACTTCGTGAAAGGGTGTTAATGACATTTTTGGAACCCTGTATTAACTACTGCTAAGTTAGACTTAGCAGTAGTTAACATAGGGTTCCAAAAATAAGCATAAACCTGAGTCGGGCCTCACCGTTATTGTTTCTGCTTCCGAACCCCCTTCCTCCATGCACTCTTTCATAATTCGTTATTCCCACATGTCCATTTAAATCTCCACCTATCAAGAGTTCTTCACTTTCAGGGATGTGAAACTCCGAAAGTGAAGAACTATCATAACCATAATTTTTTTCTTTCACTTCATCCTTGCGTCCAGCTTGAGGTACATACACGCTAACAATATTATATTTAAATATATTTATTTACAATACTACACTATATATATTTACAACTATTATTTTATCGTTCACTTTCTGCACGTCCGTCACATACTCTTTTACGACATTATCCAATACTACACCCACTTCATTTCTCTTCCCATAACTTCAACAGAATATTAAAACTTGTACCTCTCGCATAGCTCTCTTGCTTTCGTACCTTTCCAGTTTTGTTTCTTGCAAGCATGCCACGTTTATTCTTCTTTACAACACATCTGCTAGCTCTTTCGCTCTTCCAGTCATTGTCCTAACATTCCAACTTGTAACCTCAATCTAATCTCTCGGGCTTGTTTCGGTGGTGTAATAACCCTTGTCCACTTATTGTTTGTGAATGTTGTCGTTTAAAGTTTAGGAAAGAAAAATAAAGGGAACATTGGGGTGGCAGGATTGGATGAGAGGGGAAAATTTGGGTGGGAGGTACCGCAGTACTCGGGTGGGAAACAGGACTAAGACTGCGGTATGTACCAATATCAAGCGGTTGGAGAGGCCCCTAGGACAAGTACAACACAGACTGTATATGTAGTGTCTGATGATAAACAGTCCAAATCCCTTAGTCGCCTTTTACGACACCCAAGGGAAAAGATGGGTTAGCATAATTCTACTCGGCGGAGAACCACCAAGTACAGTACGCGTACTACTAAGGCGCTAAGTACTACTACTCGTACGTGGTAAGGTAAAGTTTATAAAACAATTCAAATATACATATATGAGTATATATTATAGGTATATTAAGACGTGAAAACATAAGAAACAAATGAAACGTAAGCGCGCGTTCTGACACTGCCACTTGACACCTGCTCTCAACAACTCGTGAAGCGGTTTTAATATACTTTAAGTGTTTGGAATGAAGCTATAATAATTTGTCATCCCTAAGAAACGCTTCACTTCCATAACATTCGACGGCTCGAGGGCTTCTAAACTTGGTCTTTCCTTATCTGGGCGCGTTTGTAACCCATTTTTATTAATTACATAACCTAGATACATAACATAGAAACATGAATTTAAAAAAAACATTTATCTTTTTGTAATCGCAACCCCGCATCGTTTAACCTATTCAAAACCTCGTTAAGCCTACATAAATGAACTTCCTTGGACGGTCCGGTCACACAGATATCGTCCAACCAGCAGCTAACGCCATCTATATTTGATAATAGTGCTACCATTGATTTTTAGAATATCGCCGGAGCGTTGGCTAATCCATAGACCAATCTAGTATATTTAACGAGCCCCTGAGAGGTATTTATTGTAGTTATTGTGAGTGCTCACTTAAAATAAATTGGTTATATGAGTTTATTTAGGTCAATTTTTGAATAGTGCTCACCTCCTAATTTTGCAAACACCTCTTCTATTCTTGGTAACAAATACTTATCAATCCTAGATCTTTATTCAAGGTAATGGAATAATCGCCAGCTATCTTGAACTACCCATTTTCCGGACCGCTACAATGGGAGTTGCGTATTCCGAAGTGTTGACTGGTACGAGGATGTCTAAATCAACCAACCTGACCAATTCGTTCCACTTTTTATTTTAAGGCAAATGGTACTGATCAAGCTTTTAAAAATTTTGGGATTATATTTTCTTTCAATTCTAAATGTATTTCAAATTTGTTAATCGTGCCTAACTCGTCCCGCCATAGTTCTGAATATTGTTCCAACAATGAATTGACGTGCGAATCAGCTGATAAACTATTTAATTGTGTTCCTAAAACTAAATTAAAGGCGGCCATAAAATCGCGGACAAGTAAGGGTGGACCTCGTTGTACGGTACGACTTTATCTCGCGAATGAGTCGTAACCGTACATGGGGGTCCACCCTTAGAGAATTGCACCTTTCTTGTCATCAGTTACGTCATTAGCCAACAGAATTTGGTTCAATCGTCCTTTGAAGATACCACTCACAATATTAATAATCAAAACTTGATAAATTTTATGTACTTAGAAACACAACTCGTCGCCAGTGAGATATATGCTAACAAATGAAACAACCGAGTACGTATCGAGCAAATTTATTACTGAATAATGCAGAGGGCTCGCAACGCGCTCGGAGCGCGTGACGTCATTCGGTACACAATACACATCAATTCTGCAAATAGATTACAGGAACACTTTTGCATATTAAACTTTTTTGAGCACATGAGTTCGGCCTTTCCTAACTGGACTAGTCCTGAGAAGAAAGGACGAAATAAACCAATAAAGTCCAAACAATCTTCTTCAAGTGCAAATACATTTATCTCTCAATATTTTTATTTATACTATTTTATTTTGGTTTTTATAACAGGTAACGTGATAGGTCGCAAACGCATGGTGTCTACATCAGGGACATTAGGCGGCCTAGTTGCCAGTTCGAGCGCAGCGTCAACTACAAACAATGCCTCTCTAGCGCTATTGTGGGGTGCGACTGGCGAACAGGAATGGACCCCCGCTCTAACTACAGGTTGGTAATATATAGCAGAAGGTTCATTGGTTATGCAGAAAAGTTAAAATCTTAGACCTCATAAGACCGTATTTACAGGTTAATATTGTTTTTCGAACATTTTTATCACAATAATAGTATTATATATGTCCAATTGACTGCAGAGAATTCTTGAATGCCAATTAAGGGTTCTTCAAAATGAAACAAATTTTAATTACCAATTTCGAATAATATCTAATCAATGAGGCGTTATACATCCGTAAAAAACTTATTATCAGGTTAAAAGAAATATGGGTCTTAGAATCCATATAAATTTGCCGATAGTCCTTAACACCATATTGCCTGTAAATGATTTTCCTTTTGTTTGAACATTGAGCTGATCTAACTTCGGGGTATAGGTAAGGATTTGAAAATGTAGATATGAGTTGGAATAAAACAATAAAAGGCGAAACTAATAGAATGAGGCCATCTTTTGCAACTTAAATTGTATTATACTTCGTAAGAGAAAATTGTATTAGGACAGGGGCAATTTGATATATTGTCGCTGTCTCGAATTATTGTTATACATTATTTTTTAAATGTATGATTAAATTTATTCACATTGTTATTTTTAAGACCACACAATTAATATTCAATATAGAAGCAAGCTGTTTGTTTAAAAACTTCTCTTGACTCGAAATAGATTTATTTAATTATTGTCTTTATAATTCTTTTCCCTTAAATAATATAAAAAATGATCAGATAAGTTTTCTGAAACATATTATTGGAAATTAATGTCGATAACGACATTGTTATGTCGTGTATACGTTTTACTAAAGATGAGCCCTAAAGTTAATATGTAACAGAAACAAAATGATAAAATTTATTTATTTGTTCAATGTAAATACTTATAAAAATATCATAGATAATTATCATATTTATTGTAGTTATTTACATTTTCACATCATTAAAATCATTAGAAGTGATGGAAAGAAACACATTCATAATTCCCAAAAAATATTCAAATGTTTCTTCTAGATGTGTATGCTGCATGTAATGTTCTGGGCATGAAATAATCTTGTTTAGTTATAAAACTATAAAAATTAAAACATATCTTCTACACTTACAAATTACGTTTAGAAACTTCTAGAAGATTCATTTGAATCATTTTTTAATTCACACTAATTTTGGTCAGGATTAATAGCAGATTTCAATTTTATAATTGGAATGTCTGTGTACAAAGGTGGTTGGATTGGAATACTAGAAATTGTTTGCTGTTTTACTAAATGTTCACTTCATTTTTAATGTTTCATGATATCATCGCGTTGAAAATTCTCTTCAAACCTCATTGGATCCAAGCGAACCGAGCTATAGGTTTGATATTCCATTTATTGGATTTGCATTCAGTAGTTTCTGCATTATTATGTGTTAATCAGTATGATACCTATTTTATGCTACAGGGGTATTTTTTTATTTAAATAGCTTTTTTATACGACGTAAACTTTATAAGTAATAAATATGTATATGATATACAATGTAAGTACAAAAATATGCTACGCAATAGAGGCTTAAAAAGCTTACTTTACGCTATAAAGATAGGGATAGATATTTTTTTCTCAACCTTCTCGAGTGCGAGCTTTATAGAATTTTCTCGAAGCATATGACATGTTTAATTTGCGTCGCATTCAAATGTTATCCAACTTTGGTTACTCATAAACCATGTAGGTGGTGTTCTAAAAAAATACAAAATGTTTAATTAATTATCAAGAACTTTTTAATGAATTAACCTTGTTTGAGTGACTAGGTGCTTTATTCAAATACGGTGTCAGCTGTGGTGAGTGGTTTAAGTAGTTAATGGCAGTGTCGTTATTTCGTCAAGATTAAACTTGACAGTTCTTATATACAATAAATTAAAGCGATATACAGAGTTACATTATGCTGCTAAATTATAAATTAAGCAATAACAAATAAACGTAGAATAAAATAGGAAAATGTATGTATACTTACAAGCGCTATGCCAATGATACAAGTCATGATAGTTAGAAACGTCATGTTTACATTATGATATTAGCCTTTCCTTTAAACAATATAATCATCAACATAATTGCAACAGTCATGCATAGCTTCTGCTGCATGAGACTATTAAACAAAATAAATATAAAGCTCGCACTTAATTGTGTAATATAAATTTTTAAACAGCATGCGTTCGCTTGTTCTAAATTAACACTTCTCTAACCACAGCACACTAATGTTACATTTTCTTGTCATCATACGCATTTTCGTATTTTTATTATACTAATTTATTTGTATCTTACATAACAGTATTTTGTACAGAATATTAACAAAAATGTAAATAACAAAATAAGAATACGGTTTTGTTTAGCAAATTAATTGGTATGCTTGAAGGTAGTTCTTACATATTAACAAACTTTATTCATATTTCCACTGTGTTCATGAATGTGTAACCTCTTTTACTGTAGCACAACATGTAGGTATTTGTTATCATTTTGAACACGATAATATTGTAATTTTAAATTATTTTACTAAAACTATACTTGACCGCAATGTTGAAGTTATTTTACCGTTATCCGGGCACATTCATCTAAACATTGTAAAATTTATGTTCATTGTAAACCATAGGTGTGGACTGGAAATCGTTGACTATCCCGGCTTGTTTGCCCATCACGACGGACTATTTCCCGGATAAGCGTTCTTTACAGAACGACTATTTAGTGTCAGACTACAATCTTCTACCGGATGACGTCAACGCAGACTTTGCACGGAATAGAGCCATTTATAAGGAGCCGTTGACAACTATGGAAGTATTCAAGGAGTTGGTTTCGCAAAGATTAGCTCAGGTAAAGTGTAACTAGTAATATCTAAGAGTGTTATTAATTACGAGGGTGATCAATAAGTAATGATAATCGAGTATTTCTAGAACGCACAAAAACCCAAATTATTTTTTTTCTGCTTGTATATATATTCACTACTTCAGCTTCAAAAAAATGTATAAATAGGACACCATTTCCGGGAGATACATTCATTTGAATACGAACTGTCGAAGAGAAAACATCAAAATGGAGAAAAATGAAATAAGAGCTGTCATCAAGTACCTCTGCCTGAAAAAAATGTCTACCAAAGACATACACAGCGACTTAGAGGAAACATTGGGGGAGTCTGCTCCTCCATATTCCACAGTCGCACGCTGGGCAAAGGAATTTAAGCTGGGCAGAACCTCCACTGAAGATGAACATCGCGAGGGACGCCCTTCCTCGTCCCTTTACTGGAGAAAACGTCAAAAAAGTGGAAGATATCGTGTTGGCCGATCGAAGGGTGACCGTAAGGCATGTAGCTGAGGTCACAGGGATCTCCTATGGCAGCGTTCAAAAAATCATTGTCAACAAAATGCATATGAAAAAGGTCTCTGCGCGTTGGGTACCGAGAATGTTAACCGACGAGCAAAAAAAGAAACGAGTCGACATTTCGAGGGTGAATCTTCAAAAGTTCCAGGCCGATAAAGAATTTTTTTTGTCGCGTTTTGTGACCATGGACGAGACCTGGATCCACCACTTTGATCCCGAAACCAAACAACAATCAATGACTTGGAAACGAGCTTCCTCACCAACGCCGAAGAAATTCAGTGTCAAGTTCAGCGGGAAAGGTTATGGCGTCTGTTTTCTGGGATGCAGAAGGAATTATTATGGTGGAATATTTGGAAAAGGGGGCCACTATAACAGGCTCTTACTACGCAGGCCAAATAAGAAGATTGCGAGAAGCTATTAAGTCAAAAAGACGCGGTAAACTGCACGCTGGAGTGCTGTTTCACCAAGACAACGCCCCGGCTCACAAAGCCGCAGTTGCGATGGCTGCCATTGAAGAAACGGGGTTCGAACTGCTCGAACACCCTCCCTATTCGCCAGATCTAGCTCCCAGTGACTTCTACCTCTTTCCTCGGCTCAAAGAACACCTCCGGGGCAACAAATTTGAGGACAATAGTGAAGTGATGGCCGCAGTAGAGGCATTTTGGGAGGGTCAAGACAAAGAATTTTTTTCTAAGGGAATCATGGGCTTAGAAAAAAGATACACTAAATGTATTAACTTGCAAGGAGACTATGTTGAAAAATAAAATACTTTTTTTAATCTAATAGTTCTGTTTCATATTGATTATCATTACTTATTGATCACCCCTCGTATAATATTAAATTTATCATGCCTAATTTTCTTGGAATTATTTGGTTGCATATTTCCCATTAAAACCATTATAAATCAATATTGATAATTTTTCAGATTACTTTATTTATTGGTTGTTAGTTTCATTATAAGCAATTTATAAATTTGGGTAATTGAATTTAAATAAAAATTTAAATCAACATTGTTCGAATCTAATTATTAAACATTTTCAGGGTTTCCAACTAATAGTAGGAGTAAATGAGAACGAAGTAATAGAATCTCACTGCCCATCGTCTGGGGGACCGCCGCCTTCAAAAGTAGCACCTCAGATGGGCAAGGCAAACAACGTCGCTCCCACAAAACGATACTTGCTCTCTATTGGCAGGATCTTCCATAAGCTTACTCTCGTCGAATCTACCATCACCGTCACAAGATACAGGCCCAGGTAACCTAATTGGTATATAATTTTACTTTACACTAGTTGTACCATGCCACGCTTCGCTGTGGTACATTGCTGTTGCATTGATGAAAAACGAGGAACAAAACTGACGTGAAAAAATAGATAAAAAATAAAAATCAATTTTTGAATCGGGTTCTATATCGTGTTTAAATTTGGGTACGACTTTCCATTGACATCCGTCCAGTTGGGGGTTGATACTTTTTTTGCAGAAAAGTTACATTTTTATAAGCACACATGCAAAGTTTTAACAAGCGAAGTCGCGTAGTTTTTGAGAAAAAATATATTGAAAATCAGTTATTTTTGCAATATTTAGGTCAATCCCTATCACAAATTATATAGAATTCTCGCTATGGAACGTTTCGTTTTACCTAATATATGTGCATGAAAACTATTGAAATGAGTACAAAATATAATTATTTATAAAAAATAAAAAGTTTCCGAAGGTATGACAAGTTAACCGTAGGTAAAACAAAACGTACCATGGCCAGAATGTGTGGTAGGGATTAACATAAATATTCTAAGAAAAATTGATTTTCAATTAAATGAAACTCAAAAACTACGCATCTCCGCATGTAGAAACTTTGTGTGTGTGTTTATAATAATGTAACCTTTCTGTAAAAGAAATATCAACCCCCTGCTCGACGGACGTCAATGGAAAGCTAAGCCAAAATTTGAGCTCAATCGGTGCAAAACTTTTGAGTTTTGGAACGTACACAAACTAACTTAACATTTTGATATAGACTTGACACGTATCTATCTCTCTCTAACTTTAAAGAATATTTTTATGTAACTTTCAAAAATCTATTCGCCACTGGGTAATGGGTAAAACTTAAAATTTACGAATTATCAATATTTTATATTTCAGACACCCATACCCACCGTTCAATATCCACTACCGGTACCGTTTTCATGCACCGAATCACGACACATATGAAGTGTCCTGGGTGTCTTTTACAACGGAGAAACTGGAGACATACAACTGGAACTATATGGACCACTATATCTGTACGAGAGGGGACACCGACTTCGCGCTCGTTGAGGTTAATATCACGGTAAAGAAGGTCACAACTTAGTAAAACACTAACATAATTTATTATTAAAACTAAGTTGTGACTAATTTACATGTGTGTTACTTAAAGTTCAACTGATTTAGTTATCCCCCTTAAAATTGTTTATATTATAATAGTTTCCTTCTGGAGCAGATATCAGATTCTAATTGCAATTTCATAAAACAAAGAATTTATATTTATTATTGTTTCGATTGTACGAATTATCACCTTATTAATTACCAGTGGGCGAGTAATGTGCATTTAATCCCTATATAAAAAACTTCTTTTGGTATTTACAGATATTATTGTTTTAGAATATTATAGTATAGTATAGTACGAGTATTGACATATATCCATGCCGGTATAACGAATGGAATGAAGGTCAATTTTTTATTTCAACTCACCCAGTTAAGCGTTACTACGCCTGTGTTGACGGACAGTCCGGTGCTAGATGAAATCGTTGTCACTATAGAGTTGACGATATAACAGTATTTGAATGACTGAAATAATTTCAAAGATAGGATTCAGTCGAGCACCGGACTGGATTGACTCACTGGATTTCTCATCTAGAATAATGTGAATTGGGCTTCAAGTGCATGACAACTACGACTGGTTGTATTGGTTGTGGGCTTCGGTTTCCGCATTTAGACTCAGAGTGGTCCTTTATGCGTCGAGGATTGGTTGACTAGGTGAGCCAGCCAAGCTCCTTCCAGAAGCGCAGAAGCCTCCTGGGGCGTTCACAGGCTTCTAGGAGCGACTTTGTATCAGGAATGATACTTGCCCGTTGTGTGGCCACTCCCTCGCATTCCAGGACTACGTGGACGGCCGTTTCTTCAGCTTCCAGACATCCCCTGCACAGGGGACTGTCCGTCGCATCGATTATGAATAGTTGTCGGTTCAGGGCTAGATGTTCTGTAATAGTTCCGACAACCGTTCTGATTTCCGGTCTGCTAAGACTGATCAGTCTGCAGGTGAGTCGTGGTGTGACTTGATTCGGCACCAGTTTGGACTGTCTGCAGCCGGGTGAGTTTTTCCACCTCCGGTTGTGTGCTTCACAGGTCCGTTGCCTGACCCAGCATCGTATTTGGTTAAACGATATGGGCAGGAGTGGGGTTGGGCCAGAGGTTGGGGTTGCCGAGCCCCTCCTTGCCAACTCATCTGCGGCATCGTTCCCGTGTGACTGAACTACGACTGATATATCACTGTATAATTAATAATAAAAATCGTGTCTCTGTCACAGAATCTACTAACATGATTGATAAATAAATTACCGACCTTCACGAGGCGACACACTTGATCATATCGATCTTGTGTCTCATGCCCAATTATTATAATCCAAACACTATTTTCACTTTTATCAATAACACTATTATTTTGTTCAAGGCTCTCAAATACTGGCGCTTCCGCACCCTACTGTTGCCACTGTACAACCCTGCTACCAAACAAATTATGGAGGATGAAACGACACATTGTGACATATACCCAACGCCGACGAGACATGATCTCGATCAACTAACGGATGGTTTTCTTAAAATGACTGAACAATACTTTAATAAGGTCAAAAGACCCAATAAGCAGAGGGTAAGTATGACCGTTAAAAGTTAGATTTTATTTCAAAATGGCAGTTCATTTTAGATGGCATGGATAGATGTTAAAAAATAAAGATTTCGGGACTTTTTTTTAAAGTTCCTACAAAACTTCTAGTTTATAATATTCAACTATTTTTTATTTGCTAAGTTAAATCAAAGGATTAGTTTACGGCGAAATCATTTCGGATTGAATCGTTGTGAACGATCTTAAACGACATTGGTCATGTTGATCGAGGACGAAATTGAAATCAAATTTCTGTAATAACATATTATCCAGCAGAACTTTTTCAATAAAATAGTTTATAAATAGTGTACATATATAAATATCGAACCCACATTTTAGATATTGTTTTTTTATTCAATATATGCCTACATATGTATGTACATAATTATTACACCATAAATATTACCTGATGTAAAATTTTCCCATTAGACAAACAAAGCAAGCATGTTATTTGCACAGAATGTCACATAGTTACCTAATTTTGCACTGCATGCGTAGTTTAGCACCATTTTGTTAATTTTTAATATAAAAAATGTTAGTGAAATAACGCAAAACCGGGACTTATGACGTTTTGGCAATAAATAAAAAAGTAACATCACTTTAGCATTGAACGTGTAGATATGACTGAATAATTTTTACGGTGAGACAAATAGCTAAAAGTTACGATATTTTTTTTATAAGTCTGATGACAATTCTGTCATCATACCACAAAAACCACTACTAATTGGGCACTTACATCTCCAGTGAGTAGTGGTTATTGTACTCTTATGAAGACCTGTTTAAACGTAAACGGTATTCGCTGCCGCTGTGGGTAGAGGTACATACCTATCGCCGAGTTTCGCTAAGGTAATGAGTATGAAGTTCCGCGGCTAGAGCGAAATATATGTATCACGTGACTATGACTATGGTACCACTGAAATGTTTCGCTAAACAAGCGAGCATCGGTATTCATAGCGCCCCTCACCTCGCCAGCGGGTCAAGAAAGGCTATTAAAAGTAAAGCTTCCATCGCTAACCATCATTAAAATCAGAATCTCAGACACAGACTAACTAAAGATAACTTCATACCTTCAGGAACGAAGCTCGAGCGGAAGTCTACCCTCAGGGGTCGCAAAAGCCGCTTGGGTGTGAACAGTAATATTACCGCATACCCACTCGGTCGCTACCGCAGGTGACAGCGAATACCGATCCGACTTGAATAGGCCTTTACCCGTGACAGCTTACCATAAGGCCCTTCCTCATGGTAAGGAGTTACGAGTAAAGGAAAAGGAACCAATTATTTAACTAGTGTTTAGCGCATTTAGCGTCGTTATTTCTCTAACACATCGTGTACTACCGCTTGAAATAAAAAGAATCTTTCACATTATTTAGTACTAAATGTTCGCTCAAACTTGAAATTTAAAATGTTATTATCCAGTTTGTTAGCAAAGCGCATTATAGATTTTAAATAGTAAAGTGTCGAAGTTTGTGAATATTAAGTATATTATTCAAAATGTCAAGCCTTGTCTATCTGCGATCTATGTATGCATATATATTATTGTGTGGTTATGTGATAATTATGACCAATTTATCCTATTTTTATATTGCACACGTATTTTTTAATTTCATGTTTGAACATGAGCGCATGATTATAATTTATATGAAAATGTTTTATTAATCTCACAAGACCGCAGACCGGAGGTATAGTAGCAGTCTTAGTATTTAGTAGAAAATACGCAATACAATTTTTTATTTCGTCTTTTCATTTGCTGAATACATAAATAGTTGATACAAAATGCGACTTTGTTTATACAGCGTACCGGTACTAACCCGGCCTTTCGAAATAAATTGTATTTTATCTGCAAAGTAGCATAACGACTTCGCTCTGTGGTCTTAAAATGTAAGTGTGCTAAAATCGCGTTAGCAATATGCCTCGAGATCGCGGGCTCTCAATATCGTTATTGGGGGCGTTCGGTCGGAGGGAGGCGACAATACATCGTCGAATGACGTCGGATGGTCACGGGGTCCATTGGGCCTGGTGTAAGGGTCCTCTGTAAGGTGTGGGTGCTGCAGATGGCGATAGCGGCGGCCGGCCCCGACGCATCGCTGACGAGGCGCCGACACTCAACCTCCAACCTCACGCGAAATGCCCAGGTACCTCCCCACGATACACTAAATAATAACAAGTTGTTTCACTACGTAGACATGACTGCTGACCGTGTTCAAATACACGACAATGGCAGCTCCAGTCATAAGACTTGACAAAATTTTTTTTTACTACCAACATACAACCATTTCGTAGTCAGACTATCTTTGACACATAACTTCCAGGATATACTTTAAGCAAACAACCAGCCTGCTGCATTTATAGTTGGATATTGACCTGCCCCAATAAGGAACATACATATTTAAATATTTTACAAGTGTTTCAATTTGATCCTTAGGCAACAGACAACAATTTCATAAATACTAAGATTTTATTAAAGCGATTTCGCGCTTAAAAGGATAAAACGCTATGTTGTTCATTCGTCATGAAGGCCAACGCCATGTCGGTAGTAAAATCATAATTTATTACAATTATTTTGTTTTAGAATCAAACGTTCCTAGAGAAAAAATACCGTGTTAGGCCTGTAAAAGATTTCTCGAATTATTGTTTTGTCAGAAAATCCCGTCATGTATTATTTATTAGACGGTTTTAGTTAATAAATTAATTTGCTTTGTTCAGCTTAGAAGAAAATCTTAATTGATTGAATGATTTGGTTTATTCCTTTATCTGTTCGTAAATCTATAGAACATTTCTAACATGTACAAAATTATCAGGACCTTAAACTTACATAAATAAATTAAAATTGTACTTAATATCTTTAAAGATACGACTTACACAACGACAGTTATGTCTACGGTAGTTATTATTTAGTGTAAAGCCCACTTTCGCCACTCCCTCCGTCTCCACGCCAGACTACCTTGACACTTTTCAGTTTGTTGTACGATCAAATGGGGCAGACCTCATTTTTTGTTTTAATGTGTAATAGTCAAATTCAACAAAATATTCAAATTTCATCAATACGTCTACGGTCTGGTCGTTTGATCGATTTACTTAAATATTTAGTTCAATTTGGCATCAAAATTTTATAATTTTAGATGTTATTTTCTGTGGCATATTTGCGCACTCATTTCATTGGCTACATTCAAAAAGGGTTTGTAAACAAATATTTTGAATTTAGATTAACCTTCCATTGGAGTGGCGTTTGATCTTCTAATATTACATCTTAATCCACGTAGACTAATTTTAACAAGTTGATTAAGATAGAATCGTACTAATTTCATTGGCAAAAGTCATAATTTTATAGATATCAGTGCAGCTTTAATTTTTTTTCAGGTGGATGACACTTAATACTGTAGACGAATATTAAAAATCACCTCTGGTTCATCATCCAATAAAGTACTTCGAAACTTAAAACGATGTTACATAAATTATAGAGACTTCAATTGTATGTACAAAACATTATCAAATGTCTCTAAAATTTCTTGTTGTTTTAAGTTTCTTCTTGACCAAAAGATCTCGTCTTTCTATACTCTTGAACGAGACTGTCGTATTTGTTTAATGCCAACTGCGTGTATATTTGCACTGCTTATTATAAAATTATGCATAAAGAAGCACGGAATGCACCAATAATGAAACATTTATTTTCTCGCTTTTTAGTTTATTTCTTATTTTAAGTAAATTTCTTATAAGTGAGATCCATGAATAAGACAACATCGTGTTTTTCAATGAATAATATTACTTGATTCTCCAAAGAGAAGGAATCTTCAAATATAATGTACACTCAATTTCAAAAATATTATAGACTGCATATTTGCTTTGAAAATAAAAAAGTTGCCTGTCGACATTTAAAATACACAAAAAAAATTACAGTTCGTTTATATTGTCATTTTTAATTTGTAGTTATTTTGACAATTGAGTGTATGTTATTGTAATATTATACTGTCTTTTATGTTGTCCTACAATTTAGATGATAAGTGTAGTGTTAAAGTGAGTGTTGTGTGTGGTGTATCAGGGCGGTGTATCAAACTCTCCCTTCAGGGAGCGCGTTGGCAGCACTCGTCTACCTGATCGGCCGAGGCTACGGATCGAAGCCATGTCAGTACAAGACACACCTAGGTACACAATTTTCACTGTGTATTTTTAAAGAAACTAAAACTAAACTCTTTATACTTAATAATTTTGTTGGGTTACAATAATTTAAAAATAAACAGTGAATTTCAATGTGTTTTATATGCGTTTCATTTTTTATCACCAATATACTAATATTGACGGCCTTGTTTCATTTCTTTTTATTTACACTAATTAGATAATACATAAATATGATTTCAGTATTTTTAAGTTTCGATTTCTTTTTTTGATTGGTTCATCCATTCAAGATTAATTTTATCACTGAATAATGAATAACACTATTAATGAATATGATATAATTCGGCTTTATTTAATATAAGTTACAATGCAACGTAAAAATTATGAAACGCGTATGAAAACTACATGTCAAACTTCAAAATCACTTTTTTGTATGTGGTGATCGCATGGTGTGCTAGTGCTTTGTGCAATATAATTATTTAATATCCACGAATCTGCTTTATCATTAATTATATGTATTTAATATACATCGCTGAAATATACATTTAAATTTTATTTTAGCATATACCTTAATATATTATATGAATTAAGTTATATTTAAATTACATTTATCACCCATGTGATATTTTTTTTTACCAATGGCCTAATTTTATTCTCTATTCAAATAATTTTCTACACTAAACGGACATTGAACGCTTGCTCGTGCCTTTACTCTCGATTGCTTATTCTTATTCTTATTGGATGTTTCATTGCAGCTACTATCACCCACTAAGTCACTAAACACTAGTCTATGCCACAAGTAAGTATACCAATTCGCTTCCTCCCCTGAAACACTTAGAACTTACAAACAATACTTGGGGCATACTGAAAGTTTCCTGATACTGATAAAAGACTTACAACAAATGTATTGTTTTTCAAAGTATATTTAGTCCCTTGCAATTAATGGATTTTTTCATTCGCTGAAACCGTAGTGGTTTCAGCGAATCAGAAGTCGGATCAGTCTTCCTTAGGGACCTCTTCAATGGCTTCACGGAACGCATTCAGCGCCGATTCAGGGCTCGTAAAACGTGTGCCTCTAAGTTTGTCTTTAATTTTTGGAAACGAAAAGAAGTAAAAGGTTGCGAGGTCAGGGCTGTAAGGCGGTTGCGTCATCAGTTCAACATTTGAAGAAACAATTTGATTTTCTTAACTTTCGTCGGCAAATCTTCAAAAGGATAGACACACTGCCGACTGTTTTTTTCTTTCGGGTTCAAAGCAGTACAACCAGGTTTTGTCATCTGTCACGATATTATAGACAGCCAACGACTGTCCTCCGTTAAACTTTTTTTATAATTTTACGGCACCGCTGGACACGCAGTCGTTTCTGCTTCTCCGTTAAGTCACGCGGTATCCACCGAGTGCAAAGCTTCCGAATCTTCAAAATGAATTTGCTGACAAGTAACTTTTTGTCAGTTTCAATAAGATGTCGTACGATGTCAATATTATAGACTGTACCTTCACGTACCTCGTCGTGGAGATCACGTCCACGTCTAAATTCTCGAAACCTAGAATACACAGAGCTTCGACATGGTTCTTTTTAACCAAATGACAATTAAAGTCTCTGGCAACTCCCTTGTTAACTTACGCCACAACGAAAATCATAAAAAAACGTTCAACGAAAATGTTCGCGAGTTGAATTCATTTTGATACGAAACACAATTTTCGAAAAGACGTCACAATGAAAAAACAAAGAACAGTCTCGCAAATTAAAAAGTAACATATTCTCAGAGTTCAATTTTAGAAGTCCATAATTGTTATTTCATTATTTTATTGTAAGTGGCCAGATCCAGAGACTTTCAGTATGCCCTACTTCTAAGCTCTGTTAAACACCTAAAATTATTTTTGAATTTTTTGTTTAAATGTGCATTGGTTATATGACACTAATGATTTCACTTTGGCAAATGCGTGAGAAGCTTTGAGCAGCTCCTTCATCTGATGTGCTCAACTCTTCGTTTAAATACAAGTTACAGGATATAAAACCACAGAGAGAGTGGGTAGGTAGACCTTTTTTCGTCCTACAGGAAATAACCAAATTGATTCCTTAGAATTTGTTCATACTGTAATAAAATCATCAAGCTTTAAAACTTATATTTTTACTTGATAAAGAGTAAAAGGAAGTATCTCTAAAATCATGAAATTAAACTATTATCTGAACTTGTCTGCATGTTCTAAAATAACTATAATATACTATTTAAAATAAATATATAACTATTGGTGTATTCAAAGATGATCCGTTTTTGTTTGAGATACCAGAAACTCTAGAAACAACTATCAAAAGCGATACTTGTTAAAATAGAAACCTTAAGTTATTTAAGTGCATTTTGAATCTTTTACCTCTGCTTATAAACGTTTTGTAATTTATTACATGGTTAAGGAATATTTAAAATGAAACATCTCGTTGATTACATAATTTTCAATATCTTACGCTTGGTCGCTTGAGCATTTAAATAACCTTCTGTAGATATTGCATTCTAGAATAAAACTGTTTCAATTCAAAAATCTGAGTCAATTTAAAAAAAACACTGTTTTCACTGCCGTCGACGTTTCTAGAAGCCAATTTGCTTGATCAACTCCGCCCTTCGAGACAGACAGACGATAACAGAGCACTTTTTGTTATATCGTGAAAGTCTTTTTGTGTTAAAACAGTTTTAATCTAGCATATAATGCATGGATAGAATTCAACTTATACTTACTTGTAAAGTAATATGACATTGACTTCAGGGCTGCGGTGAAAACTGTCCTTGAGAGGACGCAATCTCAAACCGGTGAATGTGATGATACATATGATGACGGGTAAGATATATTTTGTGTAAAATAATTATGTGAGCTATTAGGACATGTCCTCGAATATAGTGGCGGCAGGATGGCAGCGATGTAGGTCGAAAACTATACAAGTAATGCATGCCGCATTAATAGTATACAATCGATTAGCAGTCTCCTCCTATCAAAAATACTATTGACTATTGCAGTTAAGGACAGTCGGACGAACAAAAGACCTACGAATTTTTCAAATAAAAGGATCTCTTTCAGAGTCTGCAGTGATAAAGCAGTCTGAAATTAAAAAAATACTATCTTAATAACTGATATCAAGAAACGGTCAATGACCGGTAAAATGAATCTTACTGTCAGATAAACCGCGATTACTACAATAAAGTCTAATTTACTTTAATTTATAAATATTTGATTTTAGTTATTCATTTTATGTTATTAAAACTCTCAGTTACACTATTCTATATATAGATATTCTATTACAGAGTCATAGAACCAAAGCTGAAAGCAAACGCAACATTAGTAGAAACTATGGAGCGTATGCGCAGTCCTACATTAGGAGTTGGGTACTTACAGCAAACCGTCAGTCTTCCGTCACATGCCTTTGTATCCATATATGCCATACACTGGCTTCAAGCTAATATGGAGGGAGCTACTTATGAAAAAGCTACAAATATTATGGAGGTAATATTGATAAATGTTCTATTTGCCGATAGTTGATTTAGTCTAATATATTCTCAGCTTTATTGAGTAAATTATTCATTCAAATATGTATCGACCCATTTAAAAGTTATTTAATGATGCATCGAAAGAAAAATTAGAAAGGTTTCCTAAGAAATAACAACAACCAAACAGTTTGCAAACAACATTAGGTGACACAAACAACCGCTGTCGAGTCAACTAGTATGGTGTTTTTTGTTATCCATTTTAAATTAGTTTATCCTTTGAAGGCTAATGTTTATATTTGATAGGTATTGCACGCATTAATTATAACTTCTTCAGAAACTGCTACAAGAAAGGGTGATATGTCACGCATCAGGCGACACCTCAAAGCGGTTTGTCGTCGGCTACTACATGTATCACATACTGCCTCAGAAAAAAGACAAAGGTCAGTGGAGCTTTTCAGTGTTTACATTCATTTCATTCATTCATCTCATTTAATAAAATCGATTACTACTTACGGTCACTGCGCGTGGAATTGTCTCTGGATTGATTCGTACGTTACTGTCCAAACTCGTACGGCCTACCCGCACTGAAAATCTTATTGCGGGAACATTTATCGACATAGGCTGCTTGGATCTTAAGTGTATGTAGCACTTGCCTCGCCACGAACGTGAAGACACAAATATAGCTAAGTATATGCTTCGCGAGACGCTACATGACTTGCAAAGCCGAAAGCGTATACCCGCATTAATACGAATCTACAAAAATAATCTATACATAAATAGTATAATCTAAAATGTACTTTATTTTTTACAGAGAATTTATCAGACTATGTGAAACCACTTGGTGATCTGCAAAGCTTCGAAAACGAATGGATGGAAGTTGAAGTATTAGGTCCTCGATCGCCCTTGCTACCGGCCGAAGCCACGTCGAGGGCCATCGATATATCCGGGTCGAGTCCGGTCACGGACGACACTGGGGTGCCGGCATTCCTGTGTGATAATATTGATCCTGATTACATGCAACTGGGAAGTGATAGCGACAGTATGTAGTGTCTAGTACATTCGTACCCTATTACCTATACTTATGCATGCCTACACTCACACTTGTACTGCCAGAGGATAGACGGAGGCGTATTCAAACCCCATATTGTGCCAAATATAATTTAGTCCCACTCACGATCAGTGGGCAGGCCTAATTTCTTCAACCATATTTTTCAGTGCCCCTGTACAAGAACACGCACTTAGACATTGATGTGAACAATAAAAGCGATCGCATCGAATGGGGCCACGCTCGTTACCAGGCCACCTTCCGGCCGGACCAGGCTTATGAAATGTGCATACAGTGGGCCGTTGCTTCAGGAAATATCGTCGCTGAATTGGTATAAATTTACATATATCTATCATTTTAGGGCTCTATCACAAAAGAACTCCTTTTAGGATTAATTCGTTGTCTGTCTGTTAACATCCTTTTCATCGGTAATGCCAAATGGAGGTACCAAATTGAAAATAATATCAAATACTATCTACGAGATCAAAGACTTTCTAGTCCGTGTGGTAACGGATTAGGAATACGGAGGTCGCCACCCCTATTCAACCCGTGGGTGTTCTAAGAGCCGACAAAGGGAGCAAACTACGCAGGACAACAGCATTGCAAAGAGGAGGAAAACTTGAAACAAACCCTCTACCAACCTGTCTGACCAGTGTAGTATAGTAGGCCAAAACGTCCTTTCTCAGAAGAGGCCTATTTCCAGCAGTGGACTATTAAAGGCAGTTGATGTGATGTGTGTGACTTTCTGCGATCTTTTTAACTAGTAAAAAAAGTTAGTAGTACTAATTAGTACAAAAATTGCGAATTTGTACTAATTAGAATTGAAATAGATATTGCGATATTTACGTGTTCAAGCTCAGTAAACAAAACACTCACCAAGTTTAATTAGCGTTGGTAAATTAAATGAACCTTTACTTTTTTGTTCAAAATATATGTATAGATGTATGCCCCGATATACTTAAAAAAATGTGTCCTTTTATTCACAGATTTTCGGTTGGGCGCGTAAAGCGCAAAGCTGTCGTTTGCAAATGGTGCCCATACCGGCTGACCCTCTCGCTTTGCCGTTCACCTTGAAATCTGACCCTCTGCGAGGACCTATATACGTGCCTCTCAATGAAGAACCCTTACTAAGGAGTAAAAGTACTTTATTTGAAGGTTTGATTTTTACGTTATTATGGTTATGTATAGAAAAAATTTGACTACAGTGATTCCAAGATGAGTTCTAAATTTAAAATTGTTTACCTTGTAACGTTACAAAAGGCCAGAAAAGGAGAAATGGACCTTAATAGCACTGATGCTATTAAGTACCTGGGTACTCATTAATAGTAATAGCTATGTAGTTATTATTATTAATGAGTACCCAGGTAGATTACAATGTTTTAATCTACACTTATATTCCAAAACTTTCTAATAATTGTAATAATGTATAATAAAATCTCTGAGCAGTTTATCCAGCCAAAAGCTTTATAGTGGTATTCTTATATAGGTGAAGTATGTGTATTCCCTACAGGTTTTCCCGAAGACACTTGGCTGGAGCGTTTGTTCCTGTTCCAAGAAGCAATAGTGGGCCGATTTGGATTCATAAAGTGTACAGTTGAAAGTACCTCTCACGAGGCGGGCGTAGGCGACCATTTGTACGTACACGTTACAGGCAACATGTTTATTTTGATACCCACTACCGTCAAGTCGGAACACAAGGCTTTGAGAACAAAGCCCGCCAACAGACCGCTCAATAGCAGGTAAAACATTTTTCAATAACTTAGTACTAAACATACTATACAAATCAAAAACGAATCAGTAATAAGACTCAAATGGTCCATGTTATTAACCTATTCACCTTTACTTATTATATTATTGACTATCGTTGTAGTTCAAGTTGTAGAATCCATTTCAAAGCGTCTAAATCATGATACATTGTAGTAAGTCGTATTGAATGTTGTTGAATAATCGAAATTGACACAAAAAGTATACGATCTATAATGGAACCTTCCCTATCTGGAAGTCGATTAAAAATTAAATAATTAGTATCGTTGTAATTATCTGTATTAGCTCGTCTGTCGCCTCTAACATCTATAGCTAAGAAGAAATCTGGTTTTGCCGTCTAATCTAATCTTTTACTGCATTATTGTAATTTATTTTCTTTTATTAATAGCAGGTACCCGGTGCACTTAGAAGCAGCCCCCAGTCCCCACGAGGGTTACATAACGAGGCATGTCACTGGCAAAAACAAGGATGACTACGATAATACTCGCCGGGTAAGTATTAGGCACTATTCAAACCTTTCACTGTTTCTAATTTTTACGTTTTTTTTCTAATTTTAATTAAACCCACTTGTAATCGGTGCGGTTTCTACAGAATGATTAATATGGTGGTTCGATGCAGGTTTGAGTTACGCATCTTTGTAATGCCAGCGATTCGCATCATGTAAATAAAACGTACTAACTGTATTAAAAATCTATAATCTCTGGAGTAATAAATATAAAAAAAGATCGGAGTCGAGCAATTCAAAATGATTTGTTAATTACCTACGCACTATTTATTAAAACAAGGAAAAAAGAGTAGTTAGTTTAGATTTTATACCCTAAATGATAAGAATACCGCATAAATTGGTACTTTATCATTTAGGATAGAAACCGCGACTGATATAGTGATAAAATGTTGCTGGCAGATAAAGCATTGTACAGACGTCATTGACCAATTACTATGTATTAAACTTTTTAACTCTAATCTAAAATAAAATTGAACTAAAAATAATTGTATTAAACCGATAAGTTGCCTATCTATATCGATTTGCATTATTTTGTCGTATACATAATAGGTATGTTTTACTTTTAAAATATTTACAAAAGTAATTTTACAGATGGGATTTCTTTGGTCATGGAATCATATGATATCTAAAAAGTTAAAGTCTTCTCAAACACCTGCAACAGGAGACGAAGGTTTCCAAATGCGAATGCTCCGGGACTTTAAGCATTTCTGTGCAAATCAAGAACAAAGACTCAGCCAGTTCTGGGAACAGTGTTGGGAACTCAGAGAAAAGGCCCATGGCATTCAGTCCTGTTAAATGTAAGCCAAAAATAAATGTAAATCATTATGCATGTAAGTAAATAAACTGTACTGTTTTAAAATGTTTTTATTTTTATTTCAATTAAATATAGGGCACAGAAATCCCCAGAGGTACAGTCGAGTTCAATAAAATATTAGCAGTGCTAATGTTTTAAAATATTGTAAGCGTTAAAATGATCATATAGGGAACTTCCAGGTAAGGTTTTAGGAAAAGTGCTGCCAGTTTTAGAATCTGGTATATTCACCACTGGCATCAACAACATTTTGCAAACGTTCAGTGATGCAATCATGTTTGAACAGGTGGCGCTACTTCTAAAACCTTCCCGAATCTCATGTATCTACTGGTTACTGATCTTACTCGAGTCCCAATTTTGAACCATTAAACCCCATAAATTTTCTATGGGGTTTGGGTCAGGTCTTCTTGGCGGGAGTATAATTAAATGTAAATCTTTTTGAGCTGTCCACTCCTGGACCCTTCTAGCACTGTGGACGCAACTTTTCTGTACAAATTCGATTCTATGACCATCGCGATAAGCAATTTTACCGGTTGGAAGAAATACATCTTTTAAGATGTCCACGTAATCGACACCTGTCAACTTTAAATTGAATTTGCTGAAAACAAACAATGTTGACTTAATCGCCATTATTACAATAGGATTTACTTTTGTAAAGAGATTTTTACAACTTATTTTAAATTTAAGAAAAAAATTCGAGACAAAAATATTTTTCATAGATTTGCATAGATATATATGATATATAGATATATATATTTATGAACCTCACTTTGCACTGAAAAAAATGAGCAAGGAATTGCGCACAATATTTATAGTCTTTGTCTGTATCAATATTATTGATATTATTCAGGTACATATTTATGATGTCACGGAGTGTTTACAATTTATTGTATGGCACAGCTGTTTAGAGTTTTATGAATCCTACCATTACCATAGCATATGGTATGGTATGGTAATGGTAAGTTTCATAGATAGTTGTTTCAGATATTTAAGAACTCGACTGTACCTAATTATAATCGTTGAGGATGCAAACAGATCCCTATCCCTAGTTTCAAAACGGTCACCAAGAAATATTGGTAAGTCGGCATCCCAAATAATAAGAATCTTTTTTTAAGTTCTTTTTACGTACGCGAATTCAAGTCTAATAACGTATTCAAACATGTAACTTTTAACACGACGATTCGTCATCCTTTTTATCTGCCATATGTTGACCACACGTCTTGTTACGCGGTAGCTTAATATACGTCGTAGTTGAAGAAGTTATCGAAGACGTAAGTAGCACAGAAAAAGAGGACCCAAATAGTGATGATTATTCATATTTTATCAAGTTTGACAATTTAAAAGTATCATTATTGTTAGTCTATTAATATCCTCATATGATTAATAACTCATAAGGATTTCCAATCGTTATATTGTTATCATTGACGTCTCTAGACATGACACACAGGTGAAGTTTACGTAATTTATGGCCAATGTTGATAAAAATCAAGTTACTCTGATTCAAAAATAGTAACCTAAATTAGGAACAAGACATTATGATGCCATCTATTAATGATCTGTAAAATTTTCGAAACGTTTCTTTTTATGTAGATGTCCACAACACTTGATTTAAACAGTTATTGCTCATGGAGTAAATTGTTTACATTTTTTTAAACAGCTTTTATTATTTTAATTAGGTAATATTAGGAGTAAAACATGATTAATTCTATACCTTTAGGGAAAGTTTTGCGTAGTAATAATAATATTAATTTATTTAATTCAGAATTGTAACTAATTATATAATGAACATGTGTGTCTATTTCCGAACGATAACGTTAATATTTTAAATACTAAAGTAAAATACATATCACGATTTTGGTGACAATGTTGATAAACTACGGACTACTAGGAAATCCGTTATCAATGAATACACTTCTTCTTCTTTCTTCTTCACTTCTAGAATTATGTTCAAAATGTAGTCTATTAAAGTGGTAAATTACGAAAACAATATCTGTAAGAATATCTATAATAATCTGAAGTAATTCTCAGTAAATTGGAGTTTTAAAAGCAGGAAAGAAACTTTCAAACAGATAACAAGGATAAACAAAACAAATAACAATATTTAACAATTATCTTTAAAACAGTACAGTAGAGCAAAGCAGATTATTCACATAAAGTGTTAGAGCGAGATGCACTACTGACCTTGCAGTGGTGCAACGCGTTGTCGTCTCTTTCCGATGCGCAGAAGTGACCCCTCTGATACCTCTAAAAATCATTATATTTTTTATACAAATCATTATATTATCGCAGAGTTATATGGCGCTTACTATAAACTTGCTTTTTTTTCTACACAGTGAAAAAGTTCATACTCAATTGTACTCACAGCTTCACTTGCATGGTACCTACATAATAAAACATAGCCTCTCTTCTATTCCAGTACCTATATATGTCTATGCCAAATTCCTTCCAGAACCCTTCAGTTGTTTTAGCGTGAAAGAGCTACAAACATCCATTCTCACACACTTTCATATTTATAATATCAGTAAGATAAAATTAAAAATAGTATCTATTAAGTTTTATTTTTTAAAAGACCTTTAAACTATTATTATTATTTTTATTTTACACATTTTAGACAAACTACAGAATAAAACACCTTTAAACTATTATTATTATTTTTATTTTACACATTTTAGACAAACTACAGCAATGTGTAGGCATAAACACACTTAACGTAATATTGGCCAACTTTTAAGTAAATTTCATCTGTATGCCTGAGACGAGAGTTGCAGTTCGTAAAGGAATAAGACGCTGTAGGCGCAAGGATGAGGTTCATCAATGTGTGTAGATTAGAGATGAAACGGATAGTCGGATGGTTGGATACCAGAGGCCAGATAAACGTCCAATGTTGAGGCCGGCTAGTCGGATATTCGTCAGCCGGATACCTTGTCTGGATATTTGAATCGATTCTCCTGGACATCGTCGAAAGAAAGTCACTCTCGTTAAAAAGTAAGAAAAAACTCATTTACACCACTCATGGATTCACCACGCCTCAAGGCCTCATTTCATCATTACTTAGATACGCGATAATTGTTGAAGCTAAAAGAGCTCGAAAGAGAATTTGATACAGTTGTTTTGGGATAAGTAGTTTTTTTTTGTAAAATGGCGTAGTGGTTTGTGTAACGGACTGCTATTCCAAAGGTCGCGGGTTCGATTCCCGCTCAAGTCAAACATTTGTGTGCATGAACATTTAATGTTTGATTTGGTCTTGGTGTTTCTATGTATAATAAGTATGTATTTACAAAAAAAAAGTATATACATATGTATTTATATCAGTTGTCTAGTACCTATAGTACAAGCTCTGCTTAGTTTGGGACTAGATGGCGTTGTGTGAATGTGGTACAATATTATTATTATTAAATGTTACATAGATCTCTTTAGACTTACAGTGGTAGCGTATGCGATTGCTTTGCTCAGGTCTCGGGTTCGATTCCAGCGTTGGACCAAATGTTTGTGTGATTGGTGTTTTCTATGTATAATATGTATGTATTTACAAAAAGAAGTATACTATTATTCTATCAGTCAATTTAGCGTTCATAGTACAAACCCTGCTTAGTTTGAACTTGATGTTGTGTGCCTATGTCTGAAAATATTATTATCATAAAAACATAATTGTATTACTTTTAAAAGTCGGTTAGTTGTGTAAAGCTAAGTCATTTCCTATGTTGGTAATGCCCAGAGACATCAAAGATATTGTTAGCTAAATCTGAAAATGTAACACACATTGGCCTAATGCACATACATATAAATTAATAAATGTACTTCATCAACAAATAATATAGAATGGCAGTAAAACAATTTATAAAGTTAGGAAGAAATTTATTGCTTTGTTCATTAAACTTTACCTAGTAAATAAAAGCATTTATAAAAATATGAACCAGCATTTCATTACTTAAAAAATCTATGAGGTGTTTACAAAAATTTATAATTCATTGTTGTAATGTTCAGAAAGGCACAGTTCAATATTTAATAATATATATAATTTTATATCTACTATCAATGTATGTATATGTATTACAATATAGTAATCACCCCTCACAGATTTTTTTCATTTCTACTCAAGACTAACGATAAATCAGTCTGTTACCATTATCACAAAGACTCAATCTAATCATTGTAATGAAGTTTTTTTATTTCTAGTGGATACATTGCAACTAAGTACTTACATAGAATGACACATTACATTTAAAGTTTGAATATTTTATTTATTATGACACCTAAGGTTCAACGAAGCACCTCTAAATTCAAGCCATCACCAAAATAGAATTAAATCTAATTACAGTCTTGATGAGTATAAATTATGACCACAAATCAATATATTTTATGCATCTTGATACAAAGAAACAGCAAAATTATATAAAAATTAAAAATATAATTTTTCAAACTGTCTAATATCACAAATTTAATAGAACTTCATAAATAGATAAAACAAATCATTTCAGGAAAATAATAATCTGTTCAACACAGATACATATTTTTGATATGTCATAACGTAGCTAAACTTATTAGTGGTCATGTGTTACATGACTCATAATCTAATTTTAGGTATACCTGTGTATTATGAAATATAAAATAATACGTAAGTACTTGACATGAAATGCAATTGCACATCTTATTTCAATTTGAGCAACTTTAAGATAAGTTTAAAAATGCAAATACAATTGTGCATACAAATAGGTAAACCTTCAGGGTTTATTACATAATGTTAAACAAATAGGTCATTCACACCTACATATAAGGTATAATAAAAAATATTTGTGACAGATATGGCAAACTTAACAAACACACTCCATTGACATAGAAAACTACAAATGTTAAAGAAATGCAAAAATTAAATAATCTCCATAATGCATCTAGCCACAAAACAGTATCATATTTAACAGCCTTTGGAGGAATTTGGACATTACTTTCTATGAGATTAGGAATATGTATTTCCTTAATTATTTAAACTACATACATCAAACGAGATTCTGTACTATTTAGAAATAAGGGTTACTTAACAAAAGTAACAACAAGATTGCTTCTTGAGACTAGGATTGCTCTTTTTCACCAAACACAAGAAGACGAGTAAGCATACTTGTAATACAAGGAACCTGCTTTTGCTGATGCATAGGAGTTATATCAGGGGTATTTGATTCAAAGTCCAATGCTACTCGTTGACTCACAAAAGTCAATAAAGTCAAGATATCTCGCTTCGTACCTGAATGACGCAACTCATCACACAATGCTTGCATGAACCATGAGCCACGAGTAGTATTCCTCCAGGAGTAATATCCAGGAACTGTTGAGAATACAATCAAAAAGTCTGCATGGATAGGAATTTTATATGAAGATGAAGACAGCCCATCAGTTTCTGTTCTGTTAAGTGTGATACCTGGATCTAATTTATCGCCTTGACAAGCTTGTATAAAGAATATCTTTGGTTTACCAGCAAGTGAGGGGCATTTATCAGCAGTGAAATGGGACCACAGGTTATCTGGTTTATAATGAGTATCTTTAGCATATAATAAACCCAACTCCCCGTGCGTTAATACAGCAATGAGAAGGCAGTCATGGTCAGTATGATCTAATTCTGCAATCTGCTGAACATAACTGTGGACCTCGCTGGACGTGCGATTATTTACAACCGTTACGGCAAATCCTAGGCCCTGAAGTACTTTGAGGAGATTGTTACTGTCTACGTTGGTTCCAGTGCGTGGTTTTAAGCTATGGATGTTGAAGGTTTCGTGGTTAAAAATAATCGCTATGCCGCGTTTCTTATGGTTCATGTTATAATACGGAGCGTTTCTTTCGGTAGGCATACGTGCATATCGTGCACCCTGTGAGAAATCGTGACTTCCCAATGCGTCGCCTTCGTCGCCGCCACCTCCATTTGGTCTTTGTTCTGTTTCTCCACTTCCATTGTCCAAAAGCTCTTCTTCCATTTTATAAGTTGTAACTATGTTAATTGATTGAGAATTATCAGTAATATTTTTACAGTATATAACACAATTGTATTGTAATAATTAATTTAAATATGATATATCAGTAGGTAGCCACTACAGATTCAGAAAGCCACACACAACGTAATGACAACAAATGACAAAGACAAACCAAACCAAACTGAACCAAAGACTGCGAAATAGGGATGGCGATCTATGATCGATTGATCAGGCCCAAAAACATCGATTTTTTAATCGATATGTAGCACTGAATCGGTTCAGTGGAACTATTTGTCAACATAGAAAATAAACATTCTATGTTTTCAGTTTTGATAAAGGCCAAAAAAACATTCACAGCTTGTTGAATGTACTCAATATAAATAATATGTAAAATAAAGGAGACTAAATTAAAACGACAGCCTAGCCTCTCTATAAGAGTTCATCACAACGAGTTAATCCTAAGTGCCCCGTTGGTGTCGCTTTTGCAGCTACTCTATTCTGCATGCTATGCTATGCTCGACACACGTACAGAAAAAGCACTTTTTTTACTTAATTATAAAAAATAGCAATGAAGTATATGACTATCGGGGGATCATCTGTGTCTTGTGAGCGCCTTGTCTTGATTGCGGCAACATCGAAAGTGATGAGCGGAGCCGCTGCGATCCCACTAGATTTGACAGACTATTGTTTCTCAAAATCTTATGGCCATCGGTCATATATTAGTAAGTGTACAGGATCTGCCGTTCATCTTTAGAAAACAAATGTCTAGTCTAAGCCTACCTAATCAATGGCGGATTTACCAGCAGGCTGAGTAGGCTGGAGTCTAGGGCGGCAAATTTGACCCATTTTTTTTTGTCTTATAGAAACGAAAAAAAAGCATTATTATATACACGGAGAAAAGTCTCGAAAATTTAACAAAAAAACAATATTTTGTAACCTTCAATGTTTATAAACATCGAGTTTTTTAATATTCCAATAGCGATCTAATATTACAATTTAAATAAGTATTTTTTTTTTTATTAATCATCACTCAGTCATGAGGCCCTGGAATGCGCAGTTACGCCGCCCGGTTTGCTGGCGGTTTTCGTATACAACAGTTATTAATTGTCTGCGATACTCTGTAAATACTTTTTATTTTCTTCCTTTCAAAAAAACTTCGTGTTTGCCAATATTGTTTCGAAACACAAATGTAGGTATTTGGACTATTTTAGACGCACATATTTCTATCGAGGTGTTGCTTGCTGCTGAAAATCGGCGCTTTAGCATTATGCTGAGCAACATCTCCTTTTAATGAACGCTGCGACGCAATTGTACAGCAAATATCTTATGTACCTATGTACTACGTTTTTGTGTTATGTGTAAGAATATATAGAAATTTATATGAATTGTTACAATTTCATTTACAAATAAGTTAATTATTACTGTATTTAATACTATATTATATTTTAATTGGTTACGCGTTAGCAGGCATGCCTTTTTAGTTTTGTCGTTTGAAGAAAAAAACACAACTAGAACCTTATAGTACTTTTTATTGTTTTTCAAAGTATTCACCACGTAAAATAGCTTAATATACTTTTCCATTCGCTCAAACCAGTTATTATAACATTTATTCCACTCTAAAGCATAATATATTTATAATAATTTTGAACACCCCCAGGTGTTCAAAATGGCTGACTTGAAAGCGTCGACTGCTTCTTCACCGGACTGCAACCTTTGACCACGAAGACTTTTCTTAATTTTAGGAAATGCAAAGAAATCGTTAGGGGTTAGGTCAGGACTGTATGGATTTGCTAGACGAGGCGGGTAAACTTTTTGAGAGGGTGCTCTCTGCCCGCATCGTCCGGCACCTTTGCGAGGTTGGCCCCGATTTGTCGGACGCCCAATTCGGTTTCATAGCGGGGCGTTCGACGATCGATGCCGTAATGCGCCTTATTGCCGTGACCGAGGAGGCCGTGAGCTGCGGCGGAGTGGTGTTGGCGGTGTCCTTGGACATCGCCAACGCCTTCAATAATCTGCCATTCAGCTGCATCAGGGAAGCGCTCCGCTACCACGGAGTGCCAGAGTACCTGAGGCGGCTGGTGGCAGATTATCTTGAGGAGCGAACCGTCATGTACGAGGACCGAAATGGCGTCTTGAGACGCAGGGCCATGTCGTGCGGTGTTCCGCAGGGGTCTGTCCTAGGACCTCTCCTGTGGAACATCAGGTACGACTGGGCCCTACGAGGGCGTCTCCCCCCCGGGCTGGGTGTAATCTGCTACGCGGATGACACCTTACTCACGGCCCGGGGGGCTAACTTCCAGGAGGCGGCGCGCCTGGCCGCCACGGGAGTTTCCCAGGTGGTCGGGCGCATTGAGGCGTTGGGATTACGGGTGGCCCTGGATAAGACGGAGGCCCTATTATTTCATGGGCCCCGTCGTGGTCCACCCGCCGGCGCCTCAATCGAGGTCGGCTCGGTCCTCGTACCGGTCCGGGCCCAGATGAGGTACCTGGGTCTGGTCCTAGACGGTAGGTGGCTCTTCGACGAGCACTTCCGACAGCTTGGTCCGAAGCTGGTGGACACTGCCTCCGCCCTAGGGCGACTTTTGCCCAATTTGGGCAGGGCCAGTGTTCCCACGAGGCGGCTGTACGCGGGGGTTGTCCGGTCCATGGCGCTTTATGGTGCACCGGTGTGGGTGGCGGCCCTGACCGCTCCGAATAGGGCGCGCCTCTGGCGCCCCCAGAGGATATTGGCGGTCAGAGCCATACGTGGATACCGCACGGTGTCCACCGAGGCGGCTTGCGCCTTGGCCGGAACACCCCCGTGGGATTTGGAGGCGGAAGTGCTCGCCGAAGTTTATCGGCGAGTGGCTGACTTCCGGGCGGAGAGCGGATTTCGCCCTCCGCCCGAGGACGTGCGCGAGTGGCGCGAAGCCGCTCGCCGAGCCACCATGGTCAGATGGTCGTTCCGGCTGGAGACTCCACGCGCTGGCTTCGCCGCCGTGGAGGCTCTCCAGCCGGTCATAGCCGAGTGGGCAGGGCGGCAGCACGGGGCCCTTTCCTTCCGTCTGACGCAGGTGCTTTCCGGGCACGGTTGCTTCGGAAAGTACCTGCACTCGGTCGCTAGGAGGGAACTGAGTCCCGCCTGTCACCACTGCGACTGCAGTGAGGACTCGGCCCAGCACACGCTGGCGGTCTGCCCCGCATGGGCGACGCAGCGCCGGGCCCTCACTGCAGTCATCGGAGCAGATCTCTCGCTACCGGCCGTAATTCGCTCCATGGCCGGTAGCGACAGTTGTTTTACCGCGGTCGCAACCTTCTGCGAGGAGGAATTTTTTTGAGACGGAGCCCGCAACAGGCGCGGGCCGGCGCTGGGAGGGGTCCAGAAGGCGATAACTACCTGTGGTTTTAGTCGGTTCGAGTCCGACACACCGCTCCGCCGAACGAGAGCCCCGGCGGGGTGACGGTCCGAGGGGATTTCCACACGTTAAAAAAAAAAGGACTGTATGGATGGTTAAGAATTTCTACTTTTTCCTGCTTCAAATACTCAATCGTTTGACGAGCGCTGTGTGAGCTTGCGTTGTCGTGGTGCAGGATGATGCGTCGCTTTGAGTTAGATTTTCGTAGTTCGGCGATGACTTGTGGTAAACAAACTGTGGTATACCACTCTGCGTTAACCGTTCTACGATCTTCAAATGCAATAGTCGCAACATGGTCGGTTTTTCCAACGAACGTGGCCACCAACTTCTATGAAGTGCTTCGAGAACGCACAACTTTAGTCGGCTTTGGCTCGTCTTGAATAGATCCAAGATTCGTCACCACTGATGATGTCCTAGACGTGATTTCACTCTCCTCGGTTGAACCTTTGCAGAGTTTTCTTACACTATGTGACGCGGGCCGCCTTGTGATCGTCGGCAAGCAGATGCGGTATCCAATGCCAAACTAGCTTTCTTACACCAAGCGCTTCATGCAAGATCTTTTGAATGGTTGTCCCTGAGATGCCTAATAGAGCCTCTATCTCTCGATGACGATCTTCGAGAATTACTCTATTATATACTATATTATTCGAGTCTCACAGCAATGATGTTATCTTCAGTGAAGGCGGATTTTGGGCGTCCTTGAGATTTGCCACTAACACTAGTATGTCCACGCTGGAATTCTAAATACCAGCGTTCGACAGTCCGCAGACATGGGGCTTCATCACTGAACACAGATGTTAGCTCTTCAAAACACTGAAGCTGTTTTAGGTCTCTTCTAAAGTCGTAGAAAATTATTGCACGAACATTTTCCTTAGAAAGATTCATTTTCGTACGTAACCTCACAGATTCCAATCGACGCTGTGGGAAATATGGAAAAGACAGAACTTAAAAGGCATGCCTAGTACAATACTATATATGTTCTGAGTCTGTACAATAACATTGTGATTGTGTTACGATGTCATTAAAATAAACTTCTTCTTTCTTTCTTTCACTCAGGGAAACGTCCGAGCGCAAAGCTAGCATTGAACCCAAGGGGTCTCTAATGTGGTCCAGGGCTAGTGTCAGCACTCCGGCAGGTAACCCGTCTGGTCCAGGGGGTCTTGGGATCCGTAGAACAGCGCCTATCTAGAAGAAGAATCGCCCTTACCTCCGCATCCGTGACGAACACCATCCATGTTCGCCCCGTCATTTTCAGCCAAGGAAGCCAAAAAAGGATAAGTGGGAAAAGGCCCTCAATCACTTCCTGCAGGGAGCTGGCAAACTCCAGTAGGGTGACGGCCCGAGGGGGTCTCCACACGTAAAGAAGGGTATTGAATTGAAGAGGTTAGTAGGGGCGGCAAAATTTTAATAGCCTACTGGCGGCAAATCTGTAAATTCGCCACTGTACCTAATACTTTGGTATGGTTATATAACAATTCTAATTACTAACTTCGCTAAACTAAAGAATTCCCTGATTATTAATGACTAGCTGACTCTCTCAATAGTAATAAATATTCCCCGTTTTTTTTATTAATACTCGGTTCCTATTGGCATGGTCCAAAACTAAAAGAATATTTCGATTCGAACCAGTAATTTAACAAATAAATAAACACTGAAACTCTTCAGCTTCATGATATTAGTATAGATAAGAGATCGGTTATTATGGTACCTTTCTTATTTTCCATAAAACGTATTTATTAAAAATAAAAATACAATATAGACGCAGACGCGAAAAAAAAACGATTTTTTAGAAATCGGTCTTTTTTAACTTGATTTTTGTGGATCGATTCAAAAGCTTGCGATTTGCATCGATCTTAAAATCGTTTTTTTTAAACCTATTGTTAAAGAGTTTTCTTCAGGTTATTGTTAGCTGTGATGTACTCTTCCCCTACTTTTGCTGGACCCCTATAACATAATAATCATGAATGCCCATATTCCATAAATCTTTCTTATACAATATATAAGTCCCGAGTACCGAGCAGATTCAGTTTATATAGTTATTGTATTGGTATTAATTTTCAGTGATTACTTTGATTTGGTGTGAATGTTATTTATTACATTTTTTAAATCAATATTCAATTAATTTTCTTTGAATAATAAATAACAACTCGTAGTATCGCCTAATTGGTTACACTATGTTTCACTACTATCGATTAAATTCCATATTTTGTACATGAGACTCGATCGTGTGTGCTTAAGGGCAGAGGTCGATGTAGCCACTGCGTCATTCCCTCTTTAGCAGCACCATGGCGAAAGACGGCGACCTGATCAATATGTACTTTAGTCTTTATGTATTCAAGGTCTGACTTGCCCATAGGGTGATAAGGTTGTAGCTTAGGGCACAAGGGTCAAGCGGGCGCTGAACTCTTGCCGATTTATTTTCCAAGCTATGTTTATGCTGTGTCTAGAATATTTTTATTAAAATTTCTATTTGGCGCTGTGATTAACTACATGTGGTGTCGGCGTTGTACACTGTCTATCTATTGACTAGTTTGAGTTTAGAGATAACGCCTACTGACTTGACTGACTGGACATGAGGGCGGAGGATATTAGCCTGGTTAAGTCAGAACTCAAAATCTGTCCCTATATCTTTTATTGATGACGCACCCAAATAAGTCGTTAGTACGAATATGAGTTTTGCAGTAAAACTCATATTGTGTAACTCATATTATACATGAATGCAAGTAAAACTTTTACTTGCATTCATGTAGGTAACTATCGGGTGTTGAGAGACAGATTAGAGGATGACTAGTAGATACTATCGACTTGTGCTATTGTTGGACTAAGAAACAACGAGTAATCACTTACGCTAGAGATCACGTCACGATCACCGCTATACGTAAGGTCTTTTTGTACTGATTTAGCGATGGGAATAAACGGTAAATTAATTTTATGTAACACAAAACATTTACCCTATATGATTTATGAAACATCACATTTTTACGACATCACGCTATTTAAATCATCATCAACAGCCTTTAACAGACCACTGCTGGACATAGGCCTCTCCTTAGAAAGGAGGTTTAAATAAGCGACATCATTTAACAAATGTGTTGCTATGAAATCAGTAGAGACTTACTACTCTAATTATCCACAGGCATCCACAGGGGAGAATTATATAGTTAATTATGAAATATAATGGTAAGAAAACATATCTGAACTTTAAACTTAACTCCTTTTCATGGCAAATTTATAAAGTTCTAAAGGTACTTGAAACTTATTCTTTGAAAGAAATTTCATAGCTTAGGTATTAATTAGAATTTGAAATTTTGTTATAGCTAGAATGAAAGTTGACTTATCGTTGACAAAATAGTACTGATATTCTCAGTCTCTAAGCCATTATAATTTATATTGTAAGCCAGTTTAAAAAAAAAATTAACAAGCTTCATTCAACTGTTATTTTATGAAGTAGAACTATAGTTGTTTGCTTAGCTAAATCTATTTAATGATTTTTAAGACAGACCAGTCCTACGTCACCACGTTACGACCATGCCATTTACCTACGTCTAAATGTAAACCACATTTTGTTTACGAATTTAACAGTTCCATTGCTATGACAACCGTACATACACATTAGGTTAAACCTTAATTTTATATAGTTAAAGTTCTGAAGACAAAGGAAATGTCTATATTTAAATTTAAACAATGGTGGTCTAATGATACTTCACAAAATGTAAACCAAAATGATGGAATACAAAATGCCAATTGCCTCAAGGTGGATAAGTTTAACGCGTACCCTGACACCGATTGTATTTTAGTCGGCGAAGAATCGTTGCTAAAAATATTTAAACCAAATATAGAAGATCCATCACACGTTCTTTTGGAAACTGAGCTGAGTGAAGTTGTTCTGCAAATTGACACCGGCAAATTTACAGTGTAAGTTTTAGAGAAACTTGGCAAAATACGCGCCGTACGCCTTATTCGGTCAATTTGTTTTATCTCATTGCTATTTTATGTTTAAAAGTAATAGTCTTTTAGAAATGGTGGGCCATGACTAAGATTGATTTAAGTTTTATTTATGAGAAAGTACCTAGTGGTTAGGTGTTATTCGATTTCAAAAAGGTTTATCAGAATAGTATATAGCTACCTAATAGGTACCACTTACAAAAATAATGGTACAAAATAGCATTAAGATCAAGGTATAGTGTGGGCATTTTATTCGGTATTACTACTTTTATTACTTGTGGTGATTCTTAGGAATTACCACAGTATATTTTGTATACGAACAATTATAATATTACATACTTTAATGTCATCTAGCGAGGACAGGCCGAACTTCTCGTTCTGTATCACGCACTGAAGTTTTGCAGTTTATGTGGATATAATTTCCCAAGATAAAAAGCGATCGCTACATTCGTTCTACCTTAAGACGCTTTTTAAAAGCGCGGTACAGGTTAAATGTGCAGTCTAGCACCGTTGCATGCGGATGTCTACCTCTGTTTGTATATGTATGGGATGGATTATAATGCATTCTGTCACCTTCTAACTTCAAGTTAAATGAAAAAAAAATATGGCAAAATAAAATCGTAAGTGTAAATAATAATAAAATCTTTGGACTTCGAACCTAACTCCTGTCCAAGGCATCTTTATAGGTAGTGTAAACTGATTTTTCGAAAGAAGTATCATAGCTTTTAATTAGAATTAAAAATTGTAATCAGCTATGAGATAACTGTAATTAACTGGATATTTTTTAGTAATCTGTAGACATACAAACACAATGTGTCTTGAAAACAGAACCTAAAAGTAATCAATTGGCAATAAAGTTATTGGGTTTGTTTGTTAAAGAATTTTCAGGATAATTTAAAGAATAGACTGACAGTATTTCAGACACGTATGTCTAGGCTCCTAAATTTTCCTGTAAATTTTTTCAAGGCGTGCAGAAGATCGTCAGATTCTAGTACTGCATCCACACGGTTATGAAATATTTCACTTAAAAAGAACAGAAGGGCATTTGGAAGCCGGTAAGTACCTATTAAAAGATCGCATTTCGAATCCTTTTAGAGTATTTATTTGTTATTTATGAAATTAGCTGATTAAGTTACTAAAATAATTAAAATAAATATATTAAAGAAGCTTTCCACTCCGACTTGTAAAAATATCTGAAAAGAAATAAATATCATTTATCTAAAAGTATCTTCAAAAAGCGCCTGCACTTTAGTAGCGGTGCGTCGGCTCCGTTGCAAGTTGGTGATTGCAAAGATGTGGTCCGGGATCTTTGGTATAAACAATATATCCAAAAACGCTCAGCAAAACTTTACTAAATATACCACAAGAGCCGCAGTTGCAGCGCTAAGTTCTTTGAATTTTAGTGTAACAAAATGGATTCAAATCTCCGGACCGGGCTTCTAACTTGGCCTGATTATTCCACGTGAGTCACCTAGGTGACTGCGTGACTCATGCTATGTGACTCGAGTGGAATAATCCACTCGGTCGACGATCTTGAACAGCACCCTTGGGTGCGATGCTGTCCGTGATCGTTCTTCGTTCTTTTTACTGTATCTATGTACTGCATTGACTTGCCTGAGCCTTTTCTTGCTTGAAAACTTTGCAGGTGACCAGAACATTCTTTCACCTATAATAAAACACTCATTTACACGTAAAGCTGACAGTCTGACTTGTGGTCCTTTTGGAAATATTAAAACAAGAGATTTAATATGTGTACTAAGCCTCGACGGCAGTCTAAGTTTCTTTGATCAGGATGCATTTTTGTTTATGTGCATATTCACCGATGTTATAATTCCTTCACCCGTGTGTTATATTGCAAGTAGTGACTGTTTCGTAATTTGTAAATCAACATGGGTCTTAGAAATATACAGGTGAGAATTCTTGAAAGTTTTTAACATTTTGAAGGTTATTTATACTTAACAAACATTAAAGTTTAAACATCGTCAATGTTAATAATCTTTATTTTTAAGTTACCAACAATTACGGGAGTTCAGTGAGATAAGTATAAGACAGAATAAAAAGAATGTACCTCAATGGGTTTACAATTCAGGAGAAGAAATTACACGAGTACAAGTTATTCAGGTAAGTTGACATTACTTATGTACTTTATTAGTGACATAAATGAACAGAGATTATCTCAGTTGTTTTTGATGACAAGCAATTAGAATATATTTTAAATTTGGTATACAACAACTAAAAGTTTCTCTTAGTCGTTATAAGGTTGAAATGTGATTGGACGAAATTTAAACTTTCGTTCCATGCATTTCTTTTTTTAACATTGGGTAGGTATATGCTTTATTAATTTGTTCCCAGACTAGCAACAATTTTTCTAGTATAGTGGCACTTGGCGAGAGACATCTTTACTGTTTTCAAGATAACGGCTTGATGAAGTACATGATTAAGTTCGATTTTGTTGCGATGTGCTTCTACGCCTATCTTATTGGGTGGTATTATGGTAAGTAGTTTTTGACATATGTTTAAAATAATTATTTGTGGAAAACTGCGCCGATTTTGCTGAACAAAGAAACTTGGTTCAGTTTAGTTGGCTCATTTTTGTAATATAGTTTCATTTATGTATAGTAGTTTTAGCTACGAGTTTTCGTTCCAAACAAAACTGCGTTGTCAATTTAGCAGCAACCCCTGCTTCGGACTGGATTTTCATCCGGCCTATAGCTCTGAGATCAGAAAGATCCTGTAGTTTTAATCGATTATTATCATAAAATTAAATACTCTAAGATTAAGTAAATCTTTTGTTTCCTATTTTGTTTTTTTTTCAGAACCTGGAGCTCGATTGCTTGTAATGGTGACATCGGATGACTCAAAATTGTTTATTTACGAAGGCACCACACTGATATGGTCTTGTTCTCTTTTGACTTCTGCAATTTCTATTTCACGTTGTTTCTTAAAGTCTCTACCAGGCGGGTTGGTGACTTTATCCAGCAAAGGAATTGTTAGTGTAGGGTACATAGGCACCGAACCTGATTTGAATTTAAACACTCCACCAATTGTCAATGAGGTTAGTGATCCAGAACAGGTGCAAGATGAATTAGAAGTCGTTGAGGAATCATTGCGAATAATCTTGAATAGTGAAGGTGTGTGCGGTATACATAATATGCAAAAACGTCAAATAAGTCCTAATATTAGAAAATTCTAATAAAATATATTAATTTAATTTTAGATGCAGTTAATCAAAGATCTGTCGTGGAACAGATACTTAATGTAAAAGCAGATGTTGGGAAACCAATTCAAAACTTATTCCAAGAATTTACAAGTGAAAAAGACGAAGCTCTGCATCTATTGATGTGTCCAGTGGTTGTGGTTTTAACTTGCGAAGATCCTAAGTTTATTCAAAACGTTCAAGTTACTTATGTTTGTGCATCACCGTTTTCGTGTTCAGAACCCACTATATGTTTGGATAGTATTAACGGCACCGAAATAGTAGAGAACCAAGTGTTCCTAACCAGTGATGCAGACATTACAGAGACAAGAGTAAAAATATTAATCACTGTTACTGATAATACGGGGAAAGTCGTGGTATTATCCAAAAAAGTACTATTACCTCTGAGTGTTTACTGTACGCCGGTTGAAAGCTACGCAGAAAACCATTTGAAATTACGCATAGAAACAAACCAAGCATGTCTAGATTTATCCAAAATATTTACGGGTAGGTCACATATTATGTAATAGGTTAAAGTGGCAATATAATATAAACATATATATATATGTTTTTTTCAGATTTCTCACAGGAAGAACTAAATAAGTTTGGGAACAATTTAAATTTCGTATATAGATCATCAAAGAAATGTGTAACATTGAAGAGTGATGGTGACACATACTCAATAGAATGTGAAGACTTTACAGAAATAATTGCAATATTAGACAATTTTGTCATTCGTTTGCTAGATCATTATAACAGAATGGCTGTAAAAAGTTTTCGATTTAAATTAAAGTACGACAAAGAATTTGTTAAGCATCTTACCCATAGGTTTCTAAAATCTGTTGAAATCCACGCAAAAGAACGAATAAAGTTAAAAGATTTAGAGGTAAGTCTAAAAAAAAGTAAAGTAAAAAGGTTATATATTTTAGTTACTTTTACATAAAAGTGTTTTACGTTTTCAGGACGAACTAAATGTTCTTCAGAAGCAGTTCACAATTGTTCAAAAGAAGCTATTGGTCCAGTACGGGTCATTGCCACCAGGGGACTGTGAACCTCTAGAATTTCTTATGAAAGACACTCATAATCGTGTAATCATAGTTGTGCATGAAATAATAAAGTGTAAGGAAACTGTGTGTAGGTATGTTTAATTATATTTTAACAGTTTTTCCTGGCATTAGCATATGTTCGATCTGTCTTCAAATATTATTATTAGTACATCAATACATTTATAAATTTCGTTACGGTCGACCTAAATGGAGACTTTATGAACTTATCGAATATTCTAGAATGTTCTACAAGTTTTCAAAGAGGTGTTGAGTTATTACGAGACTTTCCGGGAAAGTTCACGAACCTTCTGTCAAACAGGGTCTTTACCTTTATTATTTAAAATTAATTACTTGTTATGCGTCAGTTTAACTTCATGCTATGGTTCATGCGATATTTCAGAAACAAGAAGCTGTTTTCATTTCTATCTTGTACTATATGTGTACTTAATCTTGTTTTTAGAGCAGGTAGTGCCATGACTGCAATTGGGAATCTCATCGTATTATTATTGAAACAATGTCCGAAAGACGATTTCAAAGTCACTTTAACAGAACAAATGATGTGTTTAAGTTCACTTTACGAGCATTATCAAGTAAGTTAAATGATTTGTTATTTGACTGTTGGACCAGTGGTTAAAGTTGCAAATGACACAATTCTTGGTCTCAATTATTAGATGACTGTAAAAAAGAATTCAGTTCTGAATTCGATGGAAAAAAAATATTGTGTAATTACTTTTTTCTAACATTGAATACTTCTAAAATAGCAGATAATAATAAATAATATTGTACCACATTCACACAACGCCATCTAGGCCCAAAATAAGCAGAGCTTGTACTATGGGTACTAGACAACTGATATAAATACATATGTACTTTTTTTTGTAAATACATACTTAAACACCCAGACCAAATCAAACGTTCATGCACACAAATGTTTGACTTGAGCGGGAATCGAACCCGCGACCTTTTGTATAGCAGTCCGTTACACAAACCACTAGGTACGCCATTCGGTCGTCGAAACCTGCGGATAACGATAATATCTACCTACCATTAGTACCTATTGTGTATTTTTTTATAGGAGTGGGAGGAAGCCGTAACACAAGCATTAACATACGTATTGAATAATGCATTTAAAAATTCAGAGAAGGATAAAGAAAAACTGGCTCCTGTGACAGAACAAGGGATATTGTCTCACATTAATCTCAAACGTTTCCTAAAACAGCTAAGATTGGTTTTAGATAAAATGTTCTCAGAGATAACAGATGACGACACTGAAAAGGATTTGGAGAAAGTGATACGAGTACAAGAATTTGTTGAAGTAATATAATTCGAACATAACTCTAAGTAAGACATTGTTGCTTAAATAAAATGAATTGTACAAACAAGCATTATTTCATTATATTATTCAGACACGTTTAATAATATATCCCTTACACTAAATAATCACTGCTTATCAATGTTATAATTTAATTTTAATTAACTTTATGTGTCACTGAGCAGGAAACCTGGCAATTGGTCTCTTTGTTAAAACAAGTGAACGCAATGTACAGAAATGATTATTTGTAAAAAACTTTAATTAATGTTTAAGCGACGTGTAGCATAGAGTATAGTACGAGGTTGAGGTACAGCAGATGTACCAACAGCAGGAGTACCTTGTTACGTCATTTTTTCTTAGCGTCTTTTAACCCAGCACCCGCGTTGAACTTGAAAAAGATGATGTCGCCATCTTCAACGACATAGTTACGGCCTGGGAACAATGTAATGTAATATATTGATATGTTTATATCATTAGATGTGCCGGCCGTGGCTTTGCTAGTGCGTGCTTCTTTTCTTTTTAGGCTAAGCCCTATTAGGATTCCTTCTTCAGTATTAAAGTAGTAGAAGTAACTACTTAGAATATTAGCTATCTGCTAGTGGAAGTCCAATGGAAATAAGAATTAACATTTTGATATTAAATAAGCGAACATTATGTGAGATCAGTTGGCAAAAGATACAGAAAAATCCGTATGGTGACGGATTAAAAATACGGAGTGCCACCATCAATATTCATTCCGTGGGTGTCGTAAGAGCCGACTAAGGGAGAAAACTACGCAACAGCGCTGCAAAGAGGGGAAAAACTTGAAACAAACCATATATCAGCGTGGCCAGCGTGGTACAGTAGGCCATCCTTTCTAAGGAGAGGCATATGTCCGGCAGTGGACTATTTAAGGCTGTTGATGATGATGACGAAATAATATAAATGTTACCTTAGTAAGGTGAATAACATAATTATATTCCAATATTAAAAACTAAAACTACAAACCAACATTTCAAACAACATGTAAAAAGCTTACTAAGTTTAAATTTTTTATTTTTTATTATTAATAAGAACAATTTTGTAAATTCTAGTAAATTAATGGAATAAAGTTTTATTCGTTTTATCAACCTTAAGGAGGTTTATTTAAATTGCTGTGAACACTAACTTTTGTAGTAGACTCCTTAACATTAACAAGTAATTAATATTCTTGGTTGCTAGTTTGCGTAAATTATTTGACGGAATGAGATTCTAACTCCACCACAACCATACTATAAGCAACATTATTCGCAAAACCATATTGTCCACAAACATTTTTTTGCCATTGTCTTTCCCTTGAGTCTAACGAATACCCTAAGTATTTATAAAGTACCTTGTTGCCTGTATTTTCCCGCAGATTTGCAAGCAACTTCAGTGCCTTCCTCTTTGAAGTCTTTGAAATGCATAACTTCGGCCATAATAAATCCCTTTTCAAAATCAGTGTGAATTCTGCCTGCAGCTTGAGGGGCCTTGGTACCTTTCTGTAAATTATATTTTTTTTAGAAATATTATTTACTGGGATCTGATGTCGTATAAACAATATAATTATGTAAAAAGTCCTTCAGTTGAGACTTACTTGACTCTTCTAATTTATTGTTTACCTGAATAGTCCAAGCTTTAACTTCATCTGGTCCAGCAGTAAAGAAGTATTCTAACTGTAGTGCCTTGTACCCTTGGACGATAATTTTGTCCAGTGCGCTAGATGGGAAACAGAGAGATATAAATCAGTCACAGTAAAATCGAAACTTAATGTCGTCACGAGTCATTTATTCGTCTGTCAACACCGTCACTAAAATTCTATTAAATAACTAAGATCTACTACGAATCAAATTAAATTAAACCAATTGGAATTGGTTTTATTTTAAATATGTGATAGCTTATTCTATCCTACTCTCGTGTAAGTCAAGCATCTCAAGCCTGTTTAATCGTCGGCATTTGTTACCTAACATCTTTAGTAAAATGTTCAGCGAAACAAATATTTTCCCAACTATATTCCCGATTACAGGGTACTGGTATTTAAAAAAAATCCTTGTTTAGTATTCATTGAACAAAATGTTTAAATCGTACAAAACATCAATCTGGCCTATCAGATGTTAAGGTTGTTATGTTATGTTGTTGTGTTAAAAAATGATATGTTAAAATTTTTTTAAAAAAATTGTGTTATCAAGGCGATCTACATAACTTTAACAAAAATAAACTTTTAATTCACTTTAGAATATAAATTAATAAATTAATCTTGTCGTGGGGTCCACGCTAGGCATTATCTCTTCTGATCTGGAACATTTTTAATTGAAATAAGAAAATAAATTTTGATGTGTACCATCTAACATCTCACCGAACATTTGACGGCCGACTCTAGTACAGCGCCACAAGTAAATTCAAATAGCGCTTGTTACACATTTCCATCCCCTTTTAGGAAATCACTCGTAACTGATTTTAGGAAAGCAAGACAGAGAAAGAGAAAAAAATTCTGACAACTACAAAACTTGCTATCTTCTTATAAACTAGTACGGTTCTCATACCAATGAGGTTGTTACGCCTGTTACTTACAATGCAGAAAAAAATACAAAATTTACTTAAACATACCTAGATAGGTTGTTTTCCTTTAAAAAGGCTTGCCGTTCAGTAGCGTCCATCTCTACCAGCTTTGTCTCGAATGCCCCGGAGAAAGGAATCAGAGGTGCACCGGGATCGTTTTTGTCAATCCATTCCTTTAATTTAGGTAGCCTGTAAAACATTAGACAAATCTTTAGTAACACCACGTTTTCATTCTCAAAGTCTCAGTGGTCATCTTACCAAATGCATACTAATCGACTTGATTGCCACATAACAAAATGAGAATGCCATTATTCGATATAAAGATAGAGGTATGAACTTAGTTTATTAAAAAAGGGTAATACACTAACCATTTATTCTTCTTTCGTATATAGTCTTTTTCCGACAAATTGACGAGGTACAAGGCAGGTTTCGATGTCAGGAACAAATATTTATTCAAAATTTCGATCTGAAAATATTTGCCGTCGTAAGTTGTACAAAAAATAAAAACATGTTTATGACCAAATAAAAAATAGGAAATATATTTACATCAGCGGCGCTCCAATCACCAAACCGAATGTGTTTCTTTTCATCAACTAAAACTGTTTTGATTTTCTGCAAGGAATCCTGTAAATAAAAAAAAAATACATTACTAATAGGCTCTTAGTATAATTTTCACCCAAATAAAAAAATTCGGCTTAGGACTTTCCTTTTATAAGTTTGTTCCATTACACTGACCAGGGACATTAGGATTAACGATTACCTTCGACGGAGGGACCTACCTAAGTTGAATACGAATTAACATATTTATTTATTTTTATGAAATAATATATTTAAAGGAAGAGGCATTAAGAATAACACACGCGCCACGGGACTTGTACGAGGCCCGTAATTGGGAAGAATTCACAGTAGGTTTTGAAAAATATATGAAGAAACTAGTGACCCGCCTCGGCTTCGCACGGATGCAATGTATGACATCACATTACAAATTTTTGGAATTCTCGGATTTTCTATGCTATATATACATATGCATGTTCCTATTTTTCAAAGTAAAAGAATAGAAGTCCAATTATTATTATTTTTGATAGAGAATATAATTATAGTGTGTTTGGAATAGATAAATTAAAAAAAATGTTCCTCGTACAAACTTGCACTCCTTTTTAAGGGTAGTTTTGAAAAAATATTTATAACGTTTTTTATTACTTTTAATAAATAGTATTTACTGTGAGTTTATAAACGCTATTACGAAAAATAACGAAATTTCATATGAACTTTGCACTAAGGGTGGAATTTTTTTAAATCCTTTCTTAGGGCACACCTACGTTACCTAAGGAACAATGCAAAATTTAACGCTCCTAGACTCAGCGGTTTCAGCTGTGCGTTGATCGACCAGTCAGTGAATCAGTCTGTCAGTTTCTTCTTCTATGGATATAGACATACAACTACAAATCAAACGTAAAAAGGGAAATATTATATCAGTATGATAAGTTACTTTTCAGTTCGCTATACAATTAAAGCGAGGTTTTACATATTTCACTTATTCCATCATTTATTTTTCATATTTTAAGTCCCGTTGCTGCTGCAGTTTTTTTAACTATTATTCCTTTCCGTTTTACGTTTCATCTGAAGTATTTTAAATATAGAAATGTGAGAACGATTGTTAACATACATATTCTGGCTTCAACTTTTTATCATTGCCACGATTGACGACTCGATCAAGCTTCTCAATGTTCTGCATTAGCTGCTCCTCATCTTTTAATCTAAGTTCCTCACCAATCGTTTCTAAATCTCTAACGGGATTCACATCACCGTCCACATGAATTACATCCTCATCATCGAATGCACCTAAAATGATAATTAATATTATTATTTTTATTGTACTGCCACCGAATTAAATGGATTAACTTTAATGTAAATAACTTACGGCAAAGGTTGAAAATTGCGTCGCAGGCTTTGATATGTGACAAGAAGGCATTACCAAGACCCTGTCCTTCAGCAGCACCTCGAACAAGACCAGCGATGTCTACTACATTTAAGAATGCTGGCACTTTACTAAAATAAAGACAGGTTTTTAGTACATAATATTACATACCACGTAGAAATATGGTAAGGCCTCGGTTAGACAAGAAGAAAGTTTTCAAATGAAGGTTCTATTAATGAAGCCAAAACATTTAATTTCTTTTAAATCATTATATCGTGCGGATATTGCGTAGTTGCAGTGAAGACTGCATTACTCTTTTTAATTTAAAGCGTAGTTCCTGATATATAGAATGTATTTTTTGTAACACTGGTTGTTTCAAACTTTGTCTCGAAAATTGGCTTTATAATTAAATCCAGAACAAAAACAGTGCTCAACAATAAGGTGTCATATGACGCTTGTTATTTTAAGTATTAAAGGTAGCATTCGGTTCTGAGCGACCGCGACCATTTGCTTTCCGATGTCAGAGTCGCCACTTTTCCCTCAGTTTTTATTCGTGACCCTTGTATTCTTTTACAGTGTAACATTGTTTTATCTCAAAGGCAATTATTGGGTATAGAGCTTCGTTTTGTTGAGTTTTATTTATTAGTGACACATAAAAGAGATTAGATTCAAATATTACCTCAAGCGTTTCTTGAGTTTTTAGATTTTATAATATGAGCCTTAGATTTCTTTGTTTCTAGATACTAAATTAATGTTGAATTACAAATTGACAAAACCCCTTATTTTAACATTTTAACCACCCAAAAAACAAATACTATCTTTAGTTGCTTAACTATGAGAAAACGCGTTCGTTCAAATTCCTTGTGTTCAAATTACCTAGTCAAAATTGTAAGTAATTTTGACTAGGTAATTTGAACGAACTTATTACATTTTTTATTATTTTAAAATGATACTTTGAGTTGGCCGAAAAACCTGTTTCGGTCGGACACTACTTATTAGATGCCTACGGATGAAAGGATGAAGAATGACTCAACTTTCAAATCGTTGGAAGAAGAGGATTGCTTTCAGATTCTCATAAAACGGCATTTAAATTAAGAGTACAAAGAAGTTCAGAAAATATTGCAGGTTAAATCATAAACAGTTTGATTTTGCACTCAGTTTAATAGATTAAAAATATTATCCTTCCCAATGTTTTTTGCTTTATAAGATGGGAGCCTCACGTCATAAAGAGGTACCTAGGTTTTTATTCACCAATTCAATTAATTTCTCGTCCTCGTTCGATGGAAACGCCGCCATTTTAATGGGCTTCTCGCCTGCGTCGCGTTGACCGCACTGCCTCTGGAACGACCGGGACGCGGTCGCCACGCCGCTATCTGGTCACGCCCAAGAGTCGCGCGACGAGGTCGCGGGGTTTGTTTAGTACTCCATATGAATTCAAAGAAAGCAGGGTCGCGGTCGCCACGCCGCTATCTAGCCACGCCCAAGAGTCGCGCGACGTGGTCGCGGGGTTTGTTTAGTACTCCATATGAATTCATAGAAAGCAGGGTCGCGGTCATTAAGAACCAAATGCTACATTAACATGTCGCTTTGACGCTTATTGTAATAATCCCTTTAATTAGCATGCAACTTAATAATTAAAGTTTTACCTAGCTGGTTTGTGAAATTCGCAAAGGTAGTCAAATCTTTCGTCCGGTACAGGTACCCTGCGTACTGAAACAATTGCAAATTATACACCTGGCTAAAACGAAAAAAAATAGGCATAGTTCATTGATATTATTGGTTTACCGGGCTGTGGTAAACAGCCAAGAACTAGTAAACGCACTCCAGATCGGATTCGTCCACCATGATCCCCTAGGCCCTAAGGGATCCCCGTGAACTCGTCATTTCATCAGGATCCCCTTTAAATAAGAATAAGAAAAGACAGTAACACAATGAATTTATTTTCATACAGACGAAATAACATTACAGAGACAAACATAAACTACCACTGATTGATAGAGGTTTTGTGTGCCCCATGTTCCATTCTTTACTTTCACAATATTAAAAATATGTAACGCCCTCAAATATCTGTTCGATATTCGTTATGAGCTCTACCTCTATGTGGAGTTCAGAAGAGAGTAAATTTAATCATGTAATAAAAAAGAATTTAAAAAGAAAATATATTTATTAAGTTAAAATCAAGCAGCTAAAGATAAAACTAAAGGTAAAGGTGAAATAAGACCACTACATAGTAAGTAAACTATTTATGTTTCTATAGCAAGAAAAGAAGTGTCAATGATACAGTCTAGTGCCTGAGGGAATATATGAAGGTACAAGGTCAACAGAAGATATTGCATCACGTTCACCTTCAACAGATCCTAGATTAGAATATTTTTTCGGAGTTCCTTGATGAACTTCCGGGTAAGTGGTAAAAGGATTTTCCATAGATCGCATACGAAGTCCTAGGTCTAAGATAAGGTTGCTTCGAGTTTCAAATACTTTCAAAGCTTTTAAATAACAATTCAATTTATCCTTAGGTAAGTGAGGGTTGTGCGTTTTTAGATATAATGCTATGTATATTATCCCCGAAAGTTGAAAACTAAGTCCGGGATATTTAGGTCTGATTGCATTGACTGAACAACATGCTTCTGTTAAAATATTGGATAATGTTTGCTCTAAATATCCCAAGTTAGGTAGTTTCTTTAAACATAGTCGTGGAAACCAGCTAGAACCTTTAAAAACTGTTATGTCTGAAAATAGGTGAGGCTTATCTAAAAATTTGCGAAGACATGGTTCACTACAAAACAAATATGTTTTAGATTTGTAAGTGGCTGCAAATTTATTGGTTCCTCTTTCAATTATTTGGCGTGGTAAATTTTCAGCATACGTAACCATACAGACACCATTTTCATACACAGTATCAGTATTAATTATTTTGACAACTGCTGGAATTTCGGGAATGTTTATTTCTTTCAATAGATAATAGTCTGGATACATTAATACCCATTTCCAGTGATCAGCACAAATCCAGTATAATTTGTATTTATATTGAACTACACCCGTTTTATCCCCAGGATAGTTGCTATGTCGAAAAACATTTTTCGACAAACACGCCGGACACATGTTTCTGAAGGAAGATTGTTTTTGTTCAAATATTTCATTTGATATAGCCATCGCATGTGCAGGTACAATATTCGTTTCAACATTAGCTAAATAGTAATTAATTTTAGGAATTAACTCTTTAATTTTATTTTTAGCATCTTGTAAACATTGCCACTTAGACTCATTGCCATTAAGGAGGCACATGTTTTGATAATCACTATTGATCCAGTTTTTAATTTTGTAGCACTGTTCATTCCATTTCGTAAATCTATGTTCCATAAATGACACTGAATATGGCGGCTTATATTTCAAAATGTCATTATATACTTCGGTTTGAGAAATTTCTAAAATAACTAACTTGTCAGAAGAGACGTCAAATATAACGTTTGGATAAAGACCATCCTTGGCTAATGCCATGCCTTCATTAGGTGAACTAGGAAAACCATCTAGCACAAATCCGTAAGTTAGTGTACGATGATCAATTGCCACAGTTTGGACAGCACTCATTACTAAATCACTATCAAGAATGTCACCATCATGTAATTGTCTTAAAATTTTACGGGCTAGTTCAGTCCAATGCATCTGATTCAATACACGACGTAAAGCCATTCCTCTCGATATGCATAGTAAATTATTCTGTCTAGCTAGTTTCGCAGCTAACGTACTTTTACCTGATTTGGGTGTCCCAATAATGCCAATTCTAAGAGGATATGGATGATAAGTTAATATTCTATCACTAGCAATAAACTTCAGAGGATTGATTCTAAATTTTTCGACATAATCTTCTTTGCTAATAAAATAAATATACGCTCGATGAATGACTGGAAACAGTTTACCTTTGCGTTTGCTTATTTTGTAACTATTAAATATAGTCTGACTGTTCTCAAATATGTAAACTGGACACATACGGCCAAATTTACTCAAAAAATAGTACCCATGTGACAGAAGTAGTTCAGCCATATCATTAGTGATTATGTATGTTTGTTCTAAAAATGATCTAGATCTTTTTCTTAAATTTGATAGTTTAGATAGGACTTTTCTATAGACCTTATAAAAAGGTTTCGTGCTGTCGACTGAAAATATTTTTATATTATTTTCTTCGGCAAGTTCTTTTAATAATTCTATATTTTCTGACTCAGTTTCAAAAATAGCTTCGAGTCTAGATTCTATTCTTTCACGTTCGTCTGAGGGTTTATCCCAATCGCGTTCATCAACTGGTTCTGGGTGCTCTTCTATAACCTTATTATAAGCATTGAATAATCGGGGATCCAAATTTTCTGATCCTGTTGGATGAGTATCCATTATAGCACTTGCAACAGAAAGACTGTCATTTATAGGTTCAGGCAGTTCTACTGGTATGCTGTCTAACATTTCATCTATAATAACTTCGACAACTACAAGTTTTGTTATGAGACGCATCCATTCATTCTTTTCATTTTCCATTTTTAGTCGATGTGCGTGTTTTGCATTTTGTAATTGAGATTTCCATCGTTTGAGCATTAAGGGACCAAGCCTCTCGATTGTAGTTTCTGCATTACTATTTAAATCTATCACTAAATCCGGTATGCAACTACATTGTACCATGTCTTCAATATCCTGAGTTAATCGTGGATACCCATCAAGAACTATACCGATATTTTTGTAAGGATAATCAAACCATATTCTCCTAATTACATTCTGTATATATGCGGATATTAATGGCTGCCCGCGTTCAAAGTAATTAAACAACATTCGTCTTAGCTCCACTTCATTTGATAAAATGTCTGCAAATAAATTAGGGTTCTCTTCATCAAGTTGGAACTCGAATACGCCTTCTTCTTCTATAGGTATATCCGTAAAAGGATTTTCATACACACGCCCGACCTTCTTATAATGTCTCGGGATGTAAAAGTCATTAATAACTGTTTCAAAATTAACGTGCAGTAATCCAAGCTCTAAAGCTATTTGCTTGGACATTGTCGTTTTGCCACTACCTGCGCCGCCGGTAACACATATTTTTAAAGGCGGTAACTTCTTAAAAGGTTTGCTATATGTCTGATACTTAGTTATATCTTTTTGAAACATTTCTATGTATTCTTCTTTAGCAAAGTAATGAATCTTATTGTTGAAGTTCAAAGAAAATTCCGGTTTACCCTCCCAAAATATTTGATGGTTGTAATATGTGTAAGGACAATAAATATTAGTTTCACACAAGTTTTGGGGATTATTATAAAGGAGAAGATTTTTGGAAGTATTATCCTCTTCGTCTACTTCAATTTCTTCACCTTCGTTTACCTCGCTTTTTAAAAAATAGCCAGCTCGTATTTTTAAAAGCACTTCTTCGAGAACTTCAACATCTGTTTTACCTTCTAGTTCAACTTCGATGTAACATTTAGACATATCCTCTAATTTTATTTTGACACTATCCCAATCTTCTCGAAATTTTTCAATGGACTGAGTAAATGATGCTATGAGTTCAGGGTTAGGATCAATGTTTTCTTCAGTAAAATCAGGATCAAGTAAGGAGGTCGAGTTATAGCTGTTATGAACCAAATTTCGTACAATAAGTTCAACATTTCTTTGCATGATTTGTTTTTTAGGCAAGTGTTTCGTTTGTAGTTTACATAAAACAAGCGGATCTTTAACAATTCCTAATTTTTCATAATAATTTTTCATACTTTTTTCAATATTCATATACTGCAGTAACAATTCCGGTTCAATTTCTCTGTTTTCCATTATACTGATAGTGTAATCTGGAAGCAATTTAGCGTTTGTAAGAATCTCCCAATATTCAGGATCTGCTGGCAACCCGTCTATTATATATTTTTCATAGAATTCATTTATGTGCGAGTCTTTTCGAGACTTAATGTTTACAGTAGACATTAACTGAGTAACTTGAGTCATTAACTCTTCAATAGAAGGATCGATTTCTTTTTGTAAGTCGTTTAGTGCGATATACTCGGTAATGGCTTTCGTAACATCGTCGTCGCCTAAAACAGGTAGATTTGGTTCTTTTATCTTTGTTGTCAATTCAAGGGGAGCATATTGTAACAAAGTAAAATGATTAACCACGAAATTTGATAGGATAGTTTCGCATTCTTCTACGTTGTTCAGTGAAATAGGTAGAAAAGAGAGGCGATTTTTAAGTAACTTTATTTTGTTTAAAACAGCAGGCTTTGGCATTTGTGTTTTTTTTGGTGGGCTTGATTTTAAATTTTGTTCTTCAGCTTTTTTTTTACCCTTTGTCTTTTCTTCCGTTTTTGTTCCGGAGTCTAAAGTACCTTTTTCTTTACCCGCCGGTTTTTTGTTCATAGTCAAATATTCTAAGTGTGTTATCAGCAAAGGAATGTATTCTTTTAATGCTACCAAAACTGAATTACACCATTCGTTTAGACCGGCCTGTCTGTTTTGTTCTTTTACTTGCCATTCCATGTATCTGGCATCTTCTATCCTAGCACTTATTTCGGAAAAAATACTTTTAGCATACATTTCATACTTTTCTTGTTTTATGTTTTCAAAAAGAGTGTCAAAGCTAGTAACAGGGGTATCAAATATCCATGATAGACACTCAGCTACCATAGTTTTTCCAGAAGACTTTGTCCCTGTTACAATAATTCTACAAGTAGGTTCTAAATATTTTAACTTCAAGTAAGGCCGTGGATTTCTACAAAATGAGACAAAATTATCCAGGGAATGCATAACATATATGTGTTTAAAGAGCTTTACAGCAAATTTTGGCTTCCCTAAAACAGACCGTCTTTTTTTAAGTTCAACAGGGCACCTGTTGTACCAAGGTGAAGGATAGCATTTAAATTTTAAAACACCGCTATGTATTACACGGAGGTCTCCTACCAATTGCCAAAACTCGTCGTAATCCTCAGGGGGCTCTTCTATATACAATGGTTCTGGTATAATAACAGGATTTATGTCCATTAATAAAAATCTTTCTGCTAACTGATGCATCATTTGGTGTATTGAAGTCCTACCATCTAGTTTAATCACTTGCTTTGGATCAAAATCCATAATTTTTTTTTCGATGTATGGCAGTACATAATCTTTGTAATTACATATTTGATCTACAGCCTTGTTATTGAAATTTATAGGTGATCTACAATTGTACTTAGGATTAAATACATGAATATTATGAGGATTTTCATAATCACTTAAAGTATATCGAGTAGGCCATCTTAAATCAGTTGTAACTTTGTCAAGAAACGGTTCTACAATACTTTGGCCATTTTTATAATTCGTGAATTTGTGTTTTTTTACAGTTAAGATGTCACTATCTGGGCAAGTGATATAAATAACGACGTTTGGTTTGAAATTTAGATTAAATAGATCGTGGAGTTGATGTAACAGTAAGGATTGTTGCGACTCCATACGCACTTTTCCTTGTTTTTTGAAAATATGGGCACATTTATTTAAAATGAATTTTGGTAATTCTGCGACAACTTCTTGCTCTTCACCTTCTTCTTCTACCTCTTCCTCTTCTTTTTCTTCTTCGTCTATTTCCTCTCCCTCAAAATTTGCTGAAGATTGTGTGGATTCGGTCTCTGATAATTTATTTTTTCTTTTATTTTTTTTCCTTTTTAAGTTATAAATAACATCAAATAAAATTTCATCTACGCACAATAAAGCTTCTTCCGTGTGCTTTGTTTTAAGTAAGGTGTTTGGGCTTTTGTAAGATGTCACGAAAGGAAAACCTGATATCACATATCCTCTGTGTTTAACAGCTGGAGATTTTACTTTGAGGAATAACATTTTTAAAATAGTATTAGGTGAGCATATAATATTATGTTTTAAATTAAAATCTAAACATTTCCCAGTAGTACTGCCTTGTGATATTTCATCGGTTATAATATTTCTAGGACATAAATGAATGCAGTTATACTTTTTGGAAAGTGCTTCACCAAGACTAAAGGCGCCAAGGCTGGGTTTGCCGAGAATCAAATAACAAGTGGGCGTCGCTCTTAAATACATTTCTTGTGCGTCAAGGTCTGTCCACATAATCTCATGTTTAGATGTGCTTTCACAAGGAGATGATGTGTTATTTACACCGAGTACTGCGGCTGCCAACAGTGGAGATATGCGTTTACTTTTAGGATCCTCACCCTTAATCATTTTCGTATTTCCAGAAAATATTACGCCATTATGTTGTACTACATCTTTTATTTGATACTTATCAAATAGATCGAAATTATGTTCATTATATTGAGCCATTTTTGCAAAACTTATTTTACAATTGTGGTCTCTATATGTCAAAGATGACAAATGTCAACTTTTTAAAATTGAATTTCGGTTTATTATGGTAAATTGAACCTTTTTATAATTTTTCTTATTTCGAATTGAGTACGAGGGGCCATTATAGCCTAAGATCCCACCGCTTGATTCTGCAGGTATCTGTTTATTCAATGAAACTATTTAAATTACCTAATAATTAATGAGTATGCGAATTTTGGGATGAAAAGTTGTCTAAACACATCTTTCTTTTTCGTACAGTAGATCATCATCCTTTCTAGTAACATTATCTTTCATGCTTGACTTCATTTTATTGCAAAATAGTTTTGGTTATTTTTTCTTTTATGGTCATGACACTCTGTGGAAAGACTTAGGCCCGCATTTTAAAAGGTGTCTCTGTCGTAATTCTAGTCTTAAAACTAATTATAAGTAGAGATTTTATTATTGAACGTCACTTAAAATGAGATTCACCAATCTATACTCAAGTGAGTGATAGCTTATTTTAGAACGATGTTAACGTCGAAATCTTTACTCAGGTATATATATTTATACTCAGATTATGACAGCTGTGCTCTTTGTTTACGTTGAGACTAGCTAAAACTTGTCTCAAGCGGTGATTTCTATGGCATTTTAGGGGAAATTAATGTTTTACTGAATAGTTACGAAAGATTTACTTTATTTACGAAAGAATTACTTGTCATACTATATCAATTCACTTTAATTTAATTGATATTAAATTCACATTTTACACACGTAATACCTACTTGTTTGAATTAAAAATTATAACCGTTTGGTTTATATCAAAAGTATAATATTATCCTATTAATATTAGAAACATTAAAATAAACACATTGTTTGACATTTCAATATGACAAGTAGGTAGGTATTGATAAATAACTTGAACGTCCCGTTATAGCCCATAGATGTGAGCTATAACAGAACGTTAGTTATTTTTATTTTAATATTTAATTTTGGACGAAAAACAAGCTTGTTAATATCTTAGCATTGCTAACTTACCAATAGTAGACTATACACAAATTCACAGAAATTATGTTTGTAATAGGAAATTATTCTTTAAATAATTAGCTGCGTAAGACGGAATAATAATGTCAATCATGCGGGAACGTAATTGAGAACAGACTAAATTTAAATCAATACTTGAAACTAGTTTCAACTGAGTAAAACTGAAAATGCGTTCTATAATAAGATCGATACTTAAGTTTTGATCTGCACTTAAACCTAGTTTCAGGCAATCAGAGTTCAACCGATACTTGAGACGTCTTTTAAAAAATGGGCCTTAAAATTTCACATGTTATAAACTATTTTCATCAGAAACAACACAGTTTCTCATATCTACGACTTGGAGGCATTCAGCATTACGGTGCATTAATTCATCCTGTTAGAGTGAGGCTTCGCTGCTGGCAGGACTGTCGTAGTTCGTGGTTTGTGATGGTACAGCACTTTGTGGATTTGTATGGAGATTTGTTTGTTCAGAGTACACTGATGTAGTCAGAATAGCTTTTCTTCTACTGCTTTTTAATTCAACTGTAGTCAGATGGCACATCAAAAACAAAGCCACAGATATTTGATAAGTCCAAATACCCAGTCGTTCAACACAAGCTATTTATAATAAAGGTCTGTTCGGTTTTTGCTCCCTTTCTGCCTTTGTTCCTAAATGTAACACCCCGAGTAATTCGTAGTTATTTGCCCCCTTTTTAGAAATTCTTACCTCAAAATCAAATAAAAAATCGATTTTTGTCCATTTTATGATCAAATTTTAGATCAAAATAATGTACAGGCCATTGTATATCTTAAAAGATCTACAAAAAAAGTCCGGGATGGTATATGTCTACCTCCTAAGGACAACCCACAGTGACCACTTTTATCTTTTTACTTATTACAAAAAATAACAGGTAACTTACGAAGCTATCTTGAACAATACAATATTATTCCTTATCCAAATAAATACATTAGATACGTTGTGCATTTAATGTAGATCAAAATTGCCTTTTACAACACATTATTTAACTAAATATCTTATGTATCAGAGATTTAAAATGCAAGGGCAACGTCGTGCCGTACGTCCGAGGCAGCGGCCAGCAGGAGCAGAGCGGACCTATAAATATGTCCTGTAGTATATCATAAAAATAGTATTATTAATTACTCCACATTGACACCACATTAGTAGTAGTAGTATCTACATTGCACTCGTGCGAAGCCAGGGCGGATCGCTAGTGATTTATAAATCATAATTATAATCACCACTTAACTAATTTAAAAAATCACTGCGACCTATTATTATTATTACGCTAGCGCCGTAATCGCGAAATGTCTCAATCTAAAAAAAGGCAATCTTTGATAAAAATAAATTTGATTGATTTTGATGGCATTTATTTTGTCTATGACCAAATCACAATCATGCAGGAGTTGTCTTTTTATCAACAACAACAGGTGATATCACTGTGACTAAAACCAGTCATTTCATTATGTGATTATGATTTAAAAGTAGCAATGTCTAGTGTGGAGTCATTAATTATACTATAATATTATTATGTTGCCATAAGTCACTATACAATAGGAGATCTTTATATAAACAATATTTGTAGGTCCACTTCGCTTCTGCCGGCCGCTGCAACTCAGGACGGATGTACAGCCTGCCACTTGCATCACTCTTTCTATTAGTGAAAACCACATTAAAATTCGTTGCTTAGTTTGAAAGATCTAGGCGTACAAGAACAAAAAGTAAATATTATAATAAATAGCATCAAGCACCAGTGGTGGGATGTGGGACTCGGATATTTCCTGATTATAAGCTGTATACAGAATTCTGCAGTATATTTGTAGAAGATGACTGACACTTCACGTATAACAGCGTCTTTCAGCACTGAACTAACTAATACCAGTAAGCACTTGTTAAAGTTGCAAGCCATTTATTTGGGTATTTCTTTCTTTCTATGTATATGTTTTTGGAAAAACTTAGTATAAATATATCAGTATGGTTATAGATGTTGTAAGAGCCTTTAGTGTAATCTATAAGTAGAAGTCTATATAGCTAGCCACTTAGGCCCAGTGAGACCCAGAATATATTTGTTATTATAATTTACTTAAAAATGCAATTGTGATGAGGAGAGATCTTGTTCTTCATCATATTTCTTAACTTTCAGATGAGATACATAAAACGGATAACCATGATAGTTTAAATAGAAAAATAGATTTTTTATCTGCTAGTTTCCTTTTTGTTTAAAGATGACTTCGGCAGTAGGAATACATCCTAAGTTGCACTGGGCTTTACAAAGATAAATGTATAAACGGACACAAAGAACATCTAGACACAGAACAACAATTTGTAGATCACATTAAGTGTTGTTCCATGTGGGAATCGAACCCACAATACCCAGGATAGTAGCTTGTGGTTATTGCTTAAACCACTCTGCCATCTGTGCAGTTGCCTTTGCGTGCAACATGCTATACGTGCTAAAAAAATGACAAACTATAAAAAAATACTTATTTTCATTAGGGTCGATGGTGCAGAATGGAAAGTTTTCAGCTGCAGCTTGACTCTTTGTCAAGACATTGAAGAATGTTGACTTTCCAACATTAGGAACACCAACAATGCCAACTTTCAAGTTGGTTCCCACTCGTCCAATAAGAGGCTTTTTTTCAGGCTCTTCTACTTTTTTTGGAGGCATTCTGAAAAGGTATACATGTAAACTCTTTAATTTTTTTTATTACTTTTATTATTAGATAATATATATTTGCTTGTGTACCCATCTCCTAACTAGTTTTGGCTCTATGACAACTCTTCGTAAAATCCTTCATCCTCCTGATATGTGGCAAAAATTGTGATTACAACACAAAGCCATAAATTAAAAGATAAACATGAACATAAATATTTTACAAAGCATGTTCTTTAACAATTTTTCATGATTAAGAAGTATCTGAAGTAAGTGTGTAACTTTAGTGTAAAGTAAATGTATTACTTAAAAAGCAAATAGAAAGCTAAACTGTTCTATTGATTAATTTATCTGCGTATCTGTGCTCATCAGACGATCGTTTGAGGGATTGAACCCACAACATCTGGTATAACAGTCAGGATCACTAACCACTACACCAACTGGCTAGTTTCTCTCCAATGACTCTACTATCTTGGAAGATAGTAGAGTACCGAGAGAACCAGGGTTTATAATGTTCGTTATGAAAACAGCATTACAGCTTTTGACATGCCTTCGGCTTAATAGTCTAGTTTCCAAATATTTTGTTCAAATAAATAAGCAAGTTAATTATAAATAATAATTAATATCATTATTTATTCACTGTCTTCAGCTAAATAAAAGCGGGAATATACTTTTCCTATCACTTTACTATGTTATTTTTAACGTATTGTGGTAACCTGTCCTTTAAATATAAAGTTTATCTGAAATAGTTTTCGGCTCCGATATTAAACAGCGCCGTTTCTTTAGAAGAAAAAGTTAAAACTTACTTCAAATTCGTTTTTCTATCTAACTTTAATATGATAGAAAACTAACTAATGATAACGTGCACAAAAATCCTCCTCCGGCACAATAACCACAGATTAACTTAACTTTTAAGGGAAAGAAAACGTCTTGACATCCTGTCATATCAAAGCATGGCAATATGGCAGACCTACCTAAGCTGAGTGACAGAAAGTATAACGTTCGTAAATATTACTATACCCTTAGCTAAGATTTTTTTTGTTGTTTATTCGTTGATACTAGTGAATATTAGCAATCGTTTATAAATCCTCTCCACGTGTACCAGCTTTATTTAAAAAACTTATTCATTACAGACAGGAGTTTTTTGTATTGTTAGTCCACTAAGTTAGATCGATTCCGCCTAGTCATCGATCAAACAAACTATTTTTTATTTATTTATTAGGCCACCAACGACGAGTACATTATTACAATGTATTTACAAACGTATAAATTTTGTAGCTTAGCATCACGCCACTTACAGGTAGGCACAGCACATCATCAGCCTGTAATAGTCCACTGCTGAACATAGGCCTCTCCTTAGGAAGGAGGTTTTGGCCTACTATACCACGCTGGCCAGACGGGTTGGTATAGGGTTTGTGACAAGTTTTCCTTCTTTTTGCAGAGCTGGTGTCCTGCGTTGTTTTGCGCCCTTAGTCGACTCTTACGACACCCACGGGATGAATTGGGGTAGTGACATTCCGTATTCTTAATCCGTCACTACACGGAATGCATGTACCAACAAAACTGTAATAACAATTTACAAAAAACAATATAAACTTAAAAATTATTATAAGACTTACAAAAACTTACAAAACAAACAAAATTAAATTTAAAAATAAAAGCTAACATTTATTCTTGTACCTAATGCAATTCTCTTGATTCGAGGCACAGATGTAAAGTTAATTTCTATTATATTGGCATAAGGTTGAAAGGCAGCAAATAACCGGGCTATTGAGTAATACGATTTAAGGTTCGTGTAGCATTTAGATCTACAGAAATATTATCGCCTAGAACAAGACCTAGCGTTCAATCTAGGCACATTGAGGCCGATCTTTTCTGATCAACTCGGGGCAGTTCATGGTCCCAGTGAGTAATTTGTGCAGAAAAATTATATCCAACATCCTCCTGCGGCTCTCGAGAGAAGACAACTCAAAGTAATAAAATCTTTTTCTATATGATGTTAGTTCTATGCACATCTTCAAACTGTAAACTGTAAGAAGTAGTGTCTTAGAAAACGTTTTTGGATTCTTTTAAGTCGATATATATGATTCCTATAACTACACCTAGTTACAGTGGTTACTTGGCAGTGCTGTGGCGTAGCTAGGTGTAGGCGAAGTCGGGCACGCCGTCATCGCGGCGGTAAGACCCGTTATGGAGGATTGGATCGAGAGGCGTCACGGGACCCTCTCATACCGACTGACGCAGATGATCACTGAGAAAGGATTTTTCGGGGATCACCTGTGTCTTATCCGCAAGGAGCCAACGCCTGAGTGCCACCACTGCGATGGCCAGACCGTGGACACGGCTCTCCATACGCTGGCAGATTGCCCGGCGTGGGTTGAGCAGAGGCGAGACCTCGTGGCAGCCATCGGAGTGGGAGTTCTCTCGCTCGATAGCCTGATTGCGGCTATCGTGCGGAGCGAGAGTGCGTGGAACTCTGCCGTCTCCTTCTGCGAGCAAGTTATGCTCGCGAAGGAGACGGCGGAGCGGGACCGGGAGAGGTTTAGGACTCTCCCGGCCCGGGAACGGGCCAGGTATCGCAGGCGACTCAGGCGCCGGAGGTCGCAGAACGACCTCCGTCCTCCATAAGCGCAGGCCTGGGGGTGACAGGTGAGGCCATCTGTCACCCTAGCAGAAGCAGGCCGGGGTGGCGGCGAGCGCGTTGCGAAGCGCGCTCGCTTCCAGAGAGCACAGGGAACATGGGGTTCCCACACGGGGGGGGGGGGGGGTGGTGAGGTGGGAAGTGTATGAGGGGCCTGAAATTGATATGATGTCATTTGTACGACCTAACTGCTACTTACATATTACCTACTAGCTGACCCGCGCAGCTTCGTCTGCGTCTCAATAGTAATAAATTTTCTCCGTTTTTGAAACATTCTTCATTGGTGCTCCGCTCCTATTGGTCTTAGCGTGATGATATATAGCCTATAGCCTTCCTCGATAAATGGGCTATCTAACACTGAAATAATTTTTCAAATCGGACCAGTAGTTCCTGAGATTAGCGCGTTCAAACAAACAAACAAACAAACAAACAAACAAACTCTTCAGCTTTATAATATTAGTATAGATATCATATTTTCATAATGCTATGACGGCATATGCAGTCATAATTTTAATTTTATGTATTATTTATGTATTTATTAGTAAGTCATATGATTACAAAAGGTACAGGTCAGGTTAAAATGAGTAAATTAAGTAAAGTAATGGCATCATATTCGTATGTAAGACAAAAGTCCCCAACTTTACGTAATGGTGTGACTTAAATATTACGTAAATATTAAGACCTATCCCTATCATATATGTTACGTTAGTTAATTACCTTTTTTCGACCCTTTTATTTCGGACTGGAATGGAGCTTTTTTTAAAGCGTAATCCTAAGAGTCAAATCCAAAAAATACCGTTAATAACTAGTGAAACATTCTCTTTAATAAAATAATATAATAAATTATATTCTTATTAAACGAAAATGTTTAGACATAAATATCTAATCTAAAAAGCATGCAGCATCTAATAACGGTCCCGTTGATAATTTATAGTCACTAAAAGTGTCCTGGTGAGCAATAAAAACATTTTGGAGGTCAATGTCTAGCAAATTAAAAAAAAAGTATTTTTCTTAAACGAATTAGAAATATAGTTTTTTGTTTAAGTGTTCAATAAATAAAGCTTTAATTATAATTACTGTTGAATAGGCTATAATTCGTTCATATTCAAACCGAATAACTAAGAGTGGTTTTGACAACTACCTATTACCTCGATAGATGGCGTGCTACCATTTTTTTGAGTCATGATATGATTACGTTACTCCTGCTCTCTTATAACTTCATGTTAACTCTGGTTTCCCTCCATAACGTATAGATCTTTCGCCTTTTACTAAAGATTTCCGTGGAGGAGAACACTTAAATGAGTCTTCTATATTCTTGCTACTCTGCAGCATTCTAATAATAATCTATGATGTCAGTTAGAGGTGATATTTACGTGATATGTTTTACGTCATGAGCTATGAAATACTGAGTCATATATGACTCATATGTGACTTACATCTTTATCATGATACAAGATGATGTCAACCTGACGTAAATGTATTTAATAAGGGTCTCCGACCATCTACGACTTATACACGGCCCCCTCATCTGCAAGGACCGCGGTGTCCCCTTTGTTCCAAAAGGCGCCGGCGCGTTTAGGAATGCGTTGCTCAGCCACCCCGGCCTGCTTCTTCCTGCCTGCCAGGTAGCCTCATCTATTACCCCCAGGCCTGCGCTTAAGGAGGACTGCTCCGTGCGACAATCATGGTACCGAGTGATAACATGCCTCTACTTCACCAATGCCGGGCATTCTGCCAGCGTGTATACACGCTCTGGCCATCACAGTGGTGGCACACAGGCGCTGGATTCTTGCCGTTCTGAGACAGGTGATCTCCAAAGCATCTTGTCCCGGTGCTCACCTGCGTCAGTCGGTAATAGAGGGTCTCGAGTTTCCTCCCGATGCAGTTCTCCATAACGCTATAACTCCCTATACTATCCAGCTTTACCAAAACTTTACCACACGTCCACACATCCCTAAGGCCCGGTGCCAAGTATCGGCATGGCATATCAATAGATCCTTGGCATACCTACGTGCAGACGCACACTTTTTTCAACTCCCGCACTAGGAATAAATCCTGTGTCGCGGGGGACTTTACAAACATACATGAAACGAACACAAAGAACACCCAGACTCAGAACATCAATTTGTGGATCACACAAAGTGTTGTCCCATGTGGGGTTTGCACCCACACTCGGCGCAATAGAAAGCGGCGTGGCGACTGCTTAAACCACTACGCCATCCGTGCAGTCGACACTGGCGGCAATTATTGCCGAGGAGTCCTCAGGAATGCCGAAGAGTTCTCAGGCTTGCCGAAGTGTGCTTAGGAATGCTGAGAAGGTCTCAGGCTTGCCGAGGATTTCTCAGGCATACCGGGGTCTGCTTAGGAATATTTTAGGAATTAATTAATTTCTATCTGCTATCTTTGTAAAACACACACCGACCGACCCGAAGACTACTACTGAAACTAGCCTTTTCATTATCATGAGTAGGTATGTTGTGTCAAAGAATGTTTGGTAGGATAGATCTATTGTTGAGTAGATCTTGGGCACGAAAGAAAAGGGGCCTCGCTGATGTTACCTCGGACACGCCTATATTAGTCCACGCTACGCCCCTTTTATTAGGCCTCATACCTCTGTAGTGCGGAGAGAGCTATACCTGCCCCTGTGCCCCTATACGCACTGGCCCTCTGGCCATGCAAAAATTTTCCGAGGCTCATGTTAGTTGTTATACCTAAACTAGTTATTACTACACATTCTAGACAAACACGTTTTATTGTTTCGACTATTTTTCATGTGGATTGAGTAATCCTCTCTTTACTCTTAACAATAGTCGAGGAGTATTTAGTAAAAATAGTTAACACTATGGCGAAGTTAAAACTTTGTTAAACCTGAGATAAAAACGACATGGTCAATAAAGTGTGTCACTCAAACCGCGCGCTTTTAAGAAACTGATTATAGTCTTTGCACTTCTTATTTCATTAATGAATAACATGTTAAAAATATTCATAAACTATTAACAATTTGAGCATTCCCTAGCATGTTCTGTTCCAAACTTATTACTTTTAATTTAGATCACTCAGTCCGCTCACGGGCCGTATGCCCGACCTAAGAAATCATCACTACACACTGAAATAAGTATTAATTTTGCTGTATTATGTATAATATGATGAGCGAATTTGTTTAATGTGTGTAACAAAACTTTTAAGCTGGAAAAATTAACCTTTATTTTTTTCCTCCAATATGCCGTCTCAGTGTTCCTTACTTCAACTTCTATCCAAAATAGTTGTTTACTATAACTTTAAATATCTTCTACTTTTATAAGGCTCATATTTTAGAAATACCATAGTTCATTCATTCCTAAACAAAAAGACTGAGTAGGGTAGATGTGATATTTTTATTTTGTGAGATTGTTTTGATCAACTACCCACCTCAACTGTCATCACCATTTAATCAAACCTATTCTTTTAGGGTAACAAACAAGTGCCAACAGGGCCTAAAGGGTGATAAAAAATCTATTTTATTGTTACAATGGTCAACAACTGCTAAATATTTTAAACTTTAATAATATACATTCGAAATATTAAATTTATTCATGTCGTGAGAGCAGCCCAGGGTGGTGACATTGGTGCAGGATTTTGTAAATATGACATAACCACAGCAGATATTGACAGCATAAACGAGCTCACAATCTGAAAACAAAACATAGTTCGAAATATGTACTATTTTAAAGGTACATGCCATAGGTATTAGTGATGTGCCGGATCGTTAACAAAGTATATCCGCGGATACGGATCTGAATACGGATAGTTGGTGTGATCCGCGAATACGGATACGGATCTTAAGTTTCTTACTCAATCGGAGCCCGTGACCTTGATAGTTGTCGCCACTTGACGCTTTTTGCCGTTGATATTTAAATAATTCATTATTTTAATAAGCTAATACAAAGATGTTTGATTGATCTCATTATATAGAGATAGTTCTTTCAGTACCTACGACCTGCCTAGTTGATTTAGTGTAGTACGATAAATGATTGCAATACAAAGGTGCCAAATATTTGTTTTAAGAAATAAAAAGTAATCTGAACAGAATTCAATAGTTTTTCATAGCTACCTAATAACCATTATTCTGGGTTAAATTTAAATTTACTGAAAACCTCTGAAGTGCATATTAGTAACATTATAAACAACAACTTTTCTTCTGGGGTAACACCGAAAACGAAAGAAAAAAAATTGTTTCTCCATACAAACTAACAACATTTGATTGGTCATTTGAATGGAAGGCCAATTTTTTTTCATTTTGACCATTTGTTGGCCAGAAAAAAAGTTGCTGTTTATAGTGTTACAAACACATACCTAAGAGTTTTACAGTGAATACAAAATCACCTATATAGAATTTCATCTATGTAATATGTATTGAAAGATCCGCCAAAAAAGTCACGGATATGGATACGGTTACGGATCTCTCTTCTCCCTTGGATATCCAATTATATTGTAACACTTCAACAATAACATTTTGAAATCCCAAATAAAATGCTGTGCTAATCAGACTGCTGATAAATATACTTGTAAATTTTTAAATACACACATCTTATTGATAAAAAACACCCTGACAGAACAATTGATCATGACTCTCTCACAACCCATGAACTGTGGCTTAGTGTCAGATCAGTATCACAAAACACTAGAAAGACAGGCCCGTTGAATATTTCAAAGAGGTCTTATATTTGGATAGAGGAGCAATGTTAAGCGTTATGTGGTCAACTATCCAATAATATATGTATGTTACTTAGTAAGGCCACATACAAGCATATATTTTGAAGGTCATTGAACCTATAAGCTGTTCCGTTGTTATCTTTTAGAACACCAAATAATAAAAGTAACTAACACTTGTTTTCCATTCTAAAAATTGTTCTACCTTGCAATTTATGAATATTTAACGTTAAGTAATTGTAAAAAGTAGACATATTTTACCTGTTTGGTATCATCAGAAACTCTTGAGTTAGCAAAACTAATACTGGAACAGAAGACAGCCGTCCAAGCACACCATTTCAAGCGCATCATAAGACCGCACATAGAGAACACCATCCCTATGAAATAAAGATCAATCCAATAAGACAAGTTCTTGTCTTTAATACTAGATTTCGGTCAAGGTTGATCAAACAACAACCACTTTGAGCAAATAAGATAAAAGTAATGTACCAAGGATGTTCATGTAATCTGTTGTGAGGTCTTCTGCCGGTGCTGAAGTTGGTGGTGGAGGTTTAAACCGCCGTTCTCTGTCAGCACGACGTGGGTCGGAGTTAAGTTGCATCTGAAAAGTTGGATTTCGTTTTCTATTAGCACTTTGCAACGTCATTTCTATGACCCAAAAATTTTAATATTTTTGAAGAATTAGACAATATAAAATCTGAAACTAAAGTTTATCTTTAATACCTTAATAAACATAAATATTTTGTTTATTTAATATCAAATATATATATATATATATATATATATATATATATATATCGTAAAATCTGCCTTGGTAGTTAGCACTAACCTTTTGAGGTTTTAAAATAGGCCCACAAATAATTGAAACTTTATATATTAATTACAGAAAAAGAGTTTTCACAGGAATCTGTGACGAGGTGCTAAGAAAATTTTTAAAACAATAAAATTGTTTTTTATGAGAATAGAATCTGCAATAATTTGGTTCTTGTCATATTGTGACATATAATTAAAATTGATCAGTGTTGCCAGACGCAGTTTGAAAGTGTCAGTGAGAAAATTTCACTAACAGTAATAAACAGGGTAAGTTTTGATGTGAAACATCTAACGCTGAGGCAGTGTCTCCAACTCGTTCTAACGAAAATACGGTATTGCCAGGTGACAAATACGGTAGATTACGGTGTCAGTAATATAAAAGAAATGGTAGGATTACGGTAAAATTTAATAATTAAAAAAAATGATAAATATGATGAACGCATCTACGTATACATAGATGCGTTCATCATTTTACGATTTTACGATTGCATTAAAAAGGTATTCTGCATTGGCACTGTGGTCCGCTGTAGATTCTTCAAATAGTTGGATTACATCCCAAAAACGACTAACAACTCGTCCGATTTCCGAGTCGTAATAATGCACAACAACGCACATTGTTTTGACCACACCTATGTCTGTACTTTCATCTACTAAAACTGAAAATTTCTGGCATTTCAAATCAGATACGATGGACTCTTTTTCACTTACACCCAAGACATTCGTGATCACCACTTGTAATTTATTGTGCTTCATTTTTAAGTTTGTCGCTATGCTGGAGTCTGGGAAAATGTCAGGAAGTAAATCGTTCAAATGATCCATAACAGCGTGTGAAATTTTGTGCTCTGCCATAAATGCCGCCAACTTTATCTCAGCTCGTTTGACTTTCCTATCGGCGGACTGCATTTTTGTTTTATCAAAAAGGTTTGAAATTGAAGGTTGTTGACTGATCCCTTTAATTTTATCTTTGTGTTTTGTACCCTCTTTGTGTCGTGTTAAGACACTTATCTCAGCCGTCATTGTGATGGCACATAAGGTGCGCGTAGCTTTAAGAGGATCAGTTGGGTCCTCACTTAACCAAGATGAGAAGTCCTTGTTGGTTAACCATTCAGATCGAAATTTCTGTTTATATTTACTTTTCTGCTTCTTACCTGCCTGAGCCTTTTGTTTTTTTGGAGTAGGTGGGCCATCACCATCGCTGTTACTGTCGATACTATCCATTTTAAAAACACAAAAGCACAACACGATTTTTTAAACGCAATTAATGTAGAAACTTTATTTTACTCCTAGAAACAGTGAAATAATAGGTACACAACACACACAGCTTAATCTGAAAATTAATGTTATTATTCTGGGATAATAAGTAGTCCTTCCAATTCATTCACTTTAGTTACAAAAAGGTACAATTATATTTGGTAGGGTAATAAACATAATAATATGAACTGTGGAAAGAGTGTGGGAATTCCTCGCGTTGCTCATTTTAGTGTTGTCGTATATTTATTAATGTTGCTATAATTTAAAATATAAGAATATCTAATGGGAAAAATTAAACATTTTAAAATTGAAAATTACGGTAGTTTTTGATACCGTAGTATACATACTACGGTAGGTAGTAAAACCAGCAAAATTACGGTATGTCTACCGTAATTACGGTGTAGTTGGAGACACTGCGCTGAGGGTTTAACAAGATCAGACCAAATTACATATCTATAGTTCGTAAAATTTAGTTTGATACTGCTGACAGATGTCACAAAACAATGACTAGCGATATATGACATAACTGGGTAAATCGATCAATGTATACACTGTAATCGGTAGATCATATTTTGTAAAATTAATAGGTTTATAATAAAATAACAAATAAGTATTTTAACATTATTTTTGTTAAGTCGCACATCCAAAATCATCTTCTTCAGTCGTCGTGGTTGAATCAATCCTGCACATTAATTATTTGTTCTTGATCACAAATTAAAACAAATTATATTTCTCGTTCCCAGTCTTCTTGAGCCGGGCCGCCGCTAGCGGTTTGTGCACCTGAGTGCAATATGATGAAGAATGAAGCCGCCCTTTTTGACATGACCTATTTTAGCGACTGGTCATAGCTACAAAACTGAGATTTGGGTAACTAATTAGCAACAATTTAGCTACAATATTTCATTTTTTTTCGATTTTTGCTGATTTTTTAGGGCCATCATTATGGCGCTGGAAAATTTTATTTCGTCCGAAACGAAAACTTACAGGTAGAGGTACAATTAATATCAGACTAATAGCTACAGTTCAATTAAAAGTTTTCACTGATAGTATAAAATAGTTAACTCTGAACATGGTCGGATAATACAAAATTAGACATTGGTACATTTTTAATTTAGTGATAATAGTAAAGAAAACTCTGGCATGCCGCATTAATGGGACTCAGTAAACCTCGTCGCCGTCCTCGTGCTGAAGGAGATCGGGTGATAGGGTACCGCACGATCTTCTTTGAGGCGGCCAGTCTTATGGCCGGAACGCCACCATGGGACCTGGAGGTGAGAGCCCTTACGGCTCTGTATCAGTGGCGCAAGGGGGCGCAATAGCTGGGATGGAGTCCACAGTCTCGAGAAATCGAGGATCAGAAATTCCAGCTCGTCCATGTCCTCCTGGAGGAGTGGAAGGACAACTTGAGCAACCGTTATGGAGGATTCGCACCACTGCGATGGCCGGACCGTGGACACGGCGCTTCACACGCTTTCACAATGCCCGGCGTGGGTGGAGCAAAGGCGTAGACGTAGGCGCCTTTGAGGCCGTCGGAGTGGGAATTCGTCTACAACTGCTACATTCATTTCATACTCTTTGTCTACACCAGTGCCATTCTGGACGGCTTTTGAACTGTAGGACACTTTTTTATTTTTTTCTCCCATAAGCGATGATTCTCCTTAGTTTTTCCCTCCATAGTTCTCGCGTTCAAAATATTAACACAAGTGGAAAACAAACTCGCGACATTCAAAATTATTGTGTATATCAAATTTCATACATATAATTTCATTTAAAATATATTTAGCCTTTCTTAGTGAATTATTGAATTAATGAATTATTGATTGCGAAAAATTGAGCTTACCGTGTGTGGACTATATACCTAGTATTTGAATTTTTAAGTTAGTGGTAGTAATTATAAAAGATTTTCTGTGTCTTTTAAAACGAAACTAATAAACACAAGTTGTGGACAATTAAAAGTCACAAGAAGTATTAAACATAGACCATAAATGCCTATTTTTATCTTACGTCTATAATAAAATTAAATACAAAAGCTATGAGTAGGTATTATACATTTCCCACAGTTTTAAAATAAAAATTAGAAACTACTTTTATTTAGTAATTAAAGTGAATTTTAAATTAAGGATATTTAGCAGGTAGGTAGGTATTTGTACCTTAGTTGCGAAAACAATTACTTAATTAGTGATAAAGAAACATTTACTTGCTTCTTGTTGCTATTCGCGATAAGTTCCATTTTTTATCTGAAACATTAATACGCTACGAAATTAAACCTACATAAACCTAGAGTTATATTTTTGTGGTACCTATTGTACCTAAGTAAGTATAAATTTATTTATTGCAAATACTGTTATTTGTTCTTGATGCATTAATCTCGATGCAGTGTTGACTATGTTCGACTATGGTTCTGATAGGTTTTTGAGTATTTTAAGCGTAGGTATACAAACCAACAATATTTTATATATTTGTAGGTATATACTTAGATAGATGAGCCATGCGAAGCTTAGAGTTTATTTTCGAAATTAGGCAATAGATGTAATTATTATGATTGAGTCATAATAAAAATAAATTAGATAGATGAAAATTATAAGAATGTTTCGTTATTGTTGTGATGTCTGTCTTATCGTCCTTATATCTTTTTATTTATAACATATAAAACTAGACATTGACTACTGACTAGCTGACTCACTGAATGATCGATCAACACACAGCTGAAAGAACTGGGTCTAGAGGCATTACATGTGCCTTATACCTGTGATGGAAGTGTGCACCAAGAAGGAATTTTTGGCAATTTATCTCCTAAGGGGTTAAACAGATGATTTATGTGCTTATGGTTTGAAACAAGTTTGCTGTGTCACCATTTAAAAAAATCCTTATCACCTTCTTTTCTGGCCAAGCATGAGTTGTCCATAGAAATTAGATAATAAAATTGACAAAAACATTATAACACTGCCCGTATAAAAGCAATTACCTAAATTAACCTATTTATTTATTGACGTTTTGACTAGGTGTACCTAACAACGTTATTTTTAAGTTGAATACCGATTTATTGGGTAAGTAGGTAGGTACGAGTGTGTCGGCGTTCGGGAGAGCTAAAATAAGCTTAAATTTAATAATAATCACATAATTAAACAAACCTCTACATACCTTCCTGTAGGTAGGTACTTAGCAATTTTAAGTAAGTGAAGTTTAAGTATTTAAAAGTTTAGAAATTTGGATATATTTAGTGAGAAACGAGCACATGATAAAAGTATTATAAATAAATGTACCTATAGTATACATTTTTAGTAAATAAATAAACCTAAGCAAGTATTGCATTAAGTGAATTATGTATGATTAGCATTTTATGTAAACATGCGCTTAAAGAATTTGGTTAAAATTTAAACTTAAGATGGTGTTAAAAGTTCTCAGTGATAAAATTATATAAAATGTTTTATCTCTCTCTAATTATATTTGTATGTATTATTTGTTAAGTTTGTATATTAAGTATTTTTGTATGTAGGGTAGACCGAGGCGAATCGGATCACTTTTTCTTTGAGGTTGAGCAAATCATACTAAAGTGTTATTTTTATTGATAAAATCGTAAGAAGTAACAATTAGCTATGAAATAAACATTTGAAAACTTAAATCATACATATATTCTCTTAATTAGCTATTAAAAACTAAGAAAAGGAAAATATCCGAATCGCCCCAATTTTCGGGGTGAATCGGATCGTACACAACATGTAACCAAATTTTAAGTTTCTTAACACTAACTTTGGAATCAGTAAAAAATTAATAATGAGATCAATTTTAATTATTGGCACATAATTCACATATATATGGTTCTGATGGTGGATGAACGAATATTTCGGAACAGTAGGGAAATGCAGTGCCACTCTCTCTGTTTTGCAGATGAACTCTTAATTTTTATCGCAGGCTTTTCTTCATCTTCTTCATAGTATTTTCTTTGCCCACAGCCTTTTTCTTATTTTCCTTGGCTTTATTGTCTATCTTAAATTTCTTCTTTGTTTCTTTTTCGAGAAGAGTAGTCTTACTCTGAGGTGATGTTAAATGCAAGACCAGTTTTGTAACTTTACGAATGCTCTCAGAAGCAATTGGTGACTTTAAAGGTGATGGGAGAATTTCTTCAGAGAATATTCTTTCTAAGGTCAACTCTTTGTTCTGGACTTTATTTACAGCCTCTTTCATTTTTTCTTGAGACCATTCTCCGGCATCAGTCTTTCTTTTGTACGTGCGAACCATCTACAATGAAATAAATATGAATCAATAACCTCAAACATGTAATAAATCAGTTTAAAAGTATGATCTAATTCGCCCCTGACGATATGATCCGATTAGCCTTTGGGGCTAACTTTTGAAATAAATATTTTAGACGTTAACCTCTAAGATTTTACTTAAAAGCGAATTGGTTCTATAATATAAACACCTTGCTTAACAATATAAACCAATATAGTTGAATTTTAACACAAATTCGTCATATGACACAAAGAAATCGTAAGATCGTCCCTTAGATGAGCGCCAAATTGCGACACACAAAAAACCGAGTCGCTGACGAGCGGCGTCGCCACTGATTGATTCACACGCGCGATCGAAATACTGCTTATGTCGGGAGGTGCGGGGTAAATAAAGAGACCCAAAACGCCGGTTGAGTGTGTTCTATGTGAATGCGATATTTGAATTATAAACAGATTTCTTATTTTGATCCGATTCGCCCTGTGATCCGATTCGCCTCGGTCTAGATCAAAACATTATCTATGCATAGGTTTTAGTTGTTACTACTGTTATTATTATATTATAAGTAGGTACATTGTTTGTGTTCCTTAAAAAAACGATAGTAGATGGACCTACTAGAAAAACTTACCTATGGAGATATAGTACTACATACCTACTTGGAATTTCCAGATGAAATAATTAAGTAGGTAGGTACCTACCTAATACTCATACTTTACCGTAAGTAGTGGTAAAAAAATAAGGTACCTAATCTTTTTCATGATTAGAAATTAGTTTACCCAATAGAAGTACCTAATATATAAACTTGGTTATCTCATGTATTTTCCTAGTAATGGCCTAGAAATGGTAAAAATATGCAAATGGGCTCAATTATTGTAACTGCTTGTTGAAAAAAAAGAAAATAATTCCGTATGTTTTGCGGCTCTTAGACGCTATTGGTCAGGCGAGTGGCGCACGCCCACCGCCCGCGGCACGCATGCTAAACGCCTCGCCCAGCCATTTACATGTGAAATCTAAAATAATATCGGAACCAACCAATATTTAAAAAACTGTCCTTTATAATTTATTAGGTGCAGGTTACATTCAAAAAGGTCTCGTGGATATTTTACAACTAAATTACTTTTTTAAGTGACAAGTGCTATGCTCTAAGGAAAACAGTCTTGCGTACCTACAGCGCTTTAACAGCGTCGAATTTCGTACTAAAGTTCGCACTGCTAGACTGTGAGTTTATATGAAGGTGCGCGCACGTAGCGACGTGACAACTGGCAGACATTTTTGTCATACATTTGTGACAAAATTGTCACCGTGCCGGTAGGCTTTTTATAGTCAAATGACGCTTAGGGCCTGTCCACACAGCGTACTACACCTAGTACGCACTCCGAATTAAGTTTCGGACGATTTTAAAACGCGCTCTAAATAGATACCAGAACCAAAATTATAATTTATCTAATACTACGACGGTTAAAAGCGCCCAACAGAGCGAAACGCGTGAATTTATCCCGTATCTAAGTCATACCACACAAAATATATGCGCGGAAATAAATCGACACGCGTGTTTTTTTTTCGGATTTAGTGCGGATAATGAAATGAAATAAAATGATGAAATGATATTTATTTCTGCAAGTAAATCTTTTCCGATATTTTTACACTTTTTAAACGTTCGATCTTTACATTTAATGCAAGCTAAAAAAGAAACTTTCGAATTCGAAGCTGGTGATTCTTCGGACAGTGAATTTGAGATTGTGGCCGAGGAGAGCTAGATAGATCTATTATTTTTTACATAATACACCTATTAAAAATATTTCAATTAAATTTGTTTTTTTTCAACTTTTCACAATATCAAGCAAAAAATTCTATAGAATCCTATTTTTCCCAAAGGATTCTTTGTGTTAATTTTTCTACTTCTGTTTTTCTTCTTCTCTTTCTTCTGTTTTTTTCGTGAAAAAATCAAATTATTTTTCTCATTTTTCGGCATTTTCGGCATTTTCAACGCTAGCAACGCCGCTGTGTCGACAGGCCCTTAAATTTCAGCTCCACTTTGGAGACGTGACGTGACAGTGACAAAACTTTTTGTCACCGTGACAAAAGTCAATCGTGCACGCACTCGCTTAGAAGTTAAATTGGCTCCTGCTGACTATAATTAATTAATAGCAGTTGACGCTAGAAATGATAATCTTCTTTATCATTTCTGGCGTATTTTGCACTGCAAGAAAATTCATCTACCTACGTATCTACTTATGTTTTTTAAAATAAGTAGGTAGGTACTACTCGCGAACCTCAGTATGCCTGGTAGGGGATTTGTGAGGGCTGGTACTTGACTGATGTCCTTGCCAGCTAGCGGCGTTTTTCTATTTTACTATTCCCTAATATCTATAAGTTCTCGTGTTTCGTCAAGCGACCTGCTATCTGGGGAAGTACAGCTATGGGCGACCAGCGACACAGGCAGCAACTTACTTACGTCGTCATACCTTATATGCTGCCAAAGAGGCCGCATGTAAGGTATGTTAACACCGCTACGTCGGTCTGAAGAGGGTTTTGTTTGTATTGCAGCCATCATCCAACCTTAAATATTCCACACCTATTTCGACCTAAATAGGCATTGGTGTTTATGGTAATGGGTCACTCGGCCAAACTGTTAGAAAAAAAATAGGTATTATATAAGAAAAGGAATTCAATCCAGTGCCGCCGTTTCGATGAAGTGAAATCTAAGTCTATCAAATGGCGATGCGGCATTTGAGATCGTCCAGGCTTTCGAAAACGTAGTTCTTTACATAGCAACGGGCCTGCACCACGACATTGCACGGGGCGGCGTAAGGAACTGTTTTTAGTCACACAAGGTTTGTATACACCTGGTAACGAGGGGCGGGATTAGGGCACTGACGACAATAGGGCCTGTGTTGCCTTAACTCGTACGACCCTGTTGCGTCGTAAGGCGGTTATGTTTAACCGATAGCAAATTGACGATAAAACTATTTTTAATATTTAAGGCAATAACTTTTTGATCGGTTTATAGGCAGTTGTGAGATTCGTTATAGTTCCCTGCCACGTCTGTCTATACTTCAGTAGTAAGAAAAAAAAGGTTGTTCAGTAGAAATGTAAACTTCAACAGTTAGTGTCCACCAAGGAATATAATGTTTCATGAGGTTTTGTGGTTGTGGTTTTGTGTAAAAGAAATGCATGACGGGTTTATGACAACAATGTAGGTACATTCAGTAAAGCTTGATTAAGAACGACCTGGTTAAGCAAGAATCCTATAACATGTTAGTACTTATATGTTCAACGGGACGGGATCTCAATGAAAGTTTCCGATACGCACTTTACCACTAAATAGCCTCTGTTAGTGGCACAAATTTAACACATAAATCTGGGATTCGTTCTTTTGATTTTATCTTCACATGTATTTACATAATACTTTAATTTAGCTAATAATCGCACCCATATAACTGCAATAACCTCTATTCTTCTCACCACTTTTAATGGCACCTTCAGTAAATCAAAGCATCCATCAGAGATTAATTGACTTAAGGTAAGGTAAATTTTCAGGCCCCTTAAAGTCCTAGTTATCCAGGTTTCACTGTATTACCTATGTAAAAATTCCTCTTGGAGACCACGGGACTAAAAGATCTACAAAAATGTGTTCTAACATTAACGCACAGTAACGAAACGAATTGCTATAATATCTAAACATATCGTTTGATTGGGTGATGTCTTACTGTATGTAATGAAATTTTCATTTTCTTTTTGCATTTTTTTTTCTCGATGACTATTGACCCCATTCAAAGCATCAGTATTTTAATTTTATATTACAGGTGGTGAATAATGCAAAAAGTCATTTGTCTAGCCTGTAAATCACTTATTTATAGTTCATTGACAGGCAGTATATTGACTTAAACTTATTGAAAAGGTAGCGCCAGGATTAACGGCTTGTGAATTATTTACAACTTGCGCCATCTAGTGTCAGATAGCAGAATTAATAACTTTTATTGGTCAAAATATATTTTTAAACTGTAAATTTATGTATTTTTCTTTAAAAAGCCGTCAGATTTTAAAGCCGCCGTAAATAAATTAACTTAAGTTAGTACAGATATTAGGTCATTTTCAACTAATTTCTTTTTAAAGTTGTCATGGACGTTGTCTCTAAGTGATCGGGAAGTTGAAATGCTGTCCTAAATTTCGAATATTTAAATAATAAAAATTGAAAATCATAACTGACTTATTTTTAATAAAAATCTGTCAGTATTTTAAAAACCTAGAACGTGTTATTCTCTCGTCGCCACCGTACGGACTTACCTAAACCTAACTTCGAGCTCAGCATTTTGTAGAACTAGCAGAAGCGTTGTTGATATCGAGATACTGATTGTTGATCTATTGATTGAATAGCTTGTTTAAAACGGCTATCATTTATATGGTTATGCAAGCCTCAACTTTAGTAAATTGCTTGAACTTTTGTACGCGATGTCGCCGAAATTATGAACGGGTTTAATGTTTTCTGAATTGCCGGCAGATCGTGATCTGGCCAGGAATATGCTGATCGTTACAGTACAACGGTTGAAACACAACATAAGTATATCTACATGAGTCATGCAAATTGTGATGTGCCATGTCTTTTGTTCGCTTCAAATTGCCGAATAATGATTTAATGATTAAGGTGCTGCATTTTTTAGACTCGTGGCATAAGTTTTACTTTTGTGTTGGTACCTATAGGTATTTTTCTGGAGTTTGATTTCCGAGTCCAGGTTTTTCTATTACGAACATTTAAGTAGAAGCAGAAAGTCAAAAAGACGATTTAGATTTATTGTCTAATAGTTATTTGTCACGACTTGCTTGTATTACCTAGAATAGATTCTTTTAATCAATTATTATAGTAAGAATCCCTTGAAGTTGTACTAATCCCAAGAAATTATTCAGTAACAACTCTAGATGAAAGAAACGCTTTGTTCCTTTTTGTTGATCCGTTGTGATATTATCGTAGGCTCGAAAGCGTATTAAACGAATGAACTCAAAATCGCATT